GTGTGGTTAGCTCTGCCTTCAGATACTCAGGCAAGCTTTATGGACATAGTGGAACAGATGTCTTTGTTGCATAGATGTTAGTTTATAAACAAAATGTTACCACAGTGCTGTGATAAAAAACCATGACCAAGTAACTTGTGGGAGAATGGCTTTATGTCAGTTTATTTGAGTAGGCAGGGCAGGAACCTAGAGTCATGAGCTGATACAGAGGCTGTAGAGGAGTGCTGCTTACTTGATTTCTTAGCTTGCTTAGCCTGATTTCATATATCAATGAGGACCACCAGCCTATAGGTGGCCCCATCCATTGTGAGCTGGGCCCTCTCTTATGGTTTGTCAATCAAGAAAATGTTCCACAGGCTTGTCCACAGGTCAGTGTAACAGAAGGCATTTTCTCATAATGGAGGTTCCCTTGGATGACTAGCCAGCACAGTACCTGTTTTATGTATATCCTTAAATTTGATGGGTGTATGCACCACCAAATTAGACAAAAATTCCATCCCTAATCCTAAACCTTTCCCCTCTGTTTTCTGTTGGTTATTTCCTCTCCCAGCAGCCACGGTCTAATTCCTCTCACCATTACATTTCTTTATGCTTTAACTACGTATACCTGGAATGGCACAGTGTATATTTTGTGTTCTGGCTTCTTGTAAGATTTTGAGACTGTTGCATATTGTCCTAGGTGTTTTATTTTTGTTGATTAGTATTTCAGTGTTGTAACTACGCTACCATTTTATTAGTGGAACTTCTCGATCATAGTCACAGTAGTTGTACCAGTAGCTCTCTAACAAGAATGTAACTTCTTATACTGGCCCAAAGAGGGCTTCAAAGCCCTCTTCCTCCCCAGCATTTGGTGGTGCCTGACTTTTTGGTTTTTGCCCTTCTTACAAGTGATTCCTCTGTTATTTTCATTTTGTTTCCTCAGTTTTTGCTTTAGTTCAGTGCCTGGCCAACTGGAGAGGGTTCCTGACCACACTAAAGCAGATCTTCCCCAGTTAGTCTACTCAATATTTACATGCTAGTGTGGGTGTGTATGTGGATGTGATGAATACCCTTACATGCATTATTCAACCAAGGTCTTTAATCTAGTCAGGTTGGCAAGTAAAATTAGTTACCCCAGGAAGTTTAGCATGTTTTTGAATTCTCTTTTGTTATTTCCATTTCTTTTTTAAACCAAAAGTTACTTTTATATTCGGAAATACTCTACAAAACAAGCTTCAACATAGACAAAAATATATAGTACTCTGGCAAAAGCTGTATGTGTGTGTACTATGATTTCTGTATACCACAGTAAAATATATAGCACGTATTTATTATAATTTAATTATTTTGAAACTGTCTTTTCTCTTTTTTTACTTATAGTGTGGAAAGGCTGGACATGGTAGGTAATGATTGCAATCCCAGTACTGGGAAGCTGAGACTGGAGGATTGTTAATTTGAGGGGAGTTTTGGTCTATGTAGTGATAAACACTGTTTGGAAAAGCAAACAAGACAGATGCAGAAGGATGGATTACCTTGAGTTCAAGGCCATTCAGGGCTGCATTGCGAGATTGTGTCTCAAAAAACACAATAATAGGAATAGGCATGCAGTTATGTTCTTTTCTTCATAGCCATGGAACATAAATTCTATATTAATATTTTTACTCATTATGTAATACTCTCACTTTCTCAGTGTGGCTTTGAATTCCTGATCCATTTGATATCCCTCTGGGATTATAGGTGTAGACCATCAAGATAAACAGGTGAAACTACTGCCTTTACCCCCTGTCATACTGAGTCACATACAGTTCAGTAATGACATGTTTCTATACACCTCAGGTTCATATATTGAAATCCTAGTCCCCTGCTGCTGTTAAGAGGTTGAACCTTGGGAAGACACTTAGATCATGAGATAGTGAGAGGGTCTTTTGTCTAGTAGTCCCTTTTCTCCACCGCGTGAAGAAATAAATTAAAGGAAAAGAGGTCTGCTCCAACTCAACAAATTTGTTCTGGCCTTATGCTTGAAGCTTCCAAAACTGTGAGATAAATTTTGTTTCATAAGACACCTATGCAGTATTTCTGTTTCATGGAAGTTTGAACTAAACTATATTTATTTACTTACAAAGAAACTTTATGATCTTATCTGAGACTTCTACGAAAAAAAAAAAAAAGTTTACCAAACCCCATTCTAACAGGGAAAGAAGAAACTAGAAATTTATCATTTCATTACCAATACAAGTTAGACCCAATATAAGTTAGAGTTTCCTGATTGCAGCATTGTAGCACGTGAGTGTTAGATAGTATCTCAGTGTCTGAAAAGGCCTTTTTACTGTTTTGAGTTGGCCTGGGAAGCACATACTGTTTAGGGGAACTGTGTTTACAGCAACTATTTACAAAGAAACTGAACTTCTTTTATGTGGGGATTTATTATTTCTGATGTATTAAAGCTTGAGGGAAGGTCTGGAAACAAAGTTAGCCACAAGCCATAGAGGCCAGGCAATGATGATATACACCCTTAATCCCAGCAGCCATACTAGCAAGCCACAGAGCCAGGGAGTAACACATACCTTTAATTCCAGGACTCAAGAGACAAGCAGATGGATCTTTGTTAGTTCAAGGCCACACTGAGCTGCACAAAATTGACCCAGTCCTAAAGGGAATCAGCTCACACAAAGGTGATCTCAGCACTTGGGATCATACACGTTTAGTCCCAAGATTTGAATGGAATAAAAGGAAAAACCAAAGGGTCTCATGAGGTAGTTAGTCTCTAGCCACACTGTGGAGAGGCAGCAGCAATCTGAGCCTTGGCGGAGGGCTCGTGGAGACAGGACCAACCCTTTCAGTCTGAGGTAGAGAGCTAGTGGCCTGCTGCTTTGCTTCTCCTATCTTCACCTTGAACCCCAATATCTGCCTTGAGTTACACTGTTACAGTCTAAGGCCCTTGTTGAATGTAGCTTTTTTCCCTCTTATGTGGGGAGTATATGTATGAGATACCTGGCTTTTGCATGTGCTGTGTCCCCAGTGCCTGAGATGGGAGCTGAGAAAACTGAGTTCTTGGTTGATTCTTGTTGATTAGTGACCTGTGAGAAGATTGCACCCTTAACAACAGACTGTACTTTTAAATGTCAACAGTTTCAACCTAGAAACCTTGTGATGCCTCTTTCTAAAGCAGTCCTTTTAAAGCTGAATCTTATATGTTATTTAGATAGGAGTAGTTATTTAGATAGGAGTAACTAATGTCTTGTCACTTTGAGGAATTCTTTGGTTCCTAACTTTTTTTTTCCTTTCTTTTTTAATGGACTTTCTTCTTTGACTCTGCAAACTGCATAGATTCTAAGTTATATTATCTTGAAGCTTGTTGTAAAATCTTTGATCTTTTCAAACATTGCTAATTGATTAAGATGTTTCCTCCCTCATTCTTTATATATAAAATTTAGAAAAAGCAGTATTATGGAGTACCAGTAGTGACCTAAATCAGGCTTTTATAATTTTTTAAAGGATCCGATCTCACTTAATGCTATACTTTCATTCTACTTTAAGGTCTATTGTCTAAATCATTAATAAAGCCCATTGCCAATCTACTTAAAACTAAATTGAATTTATAAGAGATGAAGATGGAAAGGAAGGGGATGTTTTTTAGCAGGTTTCAGGGTCAAAGTAAAGGGAATTAGCAGTTTGGGGTACTGTGCTTGAAGGGGTATCAGCACTGTCATAGCCAACATCAAATATTATAGTGAAGTCAGGTAGAATAGAAGCTAAATGCAGAACAGGACAGTTTTGTTTGGTAAGGAAAACACTAATTACAACAAATAGTTGAGATTTTTTAAAAATCTTAAATGAAGTTACAGTGGCTCTTAAACTAAAATATGAGCAAAGTTATGTAATTTTAAAGATTCTATTTTTGTTTTATTTAAAACAAGATGTAAAAATATTAGTAAATTGAGAACTTTTGTGTTGTTTTTGAGGGATTGGTAAACTACTGCAGAACTGTGTCTGGCCATTGGTCTGCTCTTGTAAAGCAGGTGAACTGTGATAGGTTTTTGTGCTCATAGACTTCCAGTAGAATTTTATTATTGGCTGGGCACGCTGCAGCACACTTGGCAATCAGAACACAGATGTGTGAAGTTCCTTTCCTCCCACCTTTATGTGGCATAGGGGGATGGGACTGAGGTCATCAGGCTTGGTTACCTGCTGAGCCATCTTGCTGGCCCTCTTTCAGCAGTATTGAGCAATTTATTTATGATAAATTTTTGTCTAATTTCTCCATGTTCCTTCTGCTTGGAATCTTGAATTTATGACTTACTGTTTTTATCAAATTGGCAATACTCGAACTTAATGTCACATAGGGCTTTTTAACCTGGCTGTAAGGAAGGATACTCATCCTCCAGGTTTACTCCTGCTCTGCTGCCTCATCCCTCCCACACTCCTGCAGTGATTGTTGCTCTGCTGACCATCCCACAAGCCCCTTTGCCAGATCTTCAGTGCCTTTCTCTAGTAATTCGTGCTCTCTGTACACTTAGCTTTGTGTCTTTAACTCAGTTTGCCTAGATTTTTCCCTCCTTGTTACACTGTCTGAAAGTGTTTAAAGCAGTTAGCCAGTACAAGTGTAGGGCATCATGGGTGCTTCTCATTTTTTAGGGATTGTTGTTGTTTATTGCATATGTCCAGTCTTGTGAAAACTATACCCTAAAAAATGTTTTATTTTATGTTTTTGACTAATTAAAACTGGGCATTGTATTTGGTCTCTGTTGCTACCTAACAATCAAAAAAATAATAGTTATGTTGAGATTTATGATCTTGTGGCTTAATAATTCCAAGTGATACACAGTATTGGACAATAGGTATATGTGAGTGCAGTAGAAATGTGAAGGGAATTGAACTTTGGAGTCAACTAAATGCATGGATTTTGGGGTAAAGGGTTAGACTATAAACTGAGAACTAATATTATAGAGATTTGACACAGCATATTTTCTATGTTTTAATGCTCTTAAACTTATGTTAAAGTATTTTGTATTTTCTGCCAGAACCATCTGATAACTTAAGGGAGATCCTCCAGAATGTGGCCAAATTGCAAGGAGTATCAAATATGAGAAAGTTGGGCCATCTGAATAACTTCACTAAGGTAAGTAGCTTGAAACTATACTGCCACATTCTTTGAATACTAACTTGCCGAATTATTGAATTATTAGCTTATTTCTGATTTTTCTCATTGATTTCATCCTGTTTTAAGTTTCTGAGTTTTGCTGTTGTCTATGCTGATCTCAGAACCCCTGGCCTAGCTGTCAAATGATTTTAATAGGAGTATGTTCATACTATAGAAAGTTAGGTAGGCTCAGAAAATAAAGTCGAAGCAGGTCACCAAGAAGTCTATTATCCAACCTTTTATAGCATATTATGTTGGTTATATCAATATTAATTTGTTATGTATTTTAGAAAAAAATGTAATACTGAGACCTGTTTGTGTTTGTTCCCATAATCTGTACCTAAATTAGAGCTCAAGTGAAATACATTTTCTGGTTTTATTCCCTGTTATTAAATATCAGTTTTATTTTGCTAAGCTTTATGTAACTCAGATAAGCCCCCACTTGCCTGAGTTAAACTGTTAAAAAACACTTTTATTAGGTGTAGGAATGCTGTCATAACTGGTTTTGGACACCTCAGTGGCTCTACCTGTCTTGGTGCAGTTCAGGAATTGTTGTAAAGATGGTGCCGGCCTTAGTCCTAGAGCAACCTAGAGCAGTGCTGCCTAGTGGAGAGCTAGTGAGTACCAGGGAAGAAGCATGTGAATTGAATTCTCACAGCTTTCACTAAGCGATTCTGAATGATTGCTATTTGCTGTATCAGCCAAGAACATGTCATTTAACTCTTTAGACTACTTCTTCATAGTTAATGGAGTTTACACTTAACAAGATGTCTCAGTTCATGCTAGCCATGGTTCTAGCATTCATAACCAACTGTGGCTGCCAACTGGCAGGCATTAAACGGTACTGGGGTGGCACTTTTGGAGTGGGGTTTGTTTAACCCTTCACCTCTAGGGCAGTACAGTCTCTCCTTTCTCTGTTCCTGTCTTCTGTCTGTGTCCAGGCGCTGGTGTGTGGGGTTAGTTCCTTACTCTCCTTCCTCTCTTTTCTCCCTGGCTTCATCTAAACTTCTTTCATACCACTTCATTCGTTTATTTTCTCACTTGGTCTTTGCATTTTGGTGTGTGTCCCCAAGTTCTTCTCTCCTGCTTATCCTTTTTGTGCTGTCCACCACCCATCATTCCTTGTCCTTCCCTCCTCTCTCTCTCCTAATTCTTCTTTGCCTTGTTTGTCCTCCTCTTCCTGTGTATAGATTTCACCACTGTGCAGTGGTTTTTGTAATGACAGCTTAAGATTGTGTGTTTTGTATTTTTATATCATATTTTAAAAAATCCTTTTGCCTTTTTCATGGTGGCTTATTGTTGGCTGTCTCCAGACACTTGTGGGTTGGGAAACCAGGTAGTCAGACTGGGTAGGAAGTGTCTACAGGAACAAGTTAATGGTCTCAAGCATTGCCTCATAAAGAAACTCATTAACTTTAAACTTAATAAAATTTAATTTGGCTATTTAGTGATATAGGAGAAGCATGAAGCTTTAGTTTAAAATTTACAGTCTAACCCAAGAAACTAACAAAGTAATCCTGGGGAAATTCACAGGGATGTTAGTACCTTCAGATGTGGGACAGTGAGATAGCTCCACAACAGAGTGCATGGCAACTTGGGGCTTGTTTTACTTGGGTCTTTACTCTTTACCTGTTTGCTAGCTGTTCATTAACTCTAAGAAGGTAAGTCTGTTGAGTAGTTGAGTTGTAGGCTGTAGATCAGGGGTCTTCAGTGTTAGCACTCTTGACTTAACAGATTGGGTAATTACTTTGGAGAGCTTGAGCCTTGTTTCTGGCTCTACCCACTATATGACTGGAACATTTACTCACACACCCCCTGGTGATAAGCAAAAATATTCCCAGGAATAGCAAATGTTCCCTAGGAGGTACAATACCCTATTTAAGAAAAACTGCTCTTCCAAGTAAATGTGTTTCAATTTGGTTATAAAATTCAAGCACATACTGATTTTGATTATAATAGTAAACCTCTGGAATTCATATTATTACAGAGCTGGGTGCAAAGGTATGTATTGAGCTGGCATACTTACAAAGTTTGTATGTTTATGTTCTTTCTTAGTATAATTTAGAAGTTCCCAGAAGTCTCTTAAAAATGGTTTGATTGGCTAGCATTTGTTCTACTATTAAGTATAAGTCTAATTGTTAATGTTAATGGTACTGATGTTGTACAGGGTGAACTTCTTTCTTAAAACCACCTCATAGCTGTGAAGGGAGGGAGCTGGTGATGTGATCTTTTTGTCATGTGAATGCCACATGCCATGCTTGTCCTCTGACATCAACAGCAGTGTGTATAGCAGACTGATGATGAATAAAATCTTAGTGTTCAATTTTTAAGACAGACAACATGTTCAGAGTCTAAAGACCTGCCTTCTAAAGATGAGAATTTATTAGGCCCTTTCCATTCTAAAATTTTTAAAAGCTCTGAAAACATCTTTTTTGCTATTAAAAAAATTTAAGGTGTGTGTCTATGTGTGTTATAAAATGTGAAAATGGTGTAGAGATTTCACAGTAAAAAGTGAAAGCCTTTGCTACCATTCCCCCTTCAAAGCATTCTACTAGGGTTTCAGAGGTTATAACTAGATTGTGCTGACCTTTTTCTGGTAACAGTGTTTATGTGAGAGTGTTTATGTTGTAAGAATAAAATGAACTGAGAGTATTTTGTAACATGCTCAGTTTTACTTACATATTATTATATATGTACATTGTTTTTTGTCCTCCCTCCCTTCCTCCTTCCCTCCCTTCCTCCCTCCCTCCTTCCTTCCCTCCCTTTCTTTCTTTTTTTCCCCCCTGGATGTCCTGGAACTCTCTTTGCTCTTTGTAGACCAGGCAGGCCTTGAACTCACAGAGATCCACCTGCTTCTGCCTCCTGAGGTCTGGGATTAAAAGAATGCACTACCACTGCCCAGCTATATATATTTTTAGATGAATTTAAAATCTAAATGTCTATAAATATACATTTTTATGTGCAAACCTATGTATATTTACTTATAGAATGAATTCTTTCCCCATCGTAGTATACCATAAAATGCTTTTGTTTTCTAAATATACCATTGTAATTTTTATATTTGTCTCTATGTGTTTGTGCATATGTGTAAATTACCTTCTAAGAGTTGGGCTTGGTGGTGCAGTTTGTAATCCCAACTACTTTGAAGGCTAAGACAAAAGGATGTCAAGGATTTAGGGCTAGTGTGAGTGGGTAAAGGCATTGCTGCCAAGCCTAATGACTGAGTTCAATTCTAGGGACCCAAATAATGGAAGGAGAGAACTGACTACAACAGGTTGTCCTTTGACCTCTACACACTTAATGGCAGTGCATACGTGTGTTCACACATTTGCACACATACTATAAATAGATAAGAACATATACATGTAATTCAATTCAAGGACCTATCTGGGGAGATGACTTTTAGCAATCCGTAGTGGTACAGTTTTTTGTCTAGGGATGAGGTCTGCTGAGCTTTTCATCTTCCTCTATAGCCTATCTAGTAGTAGATGTTTTCATTGTTCATGTTATACTTAGGCAGTCTTATTTGTTGTGTTTTTATTTTCGAGACAGGGCTTTGGAGCCGTTCCTGGACCTAGCTCTGTAAACCAGGCTGGCCTCGAACTCACAGTGATCCACCTGTCTCTGCCTCCCGAGTGCTGGGGTTAAAGGTGTGCACCTCCAGCTCCTGGCTAGGCAATCATATTTGTGAGATTTCCTGGATATAGTTTCTCTGACTCCTTGGAGACACAATTTCGTAGCAAATTACCTGTTTTTGTAGCTCTTAAAATCTTTATTTACATCTCTGAATGTTGGGTGCAGGAGTTTGTTGTAGACACATCAGCTGGGACTAAGCTCCTTAATTCTACATTTTGATCCATTGTGATTTTTTGTAATGGTCTCCATCTGTTGCAAAGAGAAGTCTTTAATGAAGGGGCAATTCTTTAATATTAGAAATTAATAGCATAGATGTAATACTTATAAATCAACAAAAGTAGATTTTGTTTCTGATGGCTTTTTCCAAAAGTTAGCAAAGTATTATTAGTTTATATCCTCTTCAGCAGTAAGTCTTTTTATATGGTATCATATTTAACAAGTTTTTGCGAAATCAATTTTAAATGAAATTTTAAAATTACTTTATTTCTTAAATAAATTTCTTGTGCATTTTTATTTATTTTTGACTATTTTTATCTCCATTTTTTATATTATAAGCACCTGTACTAGCTTCCAGGTGACGTTAGCATTCTGAATTTTGTCCTTCCTAAATATTTTAAGCATTGGCCCATAGGAACTTAAAATAGTAGTATATTTGGTCATTGGGGCCCTTAGAAAAGGTAAATGAGGAAAAATGAGGAAATAAGGGCAGATCTAATGCATTATGACTGTTGTCCTTAGAAGAGATGAGGACACAGAGGTATACAGGGGAAAAGACATGTGAAGATACAAACGTCTGTCTGCAAGCCAGAGAGAAAGCAAGACTTGTGCCCACTTCAACTGAACTTTGCTCCTATAATCATGAGAAAGAAAATTCCTGTTGTATTTGTTTTGGGGGGCCTTGGCAAACTGTAAGAGAGTCTTAGTTTGCTATTTACTGCAGTCTCTTATTTTGAAAATAGGGTCTCATGTAGCCCAGGCTGTCCTCTGGAACCCACTCTGTAGCACCTATGTAGACCCCCTGTCCCTGCTTCCCAAGTACTGGGATTACAGATGTGCTACTACCATGATCAGCTCTTGTAAATGTATTTTTGACTAATATACTTTTACTTTTAGGTATGTAGTTGATCTTAAAACTTAGAAAAATACTACTGTTTTAAGTATATATGTATTTATTTAAAATTGTCCTTTAGTTTTAAGGAGCATTATATATTAAAACATAAAAATTAGAGGATGGGTTGGGATTTAGTGGGGGTGATAGGGGAGGATTCGAGGGTGAGGGAACTGGGATTGACATGTAAAACAACTTCGTTTCAAATTTAAATAAAAAAGGAAAAAAAATTAGAGGAAAATTCTTATTCTTTTGAAAACCTTGATTTAAGATGTGTCCCTTTCCTTGATGCTGTGGAGTATTTGTTTAATGATGCAAAATGTGTTGCATTCTGTTATGTTGCATTTCTTTAACTCTGTAAAGCTGTGTTTTTTTAATAAAGAGCTGAATGGCCAACAGCTAGGCAGGAGGAAAGATAGGCAGGGCTGGCATGCAGAAAGAATAAAGAGGAGGAGAAACTAGGGAGAAGAAGGCATGAGAAAAGGAGAAGGAGAGAACACCAGGGGCAGCCGCCCTGGAGTAAGAAGGGCAGTCATACAGAATAAAGAAGCATAAAAACCCTGAGGCAAAATGCAGTTAAAGAAACAGAGTAATTTAAGTTAGAAAAGCTGGCTAGAAGCAAGCCAAGCTAAGGCCAGACATTCACAAGTAAGAGTAAGCCTTTATGTATTCATTTGGGAGCTAGGTGGTGGATTCCCAAAGAATATGAGAGAGAGAAAAAAATATATGTATATGCATATCAACAACTACAAAACCCAAAATCTCTTTCCGTCATATTCCAAAATTAAGGATTCTATAATAGTGCAGTGACTGAGAATAGTTATTCTATGTCTGTTCTTATCTATTATTCTGTTTTGAACTTAAAAAAATTTTCCCCATGCCTTCTTTCCTATCTGTGAAGAGATTGGGAAGGTGTTTTGCATGTATGTACTGAAAGGATAGTAAACTTGTCAGTTTGTTCTTAGAGTTTGTTATTTTCACATTAACAGATACCAAGATCACCTAGGATTTTACTTTTCTGGCATCATAATGTGGAAGATTAGTAATACTTTGGAGACCTTTTTGATTTGTTAATATTAAAAGATTTACTGTTTCTTTAATCCATTTCAAGTAGTCCCAATATATGAGGAAGTTTTATCCAGCTTTTGAATAGAAACTAATTTTCAAATTTCAGACCTAAATTAGAACCACATGTAGCAAGTCACCTGTGTAGATTCCTTGTAACAATGCTTTCAATAACAGTAACCAGAGAAATTTTGAAGGCAGCAAACTACTTGGCCACCAAGAGGTGCAGGGGCCAAGTTGCAGAGAAGAGACTCTGTAGAAGCAAGCTTCCTTCTCAAATCTTATACTTAGGTAACCCTGGAAAGAACTGACTAGCTGGAAGACAGAAAAGACAGCTCCAGCTCCAGGAGGTCCCCTTAGTGTAATTGTTGAATACTGGGTATTTAACACCTAAACTAAGCAGAAAATTTGGCATTGAACTTTGTAGTATTTGTATAAAACATGACTTAAATTTATTAACCTGGGCACTAGAACTCTTAAGAGGCTTTCAGTTGAAGCCTTAGAGCTGAGGAAAATACGAGAGTGACTGAGTCCTTGCAGAGAGCCAGCTAACCTGTATTAAGCACTGTGCAGTGCCCATGGAGAAATTTGACCTTACTAATGGGGAAAATGTCATAGTTTGCAAAGATCACAGGAGCCACCAAAGGACAAGGCTGACTACGTGGCCAGATCACAAGAAAACATCTAATAAAAAGAGCCCCCAAGATGATCTCATCCATACCAGTTTCAAACCAGTATTTGCACTTACGTAACATTCCAGAAAATGGCTAAAAATGGGTGAAAAAATTAAGATTATGGCAGTGCTTGGAAACAGTGGCAACCATTGAGAGTGTTGTATAAGGCAGTAACATTGAGGGGCAAAAACGGAATGGTAGACAGTAATTCAAAAAGGGGAAGGAGAGTTAAATCTAAAATTGTGGCTAATAAAAAATAAGATTATAGAAATAATGCAGCATATTTTTGTTATAAAATTATAAATTTTTTTCAGAACTGTATTAAGGAAAAATGCCATGTTTTGAGCCTACAGTTGTGCACATAGATACATAAATCCAAATTCATATGTAAGATTTTGTTTGTTTCTTCTAACAGCTTCTTTGTGATATTGGCCATAGCGAAGAAAAATTGGGCTTTAATTATGAAGACATCATAATTTGGTAAGTTTAGATCAGTCTTCCCTTATTTTAGTAATTTCCATTGTAACAATTTAAATTAAAGTTATTATAACAGCAACACATGCTTAATTCTGTAGAAGCGGTGGTTCCCAGAAGGAAAAAATCAGGTTCTTCGGGGACTTTCTTGTGTCATGAGGCTTAATTGGGCTTTTGTGATTGCTGGATACAAAGAACTAAAGTTACTGATCAAAAATACCCAGACTTCTTTAAAGGTTAAAAGTAAATATTGATGTTGCAGACAGAATTTCTCTCACTGTTCCAAGGAATAATATGAGGCAATAAATCTAGGTTTTACCTAAGAAAGTGTTTACCTATTACAGATTCATTATATGTCAATAGGTTATTGATCTTGCTATTGATTTAAATTAATCATCCTTTGGGACTTGTCGAAACACAGATGCAAATAAAGAATACATTGTAGAAACATCTAAAGATACACTGAAAAGACTCTAGCAAATAAAGAATACATTGTAGAAACATCTAAAGATACACCGAAAAAACTCTATGTGATTTTTCCTTGCAGTCATACAAAATATGCCAGAATATGATTAGAACTCAACATTGGTTGGATTAGTAAGATTGGAGCGAGCACAGGTTAACAACATCACCAAGTGAAAGTCTCTATCTAGGAGTGTTTTGTTTGTTTGTTTTTGTCTTTTATAGAATTAATCATGCCTAACTAAAAGTTTGGGATAACCTCAGCTGAAGAAGAACTTGATCTGGGTGAATACCCTCAAGTATGAAAACATCTGAAGTGCCCCGAAGTGTGAGGCTTTGTTAGTTATCTCAAGTATCAAAAAGCTTGGGGTACTCAGTTTGGCATAGCTTTGGAAGTAGTCCCTGTGAAAAATACCAGGAATCAGAAATATGTCTCATCCCAAGCATTTCAGATGAGAGCTGGGTTACTACTGAAATTTTGTGTGTCTTTGAGACTCATGTTACAATAACAAATCATTTTTGTTTGTTTTCACAGTTTGCGTTTGGCTTTATTAAACGAAGCAAAAGAAGTGAGAGCAGCAGGGTTGCGAGCGCTGCGCTATCTCATACAAGATTCCAGTATTCTGCAGAAGGTGCTAAAACTGAAAGTGGACTATTTAATAGCTAGGTAATTTCCCTAGAATTGCTTCTGTTTTGTATGTTTTTAGAGTTTTGTGTTGAGTTCTAGCATAGTATCAACTGTGTACAGACTTTTGGTATAAAGCTTGATAATATACAAACAAATGATCACATAAGCCTAAGGTCATTTTCAGCATAACAGGAAGGCTGCATTATATCTCTAAGCAGTTGTAAAATAGTAAACTAGTTTTCCTGTCCTTGTGTTTCACATTATATATTAATATATATAAAAAACCAACACATGTAAGTATACATTGATTATTCTTTTCTCATCATCTGTAAGGCTGTTCTGTGTTGATATACTGTTTGTCTTTTAAATTTATCTTTGCTCTGTAGTATTTGGTTTTAAGATTAGAACACAATATAGTATGTTCATTCAGAATAGTTTTCAGTGTTGAGTTATTTTGAAAGAGTTTGCCTTGAAATTTTTGTGAAAGTCTTTGAGGCTTTCATTTCTTACAACTGTGTGTACAGATAGGAATGTTGGAACGTGATGTATGTGTGTTTAGCCTTGGGAGATAATATAACAAGAATGTTTTTAAAGAAATGGCACTAATAGTTTAGAGATCATGACCGGTTTGTGAGCTCGAGTTGAGTTGTTGGTTTTTGTTTTGTTTTTATGTTGTAGGTTTGTTTGATGGGGTTTCATTACATATTCCTGGCTGGCTTCAAATGTAGGATTTCCCTGCTTCAGCCTCTTGAATGTTACAGTTACAGACATGCATCAACATATGTGGCTTAGATTTTTATAATGGTATTTGTGACAAATGTAATTAACTTTTCTTTACTGTTTTTAGCTGCTAATATATAGAAAAATAGGGCATTTTGTTTTCTTCCATAGCAATCTTGGTAAATTCACTCTATAGTTCTAGTAGATTGCAAATTATATTGTGTTTCCTATGTGCATCAGCATTAATGACAGCGACGACTCTTATTTCTTCCAGTACTTTCAGCCTCCTTGGTCTTGCTTTACTATGTTGCTGAGAACTTAACTGAATTGAAATTTTCTTGAGTTCAGGTGGAAGGTATTAAGTATTTCACTGCAGCTTTATATGGCTGTTTGTTTGGTAAATTATCAGCGTTACTCACTTGTATTGTTGAAGTAAATACCACTTATTCATGATTGCTTGCCGTTTTTGTGTAAACTGAAGGCATTTGTCTTTTGTTTTTCACATCCATCAACTGAGTTGTTGCCCTGTATTCTGTGAACAATATTATGTAAATCTTATGACTTGTTTTAAAATGTCCCATACATGGTCAGAATAAACCAGTGAATCTTACAGGGTTGGAATTTTTATTTTCTAATTGTGGTTGGTTTACAACCATAATGCAACATTATGCCGTATCAACTATTTGTTTGGAACTTGCTAAGGCTTGTTTTGTTTTTGTTGCTTTTTCAAGGCAGATTTTCTCTGTAGCTTTGGAGTTTGTCCTAGAACTGGCTCTATAGACCAGGCTGGCCTTGAACTAAGGCTTGGTTTTGCGCTCAGCCTTTGGTAATTTTGAGATGTCTGTCTTCTTAATACTGTTTTGTTTCGTTTTTTTTTTTTTTTCCCTCCCCCCGAGTGCTGATCCTATAGCTCCAGCCTTTCACCTGCTGTATGTTTCCCTTTTGTATCTTTTCTTATATATTCAAGCTGTTTAACTTTACATATGGTATTTTTGTCACATCTATTCTTTGTACTGTTTTCTTTGTAGTTTTTGTTCTGTTTTGTGTTTTTAAGACAAGGTTTCACTCAAGTAGCTCAGGCTGGGCTTGATTTCTGGCCCTCTTATATCTTATGTTCTAAGTCCTGTGGTTGGGGGTCGCCACCGCACACAGCTGGCTTCTTTCTCGTTTTTTCATTTATATTTTTTGGTTAGTGGGTTTGCTTTTACTGGCCCAGGTCATTTTCCTGAAGTGTCTTAGCTTTGAGTCTTTTCTTTTTGTGTAGTTGTTCTGGGGACTGTTTTCTGTCCCTGTTGTATTTGTGCCTGTCATTCTTACTGCTAGCAAAACAGTGTAATACACCTTCAGCACTTTTCTACTTTTGTTTAGTGTTATAACCTAATACCTCATGTGCTTATTAGCTCTACCAACAGTCAGTCAGTCTGTCTGTCGTCTGTCTGTCTGTTGTATGTGAGTATTTGCCTACATGTACGTGTACTGTGTACCTGTCTGGTACCTGCAGAAGTCAGAAGGCACCAGAACCTTTAGAACTAGAGTTACTGATGGCTATGATCTACCATGTGAACTCAACCTGGGTCCTCTGCAGGAGCAGCAAGAGCTCTTAACCCAATGAGCCATCTTGCCAGCCCCATGTGCTAGGTCTTTTTCAATGTGTGTACATTGGTGTTTTCTGCCTGTTTCTTAGTGCCAGTCTTGTCTTGTGGTACCAGTCTCTTCTTTCTGCTTCCTTTGCTCCCAGCACCCTAAGGGGGCTGTAAGGGTTTTATCTGTTATATTTTACCCTCCCAGGGCATTCCATCTGCACTATGTTGAATCTTTATTAAAACCTATCATTGAATTTTTGTCTGGCACCCTTACAGTATTTTCCAATCTTTGCTGTTTTGTTTATTTTCATAGTTCAAGCCTTACTTTTTACTTACTTTTATTCCAGTCTATTCTGTCAGTAAGTCAGTCTCTTTAATGTTTTGTTTCAGTTATTGCCTTGTGATTTGTTACTCTTTAAAAGTTTGTTTCTGCTTTATTTCCCCATATTTTTATTTTCACATAGATTTTTAGTCTGACAATTCTTACTATGTAAACACTTGTATTCTTTTTTTCTGATGTTACTTTCTTTTGATTTGGAGTTCTTGGAACTTTTGTTTGGGTATTTGTTTTAAATCATGCCTCATAACAACCAATTATGTGCAAATGTTAGTGTTTAAAATTGTAAGCACTGCATCATATTATCATCTTCCTTTGAAGAGAATTTATTCCACAGACTTACCTTATTGCATTGAGTATATTAAACTAGTTTAGGGTTTGCTAATGTTCAAGGAAGTAGCAATTTGGAGTGTGCAGGTATTTAGCAGAGCCGCCAACTTGCCCAATCCCAGCCTGAGCATCTTTCTTGGTCTGTTATATATGTTCTGGCATCCGTTCCTATGTTTTTCACCTAGGTTTTTACTTGGCTTGGAGCCCGATTCTGCTCTTGTATGATGTAAAACCTGACAAGTGTTTTGGTGAGAACATTGCATACAGATTTTTAAGATCATATTCCTGTCATTTTCCTTTTTCAGGGCCTTATCTTCCCTCAAATTAAATCTCCCTTTTCAGTATACCAGAACCTACAGCTGGGGTTGGCAGATTTTCCCAATGGAAAAGGCCTGTTTGAATGTGGAGCTCCTTATGCTTGTCTTTGCAGGGTGATTCTCCATTTCTTCTTTATTAATAGTTTTCCGAAGTTAGTTTTTCAGTTTTGGCAGGAGGATTGGGCATGATCCAAGCTTCATGGCATTAGCCAAAAATGTAAATCTCTTCTGTGTGATTGTGTGTGTTTGTGTCTGTGTGGTTGTGTATGTGTGTGGGTGTGCATTGCTGGACTTGAACAAGTGGCCATTCTACCTCTCCCTCACTTGTTTTAAATATATTTGGACAAAACAGAAATGCTTTTGAATAACTTGCTTATCTATAAAATATTGGTTAGAGTACTGAACTGCCTAACATAATTGTGTTATTACATTTTACAAGGACATGTCAGCTAAGTGATATTTGATCAAATGTTTTTGAAGAGAATTCCAAATTCAAATTATTTAATACAATAGAATTCTTTTTTGTTTGTTTCTGGTTTTTTTTTTTTTTTTTTTTTTTTTTTTTTTTGAGACAGAGTTTCATTGTATAGCTCTGGCTATCCTGGAACTCACTTTGTAGATAGAATAGACTGGCCTCAAATTTCAAAGAGATCCACTTGCTTCTGCCTCCCAAGTGCTGGAATTAAATGTGTATCACTATGTCTGGCTAAAATAGAAATCTTACATTGAATAAAACTGTTGTTATAGACAAAATTTAAACCTTAATTAAATAATAAACTAACACAAGCTGGAAATATTTCCCCATATAATTTATACATCTCTGATACTTTTCTCTGTATATTGTGATTCTTTCTTTATAGATACTGATATTTTAAGTGATGTGTATGGGAACATTTATCACTAGAGATATGTAGTTAAATATTTGTTGTTACTGGGAAAGCAAGTACTATAGTCTTTGAAGTTTTAATTCACTATGTTGGATTATGAGGATAATCAGACCTAATGTTCTGCAAAATGTTTTTATATAGGATTTCTTTTTCTTTTCTTTTTTCTCCACATTACATAGTTTTCTTTATAGCCTGTCCTGGAACTATCTGTTTATCAGGCTTCCCTTGAACTAATAGAGATCCATCAGTATCTGCTTCCCAAGTGCTGGGATTAAATTCCTATGCCACACATGCCCAGCTGCAAGTACTTCTTTTTTTTTTTTTTTTTTTTTTTTTTTTTTTTGTTGTTGTTTTTGTTTTTTTTGCTAGGCAAAATGGAACATGCCTTTAATCCCAGAACTTAAGGTACAGTGCTAGAGGTCCAGGCTAGTCTGATCTACATGGAGATCTTCAGGCTATTCACAGTGAGACTCTTGTCTATTCTATTTAAACTAAAACTTAAAGTAATTTTTTTCCTTTTTTTTTTTTTTTTATTTTAATTTTGCAAGACAGGTTAACTGCCTTGGCTGTCCTGGAACTCACTCTGCAGACCAGGCTGGCCTTAGTCTCACTGAGATCCACCTGCTTCTGCCTCCTAAGAGCTGAGATTAAAGGAGTACACCCTCCCTCTCTGCATATGGATTCCAGTTCTGCTCAGTGTTTAGTTGTGGGTGTCTGCTTCTGTTTCCATCAGCTAATCCCAAGATTTCTAAATAACTGATGTTTTATATTATTTAGGTGCATTGACATCCAGCAGAGCAACGAGGTGGAGAGGACACAAGCACTTCGCTTGGTCAGAAAGGTATGTGTTACATGTGAGAGCATAAAGGCAAATGAGTGCTTCCATGTCAAATGCTTCCATATTTAGATGGTTGTAGAATATGTTTATTAAGATTTGAAGAATGGATTTTCATAAAACATTTTAATTTGTTATAAAGTAAGTACATCTGTTAAATGTTGTGGTAAGCATGAGTATTTGTTTTATTAGTCTATGTGATTGAGGATAGCTTCTTCGAAAATGACCATGCTGAGAGGTATTTCTGACTATAGTGGACATGTAAATGTAATTGCTAATTACTACTTTGTTATTAGAGAAAGGGTAATGCCCCAAACTATCTTCATAATCCTTTAATGTGTGATTTTTTTTTCTAGTTGGTAGTATAAAATATCACAAACACAAGCATGCTGCTTTTCAAGATAAGTTTGTACACAGCTCATGGGAACTTATGATGCTTTCCTATATAAGTGATACACAATTCAAGCTGTTAGCTTTCCTATATAAAATGCCACTATTGAAGCTGAGGAAACAATTTGGTTCAAGGCAGTCCACAAAGTTTCCGGGATTTCTTCACCGGTTTCACTTTTACTTGATAATGTGATATCCTTGTGACCAACATGGAAAGTGAAGAGAAAATAAATTTGATTGGGACACATCCTAAGACAAGTATCATGTTTTTCCCTCTGTAGGAAACCAATTCATAAAACTAATGCAGTATATTTTTGTGAATGTGAAATACCTAATACTATTTTTACTGGTATTTTAAAACTGGGTCTTGCTATGTGGCTGTAGCTGGGTGAAATACACTTTGTAGCCCAGGTTGGTTTCAAACTCTATCCCTCCTGCCTTAGCTTCCTTAATGTTAGACTTGTAATGTACCACTGTATTCGGCTGAAAATTATTTTATAGTTGAATTTATTAAGCATTTCTTCTTTATCTTATCTTTAAATCCATTGCATGGTCTAGATGGTAGACTGTAGAGTTAGTATGCTATTTTCTCCTTTCCCTCTTTTTTCTACCATAGTAAGGAATAAGGAAATGGATGCATTTCTTTAAAGAAGATTGAAATTCCAATAAAAGTGATATTGGAGAATGTCTTAGTTAAGGTCTCTCTGGCTATGAAGATCACAGCCCTGTTTTAAGTAAATTATTAGGTTAGAACTGTGATTTGGCTTTTCATACTTAAATTTTAAAATAATTTATACTATTTGTTCATAAATCTTTCCTAATGAAATGAGTAATTATGACAAGAAACAAATTTCTTTCTATAGTACTTATAACAATTTGGAGTTTCAACATGTATTACATTAAAAACTAATATATATTTCCTGCTAAAAGTAATAAACCTTAACATCTTAAAAAAATACCCTATATTTCCAAAAAAAGAAAATTAGTAAGAAGAGTGCCATTATTTTACAGTTTGTAAATAAATATATTAAGTTGGATCTTGATAAAAGACAGCTAGATTGTTACAATTGATCTCATTCTGTCATACAGAAGAAATAGAAAGGTTCAATATATGCTGAATAAATACAAGCTAGCACAGACAGAGTAGGTATAATAAAAAAGCAATGTATCTTTTAGTTACTAACAAAATAATTACATTACATTTCTACTAGAAATTCAAGGAAGAGCTAATACCAATACTTCTCAAATTGTTCCACACAATAGAAACAGAAGTTTCATTACCAAACTCTTTTTACAAGGCCACCATCACCTTCGATCCCAAGCCACACAAAGACACAACTAAGAAAGAAAACTACAGACCAATATCCCTCATGAACCTTGATGCAAAAATACTCAATAAAATACTGGCAAATTGAATCTGAGAAATCATCCACCATGACCAAGTAGGCTTCATCCCTGGGCTGCAGGGATGGTTTAGCATATGAAAATCTATCAACATGATCCACCATATAAACAAACTGAAAAAAGAAAACCACATGGTCATCTCCCTAGATGCTGAAAAAGCCTTCGACAAAATCCAACACCCTTTCGTGATAAAGGTCTTAGAGAGATCAGGGATAACAGGAACATAACTAAACATAATAAAAGCAATATACACTAAACCAACAGCCAATATCAAACTGAATGGAGAGAAGCTTAAGGCAATTCCTCTAAAATCAGGGACAAGACAAGGCTGCCCTCTCTCTCCATATCTCTTCAATATTGTACTTGAAGTTCTAGCTAAAGCAATAAGACAACAAAAGGACATCAAGGGGATCCAAATTGGAAAGGAAGAAGTCAAACTTTCTCTATTTGCAGATGATATGTTAGTTTACATAAGCAACCCAAAAAACTCTACCAGGGAATTTCTACAGCTGATAAACACCTTCAGCAAACTAGCAGGATACAAGATAAACTCAAAAAAGTCAGTAGCCCTACTATATACAGACAACAAAGGGGTTGAGAAAGAAATCAGAGAAGCATCACCCTTTACAATAGCCACAAATAACTTAAAGTATCTTGGGGTGACACTTACCAAACAAGTGAAAGACCTATATAGCAAATTGGGAGCATGAGGGAGGGAGGGAGGAGGGAAATAGGAGGGGGAAGAGTGGAGGAGAACTTAAGGGGTCAGGAAGATCAGGGAGCCAAGGGACGACTAGAGAAAGAGAACAAGAAAAGAGATAACTGAATATTTGGACATTTTATATGCATACAAACATATTTGAAAAACCTAGCTTCTTTTAACTGTAGGGTAACTTATAGTCCATGAATAATTAAGGAATCCTTAAGTTACTTTCCCTTCTCTTTTACCTATCTCATTTATTTGAAGGGATTTTATTTGGCTTTTTTTCCTCAGTGTCTCTGATCTTCTCTCTGGTATTCCTTTCTAGCTTTGTCATATATATTTTCTATATGTATGACTGTTCCTACTCCTTTCTTTTTCTCACTAAGTTCTACTAGTGCTGGCACTTGCTGCCCAAACATTAGTTCAGATTTCCGGTAAAAAGTTGAATATAGTGGCTCCCAGTGTTGGAGAAAGGGTAATAAGGCAGATCCCTGGAGTTCTTGGTTAACTAGCTTAGCTAAGTCAGTAAGCTACAGGTTCATTGAGAGACCCTGTCTCAAACCATAATATGGAGAGTATGGAGAGTTACTGAGGAAAAGGTCAACATTGGCCTCAGGCTTCCATATACTGGGGCATGTGTATACACACACACACACACACACACACACACACACACACACACACACACACACACATTGGCCTCAGGCTTCCATACACTGGGGCTTGTACACACACACACTTTTTCATGTATCAACAAAAGATTCTGGATTAGTCAGCCTATCTTTTGGCATAGCAACAAATAATGATAGCTAAAGATTATTGACTAGATGAGGTTCAGATCAGTTTGATCAGGAGGGAGGAGCAAAGGTAAGTAAGTGGCAGGGGTATGGTTATGATGCAGCAGCACAGTTATATGTCCACCACTGTTCATGTCACTGAGCTGCATGATGAACACTGAGGAGCTGTGTAAGATGCCATTTCTATTCTGGAGGGACCTAGAATCTTAGAAACAATCTTGGTGAACAACTACTTTAGTTTTATTATTAGTAAAGAATCAGGAACATTTCCATAGTAATTATTGCTAATATTTACTGTTAGTTATAATAATAGAGATCCTTGTGATTAAAACAATTCTTTGGGATGACCATGCAAAGCTGAATGCTAAAATTGGTGCCTCAGTCTTACGACAATTTTGTGCCCTTAACTATCTCCATCTGAATAAAATAAGATTTAAATTGTACTAAAAAGTAAATGACTTATCTTCTGATTCTTCTCTGTTACAGATGATTACTGTGAATGCTTCCTTGTTTCCTAGTTCTGTGGCCAACTCATTAATTGCAGTTGGAAATGATGGACTTCAGGAAAGAGACAGAATGGTCCGGGCATGCATTGCCATTATCTGTGAACTAGGTCAGAATTTTCTTGAAACAGTGAAGTGTTTTATAAAGTACATGTAACATTCCACAATGTTTTTAAAAGAAAAATGCTTTAGTTATTGCTGTAAAAATAGGAAAATGTTTCTGATAGGAAAGTATAATATTTAATAATTTAAAATTCATATTATTATTGTATAAATGTTCAGATATATTATTATGAAATTTGATTATCTGTAATCTAGTAGTAATAATAATAATGAAATCTAGTCTAGCCCTCTGACATTGATGATAACTATATCTTGACATGGATAAAGTAATAGTCTACAGTGCAAAATATGAATTCTGATAAAACCCTTTTGATTACAGATCAGAGATTAGAGTAAAAAAAGAGAGAGTAAAAACATGAATGGGTATTTATCTGGGCATTGAGGGAAGTAAATTTTGAATTATCAAATAAATCATACATGGATTTTAGTAGCTACAGAGTTTAAGGAACCAAAAAAATGACTGTTGGCAGATCAAACAAATAAACTAACAAGTGTAAAGTAAAATAGTAAACACAAATAATACTCCAATACCTACATGGCTAATTTGTAAAATTTAATCTCAGTTGTTATCAGTAGAATATAATTTTAAGTAACAAGGTGATGACTTTTTCGTTTCTATTACCAAAAGTATAAATTTTGGACATCACATTTACTCTTGGGATAATAAATTAATAAAGCTTTAAGATATGACAAACAATAACCACAGAAGACTTAAGCATTTTCCTTAATACCTGCTGTAGAAACAAAATCAGAAATATGATTACAATAATTATGAAAATTGTAAAATTTTACAAAATACCCATATATTAGATGTCTAGAAAACTATATTGATTGATGTTTATCATAAAGTGAAGCAAAGTGTAAATGGGTGAGCAAACAGAGTAAGGAAGAAGGGAAATAAATGCCCAACAGGACTACAGGTAGGGTTCAAACAATGATAAAATTACAATTTATTATTAGGATGCAAGGTAGATTGCTCACCCTTAAGTTATACTAGTTGGAAGAAGAAAGCATTGAAGTATACACTTTAACTTTGGAAAACTCCAAATTCTGAATTAGTAAAAGAGAAGAATATAATAGAAGTTCTTTTAAACAAGTTTTTTTTTTTTTTTTTAACATATATGCTTGAAAACTCACTGAAAGAAATGGGTTTTTAAAATAAATGTTAGTATCCTGTCACACAAAAGTACAATGTGTGCTAAATCAAAACTCAAAAGTGTGATTGTAGATACTGGTGGCACGATTGGCTCTAAAAACGTTATTACATACTTTTATAAAATAATAAACTAAAGGAGCACATTATATCTAGAAACCTTTAGGTACTTAGAAGGCTACTTCCTTGACAGCCTACAATAGAAATCACAAATGTTTTACAGACAAAAATACTTTGCTGAATGCCAGTGCCTGGCATACCTGAAGAGCTATACTTAGGGTAAAGTAACGTGTAGTTATTAAAGTGCTACTGAGAACAGAGCAGGAACTCATCTTAAAAGTCATTCACATACAACCAAAGACATCATGAGGACACTTTTGAAAAGAACTATGGAAGAGGAAGGAGGATTCCTATTGACTCAACACTTCACGCTAACCTTTTTGTAGGGGTATACATGATGTGTGTGTGTACATACATGTAAAGGGCAGAGGTCGGTAGCCATCATTTTCCTTAGTCATCTTGCACCTTTTGCTTTGAGACAACTTAGTACACATTGTTTAAAACTTTTAACCATGTTAGCAATAAAGTAATAAATGAAATTTAAATATAGAAGCCAGCTAGTTGTCACTATAAACATATATTGGAAAAACTGAATCCAGTGAAGAAATGACCTGTGAGTTTTCTATGGTGGAATCATGTGAAAATTGAAATTTGATATATTACAGAAGTAATCAAAACAGATTAAACATAAGAAATATGTAGGAAATATGGTGGTATGTATATATGCAATAGTTTTGAGTGTGTCCAGTTGAGTTTCAGGAAGGTCCAGTTAAGGGACATATAGACTGAGAACATCGATGACAGTGGAGGGAGCACAGTGGGACTTATGACGTACTTGAGTCCTACACTGAGCAGTCTTGGCAGTCGGTGTAACTGTTTAGATATCATTGACCCATGCCATCAAGATCTGTGAACCGTGGTTCTGTGTGATTTCCTAGTTCTAAAATTATCCGGGGGAATAGACGTGACAGAAGAAACTATAGAAAGATTTTGTTAAAAAAATATATATATGTGAAGGAGAATGGAAACTTTCTTTTATACTATTTTTAGGAATTATTAATATCACCCCCCTCCCCCCCCCCCCCCCACACACACACACCGGGTTTTTCTGTAGCTATGGAGACTGTCTTGGAACTTGCTGTATATACCAGGCTGAACTGAAAGAGATCCTCCTGCCTCTGCCTCCCAAGTGCTGGGATTAAAGGCAAGTGTCACCACTGCACGGCTGTCAGTCTCATTTTTTAAGAGAAAAACATTTTTAAAAAGTTGCAGATCCTATTTTGAAAACCATGTTGGCGTGTAATTAAGAATAAATACCAAAGTTCGGCAAGTTAAACACATACCTGTCATCTCTATCCTTTGGAGACAGAGCCAGTAAAATACCAAGTTCAGAGCCAGCTTGCAAATAAGCAACCCTGTTTTCAAAAAAGGAAGAAAAAAGTATAAAAATCAATTTGGGAAAAATGCTGGTATTATTAGTAAAAAATTTGTGGGAAAAATTGAGTTTATTATCTCAGTGAATCTCAACTTCATGACAGAATGAAACAAATGGAACTTAATCTATAAAGATATATACATGTTGGTCTCACATGTGGTGATAGACACCTGTTCTCCAAGCATTCAGGAATCAGGTAGAAGAGTGTGAGACTGCCTGAGCGCTGTGGTTACTTTTAAGTCACTGCTTCCAAAACAAGGTCCACAACAAAAAGCACACAGTAGGTTCAAGGAACAGTCTTCAGTGTCCAAAGTGAGTTTTTCATCTTACAGTTCAAAGGCTTTTATGTGTATGTTTGCATGCATGTGTGCTTTTTTTTATAAAAGTAAATAATATATACCACTTGAAGCAAAATTTAAAATAAATCCTGTAAAGGAGCTAATGTCTCCACAGTAAAATGAACTCATAGGTTCGAAGAATATGACAACGTTAAAGGCATTTTAACATTTTAAAAATCAGGCTTGGGGAAAAGGTAGTAAATGACTCTTAGCTGATATCTTTTATTTGTAAATATAGTTAATAAGAAATTTTTCAAATCCAAAAGGAAACTTGTAAGATTTAAGTAAAAGTTTAGGTTTTAAATACTTAGTGCTGTGAATATAATTAGTTTTTCTTTCATTTTAGCACTTCAGAACCCAGAGGTGGTAGCCCTTCGAGGCGGACTAAACACCATCCTGAAAAATGTGATTGATTGCCAATTAAGTCGGATAAATGAGGCCCTCATTACTACAATCTTGCACCTTCTTAATCATCCAAAGACCCGACAGTATGTGCGAGCTGATGTAGAATTAGAGGTAGGCACTTTTAGTGTTTCTAATTTAAAAGACAGTTCTTAAAAAAAATAGCTATTTAATGTGTATGGGGATTTTTGCCTTCATGAATGGCTGTGCACCATATGTGTACAGTGCCCACAGAGGCTAGAAGAGGGCATCAGAACCCCAAGAACTGGAGTTGCAGGTGCTTGTAAGGTGCCATGAGGGTGCTGGGAATCGAACTTGGGTCCTCTGGAAGTGTAGTCAATGCTCTTAACCACCTAGCCTTCTCTCTAACCCTAAATACAAGTTTAAATACATAACCTTACTTTGAAATTTTGAAATAGTAGACTTTAAGTGCTACCTTAGTAATCTAACCTGTGTTAGTTTGGTTTATTATCATTCTATGTAGTTACTTAATTAGTAATGACTTAAAAATGTTGTTATCAAGAATATTTCAGCAACATGCAAAATAGTTCATTTTTTATTAGCTTTAAGAAGTTTCTTGAGAAAACTAAAGGATGGATAAGATTACACTAAAACATATTTATATAAGAAATGTTAATATTGTTTATCTTATGCTGATTATGTTGCTTATTCATTAATACCAAAATTTTCTAACATACGAACCATATTGAGGGCTAAAGAGATGGTATAGAGGGTAAAACCCTTAATATGTAACTTGACAGCCTGAGTGTTATCCTGGGGCTCATAAATGCTGGGTGTGGCTCAGTTCTGTGACCCCAGCATTTCTGGAGAAGCACAAGAAGTGGCTGGAATCTCCTGTAGGAAAAGTGAGCAGAAACAGCAAGAAGAATCCACCTCTGGAATAAGACGAAGGAAATAATAGACTCCCCAAAGGTGTCCTCCAGCATCCACATGCACAGTATGGCACATGTACACCCATACTCACGTGTGCGCACAGGTGCATACACATGTACAGACTACTAAATAATACAAAACAACAAAAAGCACTTTGTTTGGCACTATCTCTAATGAATCTATCTTTTAAAACATAAAAAATATGATACATGTAAAATATTTTACTAATCCAGGTATAATTTTCTTTTTCATTATCTAAAGCAGTAAAGTTACTATATACTTCTTGTTATAAGGTGGTATTAACTGAGGATGGAGGCACCTGACTATAATCCTAGCATTCATGAGGCAGAGGAGGAGTCATGGGAGTTAGAGGCCAGCCAGGGCTGCTGGTGAGACAGCATCAGACAGAGCAGCTATCACACAGTTAGATCTTAACAGTTTGTTTTGTTGTCTGTTGAAGAGCATCCAAAATTAGTTTAAATCAAGGATTTAAGTATAAAATCTACAATTTAAAATTGTTTATTTCTAATTATTCTTACCATTTTAGGGAAGGAGCCTTATAAATGCAGTTCTGATTTTATTAGGATTTTTCTCCTTTTTCCCTCCCTCTCTTCTCCCTCTGCCTCCCCCTTCCCTCCTGTAATGGGGTCTTGCTGTGATCCCTGGGCTGGTCTCCATATTGTAGGCTCCCACCTCAGCTCGCCATGTAGCTGGATATATAGGCAGCACCAACATTCTTGGCATTAGGACTGTTTGTAAGAACATTACAGATGATAAAACATCATTATCATTACTAAGAAATGTAATAAGCACCATAGTTTATTAATTTTTTTAATGTATTATTCATTGGAATCCCATGCCAGCGGGTATTACTGATCTCCCATAGAATGCTTAGCTTTAATCTTTAGCAACTATAATAATTAATATTAAAAATTGAAGGTTTTATATTTAAAGTAAGGAAATGACTCAAAGAAGGTAGTAGTATAGGCTCTTTTTAATTCTATACATTATAAAGCAAACTAGCAAATCTTTATGTAAATGAAAATAGCCTGCAAAAACTATGGTGTGTTTTTAAATAATCTATATTTTATGGTTACAGCCATAAACATCTTTTTCCTTTAATAAGATGTCACCTCAGTGGCACAGAGCCGGAGAGGGCGGACTTTAGGCTGTACAAGTTCTGTTTGGGTGGTAATAACATAGTTCAGTGGGGAGAGCAGAGCACCAGGCTATTATACTAGGTTGCGTGTAAGTTTACCCTATGACCTTGCTAAACTTCATGGCTTTGGGCAAGTTGTTTAGCATCTTTTGACTTATATTTTTCATAGGTAAAATGAAGAACAAGGGTTTCAGAGTTAAAAAATAATTTTGAAAGTTAAGTATTCTAAAAAAATAAACCTTTCCCTCCACCCCTCCACCCCCAGAGGGTTTTCTTGTGGCTTTTGGAGCTTGTAGACCAGGCTGGTCTCAAACGCACAGAGATCCATCTTCCTCTGCTTCCCAAGTGCTGGGATTAAACACATGCATCACCACTACTTGACCTAAATAACAAATCTTAACAATACTAACTACAGTAGTTGGCAGCCACACAAGCTTACATTAAGTTATATGCATTTCCTCTATGTTCTGTTCTACATAAATGTGTTACATAGTTTTTCACATGTAGAAAGTACTGACTTCCTTAGCTGTTTATCATTGTCTTCTATCTTCACCACTGTATCTTCATTGTGGAATCAGTTAAGAGAATGTAATCTTTTTAATACAACGTACTGATTTTGTTTTCATTCTAAATCAATACCTTTTCTATAAAGAACTACTTACAGTATAGAGATATAGTAGATATAGAGATGTCTCTGTTGCCAGACATCATCTCCCTCTTGTTAAAAATAGATGTGTGGTTAATTTAAAATTTTGTGTCTCAATATTTAGTATACTGTGGTATTCATTTGTGGTGAATTTATACAAGTTCTTATGTAACCGCTTGCTTACGTTTTCTTGGACAATTTACTATTCTGGGAAATTCACATATGCTTTCTTGAGATCAGAAAATCAAGAGCCTTTGGTGGGTTTGTAGTGCTAAAATAACAAATTGGATAACTTGTAACTAATCTCCTATTCTTGACATTTACCAGATTTCCAGAGTTGTTGGAATAGATAAAGATCTCAGTTTAAACATACAAAATATAGTCTTAAATATCATTCTTAGGAAAGTACATGCCTTTGATCCCAGTACTTGGGAGACAGAGGCAGGTAGACCTCTTTGTGTTCTAGACCACCCTGGTCTACATAGTGAATTCCAGATCAACCAAGGCTACATATTGAAAACCTTGTCTTTAAAAAAAGGAAATCTTTTTTAAAGTCCTATTCTCATTGCTATGGATTAAATAAAAACACATATGTTCTATTGAAAACACTGACAGAATATATTAGGATGACAGCACAGACAGATATACTTAGTTTTATTAGAATTACAGTGTAACTTCTGTTTAACATAGTCACTGTAATTGGATGATTAGCTGCTTTCATCCATCAGCAGGGAAGAAAAGATCAATCACCTCTGTTGGGAGAAAGCATCAGATAATTCTTTTTATAAAATGACTGTGTGGAACATTCATTCAGTCAGAATTTTCTAGTCACAGATGGGCTGGTTGGCTCAGTGTATGAGGTGCTTGGTGAAAGCACAGGAACCTGACTTAGCATGCCTCGCACCCACATGAATGGTGGAATGTGCCAGAGACACAAACAGGTGAAACCTGGGGGCTCAGTGCCTTCTGAGATTGCATAATAGTGGTCTCCAGGTTCATTAGGAGGCTACCTCAGAAAATAAGGTGGAAAAGCACGTCTGCTTGCACAGACACGTCAATTCCCATACTTGCACACACATATGATTTCTATTCATGCAAAAAGACATGGTCACATTACTGAAAACCCAAAAGAAAAACATGTCTTAGAACTTGCTCAGGTATAATCCAGATAGAAAGAAAAGACTTTATGTTAACCATAGTTAATTTATTCTGGAAACTGTAAGTAAAAATATGAAGATTTTTTTCATATAATTAGACACACAAAATGAGCCAAATGGAATTTCTACTGTGAAAAATATATCTTGAATTCAGGATTCTATGGGATTAAGATTTCATTGTGGACAAGGAGATGTCAGTAGGAATCTACTACATTTTGCAAATAGAACATAAAAGAAAATAAGTTGTTAGGCACTCCATCATAATACTTTTAAATCCAGATCACATAACCTCTTAAGAACAACTTGAGAAGAAGAAAGCAACAGAAAGACACATTGCTTCAAAGAACAGATCTGACAGCAGAAATGGAAATGGCAGGGAGCACCATAATGAGTGCTCCAGGAAGAGGACTGCCAACCCAGTCCAGAAACACATTCATGCCTGTGCCTTCTTCGTTTTAGATACATATTATTCCTTAAAGAATTACAAATTCATTTTGTACCTAAAATCACACTGCATTTTAAAAATGAATTTGAAGAACAAATATCTGAAAGTTACTTCACTTTAAAGATACAGAGAAATGGAATTAATTTTGTCTTATAGAGAAAAATAACTTTTATAATAAAAATTCTTTGTACTTCTCTTTCCTTTTCAAATTAGCGAATTTTAGCCCCCTATACTGATTTCCACTACAGACACAGTCCAGATACAGCTGAAGGACAGCTCAAGTAAGTGCCATGTGTTTCTAGGGCATGGGGCGTCTGTGTGAGCTGTGTTTACACTGAGGTCTGCAGAGCTAGGGGAGCGGGAGTAGAAGAGAATGTCCTATCTCACAGCTTATGTTGCATTCTACATAGTACAAATTAAATGAAAGTTTGAGAAATGTAAATGTTAATTTGTGGTCTCCAAATTTCTACAGTACTGGATTCATCTTATTTAGTAACTGATGACTGCAGATTTCTTAGCGTGCTGTGTAGGAAAGCTGAAGAGAATGCAGGTTGTCAAGCTTTCTTGGTAGGCCCCCTGCATCCTTGCTCCAGGGTGCTTCCTCAGCTGGCTGTGCTCATTTGAAGCACATACCAGGAGTAGATTCATAACTTAGTTATAATCATGGTGTACATTTTATTTGTTCATTGGTTTATTTATTTTTGCCTTACTGTGTTCTTTGGCTAGCCAGGAACCTGCTATGTAGCCTGGTCTTACCTTGACCCTACAGCAATTCTGTCTCTGTCTCTTGAATGCTGAGATCTCTGATATGTGCTGCCACACCTGGCTTATGTTGTCAACTTTATGCCGATAGTCGAGTAATTGGCTTTAGAATAACCTTGCCTTTTTCAAAACCTCATGTTTTGATTTCAAGTGTAAATGTTTAATATTAATGATGGATTTTGCTCTGATGTATTATTACCAGCAAAAAAAACCACCTCAGTTTAAATCTTGTGGCTTTACTAATTCCTCTCCCCCACCCCCAACAGAGAAGACAGAGAAGCACGATTTCTAGCCAGTAAAATGGGAATCATTGCGACATTCCGCTCATGGGCAGGTAGGTTCTGTCTGTTGCTCAGTGACATCAAAGAATAAACCTTACTTGGCTTTTCAAATTTTTAATTATGTTATCATCTATTTTAAATACAAGTGTAGTTTTACGTTAATGAAATTATAACTAAGGAGATTTACACAGAATGATTAAAACAGTGAAGGAAGTTTATAATAAGTAGGATATTGCATTCTGTATATACACACTCATTATAATTGGAAGTCACTGCAGTAATGTTGCATTACTGCAGTGCATTATTTAGTCATTTTAAGAAAAATCCAGCATAATTTACATTCCTGAAGAAGATTCCCAAAGTAAAAGACAAAACTTGTGTGACGTATGTTTTGTTCAAGCTTCTTACTTAAACATGCTGTACTTTGGAGTATAAAACATTTTTTTTTTTTTCGTAAAGTAATATGGCCTTTCACTTTTTTTTTTTTTTTTTTGGCAGTGATTACCTTAATTTCACAGTATTACTGTAAAGAGAGCTTATAAAGGAATGTTAGCCATAAGCAGAATAAGGAAACTTATTTAAATACTACCTTACAAATATCTTTTCCATACAAATATTTATCCTAGCCAGCAGGCTTTAGCTAGTGTGTTTCCAGTGTGCTTCATCCTACTTGGTACCTAACTGAAAATCTTGCCTTACTTACTGGGTTTACCTTCATGTGCAGCTGAAAGGTGGTTATGTGGACCTAAGAGTAAAAATAGCATTGTTCAAAACTTATTATAATTCATTACCTACCAAAAGTAGGTAATGTATTTTAAAATTAAGATTTATATAGTTTCTACCTCTACAATCTGAAATGTTTAAGAATCTGGCATTAGCATCATGTGGTGAGAATGATAGCCTGCGTAATCTAGTCTTTTTTTCCTCTAGAGTTAATTTGGGAGTTTGTTACCATGTTCTCATCTAGTCCTAATCACCTATCAGAAACTACCAACATGCATTTGGGACCTTGGTTTCTGGCATCTAGTCATTGAGGTCCCTCAAGCTGAAAAGTGTAGAGCAGTTCATCACTAACACCCAGGTCCTCTTTTCACATAAGACACACCAAGGTTCACCATCTTTACCCATACTCCTGGATGGTTTTGTTATCTGTCATTAAATGTCCTCAGTTATCCCTCAGCTTAACCATGGTTAGGGCCATTTCTGTTTTTCAAAAACACATTGCACTGTGCTTTGACTACCAAGATAGCCTAAATGCTCACTCCTCCAACTTTCCTTCTAGACTCAACTCTCACTAACAATCTCTCTTTAAAATTCACTTCATACATTCTTACTAAAAGACTTTCTCCTAATTCCCTTATATTGATTTGTGACTAGAAACTTTAAACATTACATGCTTTCTACCCTCTATTGGATTAATAAAAATAATACCATTTCAAGCTACAACCTTAAAAATAAGTTTCTTACATAATGTTTAGAGTCAATGGCAGCATTTATGAATTAAGTAAAGTTCTGCAGTGTTAATTCTATGACAGATTTCAAGTTCCACATAAGTGATGGAGCAGTAACTTCACCAGCATAGATTTTCAACAAGTGTCAGCAGCCTTTTTCCTTTGTTAGCATAGAGGAAGGTTTATACCCCTTATAATGATCTCTGGCTTCTGAAACTACTGTCAGATATCAAATTGTGAGAACTGTACTTCAAGAACTTAAGCTCTTAATTCTGCTTGCTATGTTTAACTTGAATTTTAATTATAAGTCTAAAGAGAAATTACAGATTATTTATTCATATAGACATACGCATTGAGCATCCTTAACATGAAATCCAAAATGCTACAATATTTGAGATTTTTTTTGAGCAGGGCATGTATGTGACCTTATGTGATTAGTTGCAGTCATAACACAAGAACGTTGTGTTCCAGGATATGTACATGAAGTATATGTGAAATATAAATGACTTTATGTTGGGTCCATACCTGAGTTATCCCATGATACATGCAGGTATTCTGACATTTGGCGGGGGCGGGGGGAGGAACTGATTTTAAGAACTTTTGTTAATGGATACTCGGACATTGTAGTTGTGACAGAGTGCTTCAGAGTTGTGTGACTGTTCAAAAACAGCATTTTAATATAAAACGTTTGAAAGAATTTTGAAAACTGCAGTGGTTAGCATGCATTCCCACTATGTAGATTCTGTCTCCACTATCTGTGTGTCAGGCGGAGCCTCCCTCTGTGTCTCTGTCAACACATCTGAGTCTCTGTTGATGTACCATGAAGAATCTCGCAGATGCCTGCATTCTTAAATCCTGGGAGACTCATGGTTAGCTGCTCAGTACAAGTGTATTGTTGTGCACTGTCATCGGCCTGTGAGAGCTCAGTTGCTCTGCATCCTTTTCAGTGTTTGTTGTGCAGACTTTGGTGTTAGCTCTCTTAATGCAATGTAGTGGTTCTCTCACTGATGCATTTTGAATTTCATTATAATGATATTGAGCATTTTATACTTGCTTATCATCTGTTTACATATCTGTTGTGACATAAAATCTTAGTATGTTCACCATTCTGTTAAACTCTTTGATCTATGGATTTTATTTGGAATATGTTACTTATTCTCTTATGTGCATTCAGTTGATTTTAGAAATGAGTTTGACAAAATTTTTTTAAACTATAGGTAGGGAAAATACCTCTCTCTGTCTCTCTCTTGTCTCTATCTCTATGTCTCTGTCTGTCTCTGTCTCTCTCTCTCTTTCTCCCCCCCCCATGTTCTTACTCCCAGAGAAGCATTCATTTATAGCCACCTTGGTGTTCATCAGTTTTTAGATATGAAGTAGAAATTGATGAGGAATTTAGGTGATGAAATTAATGGCCATTTCCAATTAATGGGGTAGTCTGAGATTTGGTGCCCTTTAGCTATATGATATCAATTATAATGATATTTATAATATTATTAGTATAATATTACTTGAAAAATAATTACAGATTTTTGTCATGACATATTATTGTAGAATTTCTTATTTTTTTAAACTTTTATCCTCCTTAGGTATTATTAATTTATGTAAACCTGGGAACTCTGGGATCCAGTCTCTAATTGGAATACTTTGCATACCAAATATGGAAATAAGGGTAAGTAACAGTTATTGTAATTCTTACATGCCTCCCTTAAAGTTTACATTAGCTACTGGAGAAAGGGCTCACTATTAAGAGTAGTCTGTGTCCTGCTCTTGCAGAAGACTCAGGCCAGGTTCCCAGCACATACGTCATACCTACCTGTAGTTGTGGTGTCAGTCTAATGCCTCTGGCCTCTAGTCATCTGCACTCATATGCACATATGCAGAATTTTCAGAAGTTTTGGGTGAAGTTTTCAAGGTGCTAATTTTTATTTGAGAGCATTTTTCAGTACATGAGTATTTAATAGTATGAATACGACTTAATATGTGAAACACTTAAAATACTGTTAGGAGTGACAGCCTTATTAAACTTGAGTTAAAATATAAATTATTAAAATAATTCAGATAAACAGAAGAGTGTTCTTATTTTAAAAGAATCAAACAGAAATATAATAATTAAAAAGTAAAGGTGTTACAATCAGGTTTTCCCTGCCGGTCTGGTCCCACAGCCATGCCAGTCCCAAATAACACATAGAGAGGCTATATTAGATATAATTTTGTTGGCCTATTACTAGCATTTTTTATTGGCTAGCTTTGTCTTAAATATTAACCCATTTTTATTAACCTAAGTATTACCATGTGGTCTTATCTTACCAGAGAGAGAGCCTGGACCTCTGTTCTCTTTAAGTCTCTACGTGGTGACTCCTTACTACTTCCTCCTCTTTTCTCCTAGTCTCCTAGTTCCGCCTATCTTGCTTTCCTATTGGCCAACAGTGCTTTATTCATTAACCAATAAGAGAAACATATTTACAAAATGACATCTCCCATCATAGATGTATTATTTATGTAGTCATGCTTTGTAATTTATACATTTTTGATATCATGCTACCATGTTTTTATTTCAAAGATGGTAGTTTTCATAAGTTACTTATGTGTTTTTATTAGATATATTCCTAAGGTATTATAATTAGGACATTTTTATTAAGAAGCCAAAACCAAATTGAATGTGGAAGGAAAGATAATTTAACTCCTAAGTTATCCTTTTCTTTAATGTTTCTGTTTTAACTTTGTTTCTCCATTTTACCTCCTAGTTCTTTTAAATGAACCATTCCCGTAGCTGGAAAAAAACTAAGAAAACATTGTCTAGGTGTGCCACCACTTACAATGTGAAATAAAGTACTCTAGATGGAAGTGGGGAGGGTATGCTTATAAACTGAAACACCTCTGAGCAAAGGACAAAAGGAGCAATTTTGTTGACCCTTTTTGAGGTGTTGGGAATCACATCTTGGGACATTGTAGGCAAGTAGTTTGCCACTGAGCACACCCTGCCTGTCACCTGACTTCCATCCCTGTCCATGGAAAGAACTGAAGCCTGTTTTCAAATTTGTACAATGCTAATAAGGAAATTTTTTTCAGAAAAAAATTTAAATGACATATGTATTAAATATTTAATAATTATCTCTCCCCTAATACAATCTTAACAAAACGTGATAGGTATATTTTTATTAATTTTGTTATTCTGTGAATATGATTTTTAAAAGTCACCAAAGACTTTTTCTATAGAAATACATAAACTGTATTTGCTCTTCTAGCGAGGTCTGCTTGAAGTGCTCTATGATATATTTCGTCTCCCTCTACCTGTTGTGACAGATGAGTTCATAGAAGCCCTCCTCAGTGTAGGTAAGTACTAACTTGCACTGGGATCTGTTGCTTACTGGATCAATGGAAACAAATGACTAACTGGTGAAATACTACTCTGAATATCATTTTCATTCTATAAGGTAAAGAATTACATAATTCATAAGATGCTTAAGTCCCCAAATGAAGTTACAGCTGTGTACACTTACATAAATAGTTTTATGTCATGTGTATTGCATGTGAGTATACAGGTATGCTCATTTCATATGGAGAAACAGCAGACCATCAGGTGTCTTCCTCTGTCACTCCCTTGCTGCTTTGAGATAGTCTCACTGAACCAGGGGCTGATTGTTTCAGCCAGTCTGGTGACCCTTGAGCCCTCCAGATCAGCCTGTCTTCACTCCCATATGCCACTGTCATAGGCACACAACACTACTTGACAAGAGTTATATAGAAGTGTCCACATAACAGGGCCAGGTAGCCACACCCTTGCCAATCTTGGTACAGTCTCTACCCTCCACAAGTAGATTACTTTTAAAACCCTTTTGAAGTTTTTTTGTAGCTTGGGTAGCTGATAGGCCCACACTCATCTGTTTCACTATTGCCTAATCTGGTAACTACCTATTTTACCTCCTTTAGATCCAGGAAGGTTCCAGGACAGTTGGAGGCTTTCAGATGGCTTTGTGGCAGCTGAGGCAAAAACTATTCTTCCCCATCGTGCTAGATCCAGGTAGAATCTAGATATAAAAGTGACTCATTTATTAACATTATTGCTTTTATGTTATATCAAACATTTAAATTGTTTATGCACTTTTATTTCCAGGCCAGACCTCATGGACAATTACTTGGCACTAATACTTTCTGCATTTATTCGTAATGGACTTTTAGAGGTAATATTTACAAACCTTTAACTTGTTCTGTTAACAAAATTCTTTAGAGTGGGAAACAGCTCTGATGCAGAAATGTGTCCATAGGCACCATTGTGCAGCAGTGATGCTTTCTTCTTGCCTTCACAGGGCTTGGTTGAAGTGATAACGAACAGTGACGACCACATCTCAGTTAGAGCAACCATTCTTTTAGGAGAGCTCTTACATATGGTAAGAAGAGTGACTTCTGCTTATGTGGGTTGAACTTCTAGGATTTTAAGTGATTAAACAGTTTAATTGACTGGCATTACTTTGTGATAGCCCAGACAGTACATTTTCATTTTGCTAAAGCCTTTGGTACCTATTATGATAGAGATGCATGTGTCTGTATTAACTGCCTTTGTAAATGTAACAAATACTGATTTTTTTTTCCCCTTTAACCTCATTTGATATAGGCATTTGAGCCTGTAAATCTTGATTGCATTTCAGAAAGGCATCCTAACTGAAGAAAGCAAGAAATAAAAATTACAAAACCATGAATTTTATTTCAGTCTACTAGGAACATAATCCATACATTGTAGTGACATCTTGACCTTCAGAAAGTTTAGTGAAAAAGTTGTAAATGTAATTAATTGTCTTACCTGAAGGCCACTGATTTCCATAAACTAAGAGTTTTAGGTTCAGATAATGAGATTCCTTGGGTAAAATATTTTTATGACCTTACTAACTGCTAGAAACTGAAGGCTCTGGGCACCTTTCTATACTCTAGTAAACTGAGTAAGGGCTCTTAGTAAACTGAGTAAGGGAGGAATTGTGCATTATAAAAATTTGTACTTGTAGATCATTACCAGTTGATAAAACACTAAATAAATATCACTTTGAACTTGTTTAGGAAGAAGTGATTCTTTGCAGAAATTTTTATATACGTCATTCATGGCTTGCTTTTCTTTGCAGTTTTTTGTTTGTTTTGGTTTTTTCCTAAGTGTTTCTGGCTGCCCATGGTAGCACAGGATCTTAATCATAATCGCAGCACTCAGAAAGCAAGGCAAGTGTATCTGAGTTTGAGGTCAGCCTGATCTACATAATGAATGCCAGTGAATGGCAGAACCATCAGAGCTACATAATAGATAGACACTGTCTCCAAAACCAAAAGAGTATGTCTCTTTCCTCATTACTTCCCCCAGCTTTCACCACATAGCGCCTGGGTTGTGTGTGTAAGGTAAAGAATTAAACAGTGTATAAAATCTGTCTTTTCACCAGTGACTGAGCAACCACTCTCTCCAATCTCACTGAGCCTATAGTCTCAAGACATAATTTCCTACAAAGATATCGGTATTCATTTCTTCTATGCAGAGGAATCTTTTCATATGAATTTAAATTAACCTTTTCCTTCAAGCCTCAGAATTCTTTTATTCTCATGAAAACAGAAAAGCTGGCCAGATTACAGGATAGAAATATTAATTCACTAGTTACTATCGTATCTTATATTTAATAAACATACATATTGGTTGGAAGCTGGTTGGATAGTGAAATTTTGCCTCGTCCCAGGAGATAATGTTTCTATTTTGGGATTGTTGCTATGGGACCAGCATGTTCTGAGAAGGTTGATACCGTATCTGTACTTTTCTCAAATATGAAGCTTTGCTTCTATAAGTTTTCAGGTCATTTAAAAAGTGAGTTTGGTACCTTTTAGAAGCCATATTTAATAATAACATATACAAAAATTGGTTGCTTTACAAATTTTTTCAATAGTGTGTGTGTGCATACACATATGTGTACGTGCAATTTTGCCATGGTGAATTGGGGTCAGAGGACAACTTGGAGTTGGTTCTTACTTTATAATGTATTGGTCCTAGGATAAAACGCAGGTCCTCATATTTAATCCAAATACCCTGTCCTACAGAGCCATTTCACTGGCTCCAACCTGTCCTTCATACTGGAATTCAAAGGGATTAAAAGTTATAAGTATGTGTGGGTGGAAATAAGTTAATTTCATGAAAAACCTTCAGTTTTATTAGTCTTACATACTGTATTATATCTTTAGGTAACTATATTTGTCCTAAAATCTCATAAAACACCATGTTCCATACAGGCAAACACAATTCTTCCTCATTCTCACAGCCATCATTTGCACTGCTTGCCAACCCTTATGAATATGGCTGCATCCTTCGATATTCCCAAGGAAAAGAGACTGTGAGTATCAGAGCCTTAGCAAATCGGGTTTAATATATTTAGTATCTTCCTAGATAATCTTCTCTTTAAACAGGGAGAGAAAACAAGCAGTGTGGATAGGTTGTACTTGGAAATTCCCTTTGGAAGCCTCAAGGAGGGATAGTTTCAATTCTCAAAATATTTAATTATTTCTATTTGAGACCACAAAGTGTTAGTAAATAATAAATTGACTTATTTCCTTTCATGTTTCTGAGCAAAGATGTAGGCTTTACAGTCTACCTGAAGTGTTGAGGTTTTATTTTGTGTGTGTGTATGTGTGTGTGGTTTTTCTTTTTTTTTTTTCTTTTTTTAATTTGTTTGCTTTTATGATTGGAAAAAGTTGTATATATCAACCACATTTTCCCTGCAGTGATGTAAGTGAAGTTCAGTCCATTAGCTCTTTGGAACTATGAAAGTTTCTTTAAAATTACACATTCTTCAAAAGTTAGCTTTAGTAAAACTATTTACAAATGAGTCTAACCATCAATAAATAACAATTATTCATTTTAATTTTGCCAATAAATAGACTGGAGACATACTGTTCAACTGAGACATTAGCAGAACATTTTGATTCTAACAGGAGGCTTATAATGAAGTTTTCCATTTTAGTTAGTAGTTACTTTATGGAAGAGAATGAGTTCTTAAAGCCTGGCAGCTCTGTTCTCTCAAATTAACGTCCTGAATCTCAGGCATCCTTGGGAATTAAAAATTATGTTTAAAATAACAGAAGCAGCAGTACTCTTAAGTTTTTCTTTTTTTAACTCCCTAAGTTGTCTTTACTGAAAGATTAAGGACTTGACAATATGACTGCGTGCTAAGGGTTTTAGACTCTACTTACCAAAAGTCCTAAAGTTGAGACTTAGTTGCTGCCAAATTATTCAATACTGTACTTTTTACATATAACAAAAAAGCAATTAAATAACTTCAAAAGATTCTAGTTATGGTTATCAGTCAGTGCTGCACATAGTGACCAGTCCTTACTAGGATCATTGAGTATATTGATGGACAGTGAAGTTTTATTGCAACTTCATATAAACAAATACCAGTTTCAAGTAGAATATAGACTTAATGTGTGAAAAAAAACTTTAAAACATTAACAAGAAACTGGGTTCTTGACTTTATGTTAATTCCTCTCAGTATGTGTGATTCTAGGGGTTGGTGATGGTTCACTTGGCATATATGTAGAAGCCAGGTGTTTTCCCTCTATTACTCTTCACCTCACTCATTCAGTGAGACAGGATTTCTCACTGAACCCGGAGCTCATCCTTCTGGCTAGCTAGGCTGGCTGAGTAGTCACCAGTTCTCAAAACCTGGGGTCTACTTGTCTTCAACTAAAGCACTGAGGTTACAGGTGCAGTGCCAAGTTTTTTGTGGGCACTGGGGTTCCAAACTCAGGTATTCCTGATGCTCACAACGCAAATGCCTTACCTATTGAACCATCTCACTAGTACTCCATAAGGAATTCTTAAAACCAGTACATTAAATGGGCCCACCACCTCAGAAAAGATTAGTGAAACCCAAAATGGGTTTATTTATGTAAATCAGCTGTGTTGATCTGTCATTATGCTCCCATGCTTGAGTAAATGTTTTACTTTGCTTAGTAATCTCTATTCTTGAATTTATGTAAATAACTTAGCAACCATTACTTTAAAAGTATGCTGTTAGCCTTGCTACAACAGTATTGATTTTTCTTTCCTCCTAGTCGAGCCAGTGCAGCCCTGAACTGTTTAAAACGCTTCCATGAAATGAAGAAGCGAGGACCTAAGCCTTATAGCCTTCATTTAGATCATATCATTCAGAAAGCAATTGCAACACACCAGAAACGGGATCAATATCTTCGGGTTCAGAAAGATATATTTGTTCTTAAGGTACTGACATGAATGCTAATTTAGTTTCCTGATTCTCAACAACTGGGTTGTAGTGTACTTAATATTTGTCTGGATTTTCAATTTCATTTATGCATATAGGTTTTCAAATTATTAGTTTTACCATGAAGAGGAATTCTGGATCTGGGTTTAGATGTACGTGAGGGTAGAGTGTGTTTCGGATGTTTGTATGAATATGCACATATGTGTGTGGAGACCAGAGAATAACAATTAACTGTTCTTCAAGACACCATAGACTTTGACTTAACTTGTTTTTGTTTGCTTTTGAAGCAGGGTCTCTCATTGACCTAAAACTCATCACATAGGCTAGGCTAGGCAGACTGGGCTGGCCAGCAACTAAGCATTCCCCTTGCATCTCCAGTGCTGGGATGACAGTGTGTGTTACCAGTCTCAGCATGTGTAGGTTCTGGCGAGTTAACTCAGGTCCTCTGGCTTGTAAGGCAAATATTTTATTAACTGAACAACCTCCCTATCCTAGTTTTTATTATTATTTTTGTTAGCTTTTGAAAATAATTAATTATTGAGGATCAAAAGATTAGATACTAGTTTTCTGATGTGAATTTAGATTGATTAATCAACCTTCTTACTATCTGTTGATTTTAGGATACAGAGGAAGCTCTTTTAATAAACCTTAGGGACAGCCAAGTTCTTCAACATAAAGAAAATCTTGAATGGAATTGGAATCTCATTGGGACCATTCTTAAGGTATGATAGAGAACATCACAGAAATTGCTAAATTGTCTTCATTTTATTCCTATAATTTATTATACTCATTATCAAATACACACTATTTAATATAAGATTTTATGTTTTTCTAGTGGCCAAATATAAATCTAAGAAACTATAAAGATGAACAGTTGCACAGGTATGTAAAACTATTGTGCATTTAAATTTGAAGAACTTTATTATGGTTAATGTGTGCTAAAAGTATTCGTTGATTTTATGTGCAGTCTTGTAATCAGAATGTACCAGCTAATTTTCTCATTACTTATGTTCTTCCAGCTCTGACCTTTATAATAAGTTACTTACACTGGGGTAGCATTATCTAGATCATGGTCTTAACCCTGACACAAGGATGGCAATAAGAAATGACATTTTTTATTGGAACTCTTGTGCTTATGCATAAGTCATCTTCTGAGAGTTGTCTCTTTTTCCTAACTCTGCTTATCTGCGTAGTAAAGCATGCTGACATCATGGCACATGCAGCATGTGAAGCTGCCACACTGTAAAGCATGGTAATGTCATAGCACACACAACATGTGAAGCTGCTGTCTATCACATCTGTGTGCTTTTACTTTTGGATGACTAAATAGTCACTGTTACCAATTTCCTTGCTTAAAAAGACCTTACTTTGTCTAGAGAAGTCCATATAATAAACATTTCTTATATTGTATTCGTATTTAATGATATGTAACTTAATGTTTCTATCAGGTTTTGATAAATATATAGAAAGACAAGTTACAGTGATATTGAGAAGCATAGTACTCTTGATATTCCTTAAGAATAAAACAGTGATATCTCAATAAATTAGTCTTGTTAACTCCTGTACATAGCTACCTCTCTGGGTTATTCTGTAGTACATGAAATTAAGGTGAACTATATCAAGTGAGCACAACATTGAAAGTTATTGGTATATGTTCATAAATTCAGTTAAGTTGATTTTTGTAAGAGGCTTCCTTACATCTCTCCAGCTTTCTAGTGTGGATGTGATATCTCAGTTTGTAGTTTATTGTTGGAGATGTGGTGGTGGTTTTTAGTTTTGTTCTGTTATTTTGAGGCACAATCTTACTTTGTAGTCCAGGCTGGCGTTTTGAAACCCACTGTGTGACCTAACCTGACTTTGAACTACTGTTCTTTCTGCCCTTTCCTCCTGAGTGTTTGGGTTTCAAATGTATGCACATGCCTGCTTACGTCTGCACAGCCTCTACTAGGTCTCACTATAAAATTCTCATTCTACCAACATGTTTTCCAATGATTTCTTTTTTAAATGTTGTGAAATGTGCCAAGCTTAGCAAGTTTCCTAACCTATGCTCAAGATTCTTCAATAATTCTTTAGTAATTGTTTGTAATAATTATATTATTAAATAACTACTTAATAATAATTATTTAAAAGGTTGCTTAATAATTATTTAATAATTGTTCCCTACTTTGTTGCTAATTTCATCTTGATTTTAGGTTTGTGCGCAGACTTCTTTATTTTTACAAGCCAAGCAGTAAGTTGTATGCCAGTCTAGATCTGGACTTTGCCAAGTCCAAGCAGCTCACAGTTGTCGGCTGTCAGTTTACAGAGTTTCTTCTTGAGTCTGAAGAGGTAAGCCTTCCAGAGACTTTGACAGCAAATACTTTTTGTTGAATCTGCCCCCTCTTTTTCTCTTCTATTACCACCCTTTGATACTTTTTTCTATCTTTCTTCCTTCCTTCCTTTCTTCCTTTCTTTCTTGTTTTCTTTCTTCCTTTCTTCCTTTCTTCCTTTTTTCCTTTCTTTTTTTTAAAGAAACGTTATACTGTAGCTCTGGCTGGCCTGTGTTCACTATGTAGGTCATATTGGTCTCGAACTCAACAGTCTGTCTGCCTAGAGTGCTAGGATTAAAGTGTATGTCACCACATCTGCCCTTCTGTTTTACTTTGTTTTCTTAGTTGTTATAAGTGCTATTTTAAATATAAGCTCAGGCTTATATTTGAACCCTGACTTAGTCTTACCTAGTTAGGACACCTTAGGGAATGGTCCATCCTCTTGATGGCCTGGTTTACTCGCAGATAAGATGGGGAAAGGAACATAGAGGATCTCCATGTAACTTTTTTAATTCAAAGGGGTTAAGCTTTACATACTTGGAGATCCTAAGTTACTAGTGACTTACCTTCACTAAGGTATTTCTGGCTATTAGACATAACTTTCTAATTGCAGGATGGGCAGGGATACTTAGAAGACCTCGTGAAAGATATTGTTCAGTGGCTCAGTGCTTCATCTGGGATGAAACCGGAAAGAAGCCTTCAGAATAATGGTTTACTGACCACTCTTAGTCAACACTACTTCTTATTTATTGGAACACTTTCTTGTCATCCTCATGGAGTGAAAATGCTGGAAAAATGCAGTGTCTTTCAGTGGTGAGCATTCTCAAATTTTAATGGAATGTAATCCTAAACTTTAGTTTTAATGAGTCCACATACACAATATGCTATTTAGTCTGTGTACATGTGTTTGGTAAATACCTTTTCTCAGAAATATTTATTTATATAGGATTTTTAAAATGTATGTTGAGCTGTTTTCCCAAGCCCATCTCCTAAAGTAGTAATCATCTGTGCCAATTGATTCATTAGATATTGATGGGTGGGTAACTGTGTATATAATTAGGTTGTCTGCTTTGAATATGCTTAACTTTCTTTTTGGCAGTCATATTTCAATTGAACTGGAAAAAAATTTATTGAGTTAACGAATCAACACAGTAATTTATAATAATTCTTCTTTTTTAGTCTTCTTAATCTTTGCTCTTTGAAAAACCAAGATCACCTGTTGAAACTCACTGTTTCTAGCCTTGACTATAGCAGAGATGGGTTAGCCAGAGTCATTCTTTCAAAAATCCTCACGGCAGCTACTGATGTGAGTATAACATGGGAGATAAAGCTGTCGGGGTTTTTTTTGTTTTGTTTTGTTTTTTACCCAGGCCATTCCAGTACTTTGTAAACCATAGGCTCAGTCACTACAAAGTTTATTATAAGTAAACTAAGGATATGGGGTAGAAGTTGATTAACCTTAACTTTTAGTTGCTATACTTACCTGGTAAGGGATGTGCTGTGATCACAAAAATGGTTTTTCCAGAGCCCATCATATTCCATATGCTAACCCCTGTGATTTCCCAGAATATAAGAAGTTTGATACATAATTTATAGTTGTGGATTGTATTCACATATTCTCTCTCTCTCTCTCTCTCTCTCTCTCTCTCTTTTTTTTTTTTTTTTTTTTTTTTTTTGTCTCTGAGGAACTTTTAAGTCATAAGAATGAGGCTGCTACTAGAAAGGAAATGTTTATATCAGATACTAACTATACCCTCTACTCCAGTTCTTTTGTTCTTTGCAAGTAAAAGAGCTTTTTCAAGACAATAGTAAATACGATGACTTTTCATGTGTTGCTTTATCTTTCTAGGCTTGCAGACTGTATGCAACAAAACATTTAAGGGTCTTATTGAGAGCTAATGTTGAATTTTTCAACAATTGGGGAATTGAGTTACTAGTGACTCAGCTACATGATAAAAACAAAACAATTTCTTCTGAAGCTCTGGATATCCTTGATGAAGCTTGTGAAGATAAGGTAAAGTTGAGGTGTATTACTGATATAATGAACCATTTAGGCTGATTTTATTAAAATACTCCATTTTAATTGGCAGTGTTACTACTGTACAGTATGCATAAGCATTTTGGAACAGATAATATGGTTGCCTTGCATAATTATTAACTTGGTTATCCCTTTAGGCCAATCTTCATGCTCTTATTCAGATGAAACCAGCCTTATCCCATCTTGGAGACAAAGGCTTGCTTCTCCTTCTGAGGCAAGTATTAAGTACATTTCCTTTTGGTGACATTCTTTATTGTACCTTCTTGGGTATGTATACTAGTGTTAGATCCAAATCTGACTAAGAAATACTCTGAATTCATTTTAAACTTCCGAACCATGCCTATTTTAGAATCAAGCTGTTACTTGTTTTGATTGTGTGCTTATGTTTAATATTTCTTTCATGTTATTCATGAAGTTTCCTTTATTTTTATTGGGGTTTTTTTGGCAAATATTGTAAAAATTTGTCTACAATTGAAAAAAAAATTGGAAGGTCAAGGACAATGTTGTTAGAATTTAAAAGAGAAAAATTAAAATTCCAGGGCGGACAAACTAAAAGCTCAACAGCTGTACAGAAGAAGACAGTGGAGAGAGAAGGATAAAAAGCCATACCTTAATCTGCTATGGAAATCAGATGCGTGGCAGAGAAGCAGCCACATGGTGGGGAGGGAAACTTCAGAGGAGTGAGGAAGCCCAGAATGCTGAGGAAAACCCACAGGTTTTGAGGAAAGCATGCTTAGGATAGATAAAGGAGAAAGGGAAACATGGGATTTCTGAATTGGTTACATGTACAAGCTACATGGTTCCAGTGCTATGGGCCTGAGATCCAGTGATGGGTTTGGGTAATGGCTGATGTGGCTTCTTCTTACTGAAAGGGGGTATCAGGTGTGGTGGTTAGGGTATCTAAAAGCCATCCCCAAAATGCATCAGTGGTTTTATTTGTATAACTTTGAGATGTAGGGAGAAACAGAAGTCCTGGTGTTTGAAATTTTAGTAAATTAACCTTTTTATTTTAGATGGGAATATTCCAAGATCTGTTTGTTTCTTAAGCATATTTTTTATGTTACTTTAGATCTTTTTTTTTAAGACACAGTGTTCAGCTATGATTTTTCTAATTTACAGATTTCTCTCCATTCCAAAAGGATTTTCCTACCTGAATGAAAGGGGTTATGTAGCAAAACAATTGGAAAAATGGCACAAGGTAACTTCTTATTCAATAAGTTTTAATTAGTATACATTTTTCTTTGGAAATTCAAAGCACTCTGCACTATATGAGAGCTTATCTACAAAACAAACAAATACTTCACATTGTCTTAGGGTCTTTATTGCTATGAAGAGACATCATGAGCACAACAACTCTTAGAAGGAAAACATTTAATTGGGGCTGGCTTACAGTTTCAGAGGAGTAGTCTGTCATCATCATGGTGGGCTATGTCAGTATCCAGGCAGAAATGGTTCTGTCCTGTCCCACACTGGGCTTAGCGTGAGCATATGAGAACCCATAGCCTACCCTCACAGTGACACATGTCCTCTCTCAAAGGCCACACCTACTCCAATAAGGCCACACCTCCTAATAGTTCCACTCCCCATGGGCCAATCATGAGTCTATGGGGGTCATACCTATTCAAACTACCATACATGTATAATGCTAAATAATATCAATTTTATACTGATATTTATCTACTTCCCAATTGTAGTTTCTTTTTTTTAAATGCTAAATTGATTGACTAATGATTTTGTGTGTGCTGTGTGGTCATGCATGTTATGGCAGGCACATTGACATCAGAGGACAACTTGTGGGAATTTGTCCTCTCCATCATGTAGATTTAGGAATTAAACTCAGATCATCAGGCTTGGCAGCAAGGACCTTTACATGAGCCATTTTGTTGTCCCTGTTTATTTTGACCACATTCTGAGGGATTTAACCTTGATTGTGTGCTTTACTACTATGATTTCTTGAACCTAAATAACCACCAATCCTGGTTCTTGTCTTTGGTGCCTTAAACAGACTGGCTATGTTTTAGCCCTTCTATGCTAAAATAGAATTTTCCCAATGAGGCAAGGCTGAAAACAGTTCTGTGTAAGCAATATAATCATCTACTTATACTTTATTTTAGGGTGCTACCTTTCATGAATGTGAAAGCAAACTTTCTCTGGCATAGTTATAGGCACAGGGAAACCATTGAATTATATATCACTCCATGATTGGAAAGGAAGGTTTATTTGGAATTAGGAAACTGTCACATGTCTCTCTCCAGTGGTAGATCAAGTATCCCCAAAGGCATTCTGGGGGAGTCCAAAACTGCCATGGCTACCTCTCAGAAGGCAGAGAGAATAGCAAAAGGCTGGATAAAGACCTTCTGGATTTCAGGAAAGCATGTAGCTATAGGATCTGGAGGTGTGCAGTCCAGAACAATCTGGGAGAAGGGATTGAGGCTTTGATTTATGTTTCAGTGTGAGCTGTCCCATTTGCCAGAAGTGGAGGAGATAAAGGAAGTGGCTCTTCTAGAAGACAAAAACTTTAAAAACTGAATTCAACCCTCTTCACAGGCTTCTGGGGAATGCTGAGTGTTAACTTTTGTCTGTCTTCCATCAGTCCTTCTGTTTAATTATTAGAGCATAGCCTGAGCTGAACCCAGACTGTCATTTAGGATACTGTCAGTGGTACTGCCATTTTGGGGACTTGGAGTTTGGGGGTTGGGAGCAATGGTGACATGTATGGCCTTCAGAAACTAAAATACTTACTCTTAGGCATTCTATAGAAAAGTTTGTCTGCTTTTCCATAAAAATAGTGATTTTTGAGAGGAGAGATGTTTTAATTTTCAAAACTGTGTAGATAATTGCTTATGCATTTAATCGAGATGTTGAGTATAGCTTTCATCATATATGCCATTGATTCTTCTAATTAAGATATAGCAGCTTTTTTGGAAAGCATGCCATTTTTATAATTGCTATTTTATTTCTTTGGTATTTTAACTATCTGTAACTGATTTTCAACAAACTGATTTGGAAGCACAAAAGAAATTCTCTTCTCACCACTGTGCCTTTCAGCCTATTTTAATTGTGATCATTTCTTCTTGTTCCTAGATGAAGTGTTAGGCAGATCCTACAGCTTTTCTTGTCAGCTAGTAAACAGCTTATCTGTTTTTAAGGTAATATAGTGTCCAAGTCAGCATACTATTAAATTCTGGTCATACAATTTGGCACTTCTGTCAGCCAGCACAGCCCTGCTGTTGGCTTAAAAATATCAGTGGAGAAAGAATGGGGTTCTTTACTTCTCCCCACCCCTCATTTTCTCCCTCTATTTTTATGTCAGTTACTTTATTATTTTATGTATATGTATATTTTGCTTACATATATGTATGTCTATGTACACGTGTGTCTGGTGCCTGTGGAGGCACCTGAAGCAGGCACCAGATCCCCTGCAACTGAAGTTAAAGATAGATATGAGCCTCCATGTAGATACTGAGAATCAAACCTGAGTCAAACAGCAGCTATTGCTTTTACCCAGTGAGCCATCTCTGCAGCCCTTTTCTGTGTTTGGATTATAAGTTTCGTACCTCTCCAGTTTTGGAACAGGGGAAAAAAGGGTCAGGAACATTCTTTCTCGCTTGGTACAATCATGAGGGCTTGTTGGCTCTAAATGGGATGATTCATAATGTCGAGTCTTCCTTGGGGGCTGCTTTCATGGACCTCTCTCATGTATGACAAGGGCAATATTTTTTGTCCTCTGGCTGCCTCTTTACATCTCCTAGTCGAAGACATCCACACTTGAGATGGAGGGGTGTGTCTCCTTGCCCCTCCCAGACAATATTTTTAAACTGAATCCTCGAGATAATTGTATCAGAAACTTTCGACAATGGCACTGGCTTTTGCTAGTGTTTTACAGTTGTTACTGGTAAGACATTACCAAATATATATAAATACTCCATTGATAGTAACTACAGAGTGAGTTCCAGGACAGTCAGGGCTGTTAAACACAGAAACCCTGTTTCCAAACAAACAAAAAATTGAACTGGAACTTTTTTCAAAGGAAATAAATTTATTTTTGACCCGATTTAAATTGGTAAGATAAAGATTTTGATTTAAAAACACGGAATTTATACAATACAATTAATTTTCTTTTTAAACTTATACTGAATGCCTTCAGAGTTTAATACGTAGGCAACTTTTTCAAAGAAATGAGAACTCAAATATGAGAAAACCATTATTTGCTCATTTACTTGTAAAAAAGAGAAGTGAGGCAGAACACTTTTAGATGTGGTAGAACATTTGCCTTCATGACTTTTTCCAAAGTCTTGTGAACATATTTTTTATTTTTCTCATGTTTATGCTTCAAAGATTGCTAAATATCTGACATAATATGTAGTGACGGTCACAATGGAAACCATAAAATTAAAACAATACTATCTTCTAGGAATACAATTCAAAATATGTTGACTTGATTGAGGAACAGCTTAATGAAGCACTCACTACATATAGGAAGCCTATTGATGGTGATAACTATGTTCGTCGGAGTAACCAAAGGTATGATCCAGTCAGCTTTTAATAGGGCATTTAAAGACTATTTTTGAGGCCTTTTATATACCGATAGAGGAAAAATCTCTGCAGAGCAATGCTTGCCCCAAGTTTCCAGTGATGTATATTGCATGCTGAACTGCTTTGCGACACTAGACTTAGATACACTCCATGTTCTCAATTCAGTCTGTTTTTTCTAGCTCCAACTTTGTTACCATAAACTGTGAGACCTGACAGAAGCGTTATTTGTTCAGAGAAATCCTTATAGTGTCGTATCTTTATTGCTTTGTTAGAAATCATATCTTGGTTATTAATAGTTTTTTACTTAATTAGTATATTTATGTATGCTAGTAACTTTCTTAGTCATCTTTCATACTAGATTACAACGACCTCATGTCTATCTGCCGGTACACCTTTATGGACAACTGGTACACCACAAAACAGGCTGCCATTTACTGGAAGTACAGGTAAAAACATAATATGCATTGTAAATTGTAATAAGAGTAAAAGAAAAATCTTAATAGTGCTAAAATGTATATCTTTACCAAGATTTCTCAAAAGCTGTCTTGTACGAAGACACCTGTTGTCTGACTTAATAGTCTATTTGACCCCAGGAGCCATGTGCTGGAGGGAAAGATCCAATTTGTATAGGTTTTCCTCTGATATCTACAAGTGTTTTGTGGCACTTTTACACATACACAGGCACAAATTGTTTAAAACATTACTGTCTATGACTTATAGGTACCAAGTGCTTCATATGTAAATGATTCATTAACTTACTAGACTTTGTAAGGCAGGTGCCATTATCCCTTAGAGAGTAGGAATTCAAGGCATGGGGAATAGTTGATTTGTTGTGTAGAGTTAGCCTCAGTTCAGGTCTGTACAGATTCTTCATGATTTACTGAAGAAATTATAATCAAATGATAGGAAAAAACTAGGTTGTTTTCTTCCTTGAATCAGAGGTTGAGCTGAACCTTAATGCAGGTTAGGTAGTGACTAATATGAATAATAAAAACCTAGAGACAGGTATTGGGATTAAAGGTGACAATCAGAGAAGCAAAGCAGCCAGCCACAAGAGAGTTCTCACTTCTACCAAATGCTACCAAATGAAGGGGGGATCCACTGAACCTCAGATTGCATTTTCAAACTGCACTGCTCTCCACCAAGCTTCAGAATCCTAGACTGCTGTGCTCTTCTCAACATGGCTAGACACTAATTGCCACATGGGATCCTTTGCTTCTTCCTTATATACCTCAATAGTTTTGGGATTAAAGGCGTGAGCTCTGTTACTCTTTTGACTGATTCACTCTCGTGTAGCCTTGGGTGTCCTTGAACTCAGAGAGATCCATCTGTCTCTGCCTTCTGAGTCCTGGGATTAAAGGTGTATACCACCACTGCCCAGCTTCTGTGTCTGTTCAGTGTGGCTGGCTGACTTTGCATTCTGATCCTTCAGGCAAGCTATATGAAATCATAAACAATATATTACAAGTGACTAGTCCCCAATATGAACTCAGTACCTATGCACTAATGTGGCTCCTAAATTAGCTGCATGTGAAATCACTCTTGGAATTCTAAAGTTGCAGAAATTACAAAAGCAAATCTTTGACTGATTTGTGCCAAAGTATGGAAAAAATACTTGAGAAGCATAATATATTGTTATTTACATGATACTTCTTTTTTTCTCCAGAATGTTATCACAGAACTCTGTCACAATGTTCGCACTCCGGACTTGGATAAATGGGAAGAAATTAAAAAGCTGAAAGCCTCTCTTTGGGCCTTGGTCTGTAATAAACATTTCTGATTTTTGCAGTGGTTATGGGTTTTGTTTTTTAGGGTCCTCTCACTAATATTATATAAATTAAAATTATGTTAAACATGTTCTCAGATTAATATTCAAAGCCCACATTGTTATTACCAATTTAAAGTTTATTCTTTATGCTGAAGAAATGGATGATTAAGCAGTTAGGGGTTTTGCCTTTGTTTTCCTTCTAAAACAAACATCGTGTTTGCTTACTCGCAACAAACATTCAAGGTTTATTTTTACCTTGCATAGACTTTTCTCTCTGTCACAAAGTTGGGTTTAATTTTGTTTCTTGGTAGCTTTTAAAGTTTCTTCAAAGTATTAGTTATAAATATTTGGTATTATTTCTTTTAGGGGAATATTGGCTCATCGAATTGGGGGCTTAATTTGCTACAGGAAGAAAACGTGATTCCAGATATACTAAAACTTGCAAAACAGTGTGAGGTTCTTTCCATCAGAGGGTATGTTATGTACCTGAGAAGTCTTTCTAGTGAATATATTCTTACAAATGTAAGGCAAAGTATTTCAAGATTCAAGATTCATATTGGTAATTTAAATATACTTGCCAGATTCCTGCTGTACTGCCTTTATTTTGGTTTAATTATTTTTTATTAGGGAGATTTACATGGTTTTCATTTATGTGCTGCTTTTCACAATCAAACAAATTTTAAATGTCTTTTTATGGAAAATATCCATATAGCCTACTATTTTATGGTTAAGGTTTTTTTTTTTTTTTTTTTTTAAACCTGCAGGACCTGTGTATATGTTCTTGGACTCATAGCTAAAACCAAGCAAGGCTGTGATATTCTAAAATGTCACAGCTGGGATTCTGTGAGGCACAGTCGCAAGCATCTGTGGCCAGTGGTTCCAGATGATGTGGAGCAGCTCTGCAATGAGCTCTCTTCTGTTCCAAGCACCCTCAGTTTGAACTCTGAGTCGACCAGCTCTAGGCATAACAGTGAAAGTGAGTCTGCACCATCAAGTGAGTATTGTGATGGATTCACATAATTTAATCTATTGGTGTCTTCATTTGTGAGTTCAAAGCTTAAGTGTATTGTTACATTCTAAGTTTACATTTCTATTTTCTGCTTAGTTTGTGGACTATTAGGAGATAGAGTCTTGTGTGACCTAGAACTTTCTAAGTAGCCAAGGATGATTTTTCTTCCTGCTTTTGTCTCCTTAGTGCTGTGAGTACAGGCATGTAGCCACACTCAGGCTGGAGTTTACTTTTTCAAAGATAATGCTAGTGGTGATATCCTATTAAAGTCTGCTCTGGCCTCGCAGCAGAGATCATAGCCCCCTGCCTAACAAGCTCCCTCCCATGCTTTTTAAATAGCATTTGGGAATTGTGTGCTTAGAGGTGATATTAAGTCACATACCAGAGAACCAAACAGACCTAGCCAGAATGTACCTACTTTCATTTACTTAATTCTTTCCTTCCTTTTCTTCAGTTTACATAACTGAAGTAGATTGCTAAGAGACTCATATCTTCATTAAATTTACATGGTTTGGGAAACACTGAGGGTTAGGTTAGCTCAGTAGTAGAACACTTTCCTGTTTGAAGTAAATCTCTGGGTTTCTCCCCCAGAAGTCGGGGAGAAAAGGAAATTGGTGGAAGTCTTAAAAGATAGGATATTAGAAATAAAACATGCATGAAATGGCTGTTTCAAGAGTAGAGTGCTATGGTTTGTACAGAATGTACAATGATCTTAGATTTAAGATGATAAATATGGGCCAGGCATGGTGGCTCACACATTTAATCCCAGCACTTGGTGGGCAGAGGCAGGTGTATTCCCATGAGTTCTGTTCCAGCATGGTCTACAGAGTAAGTCCCAGGACAGTCGGGGCTGTTATACAGAGAAATCCTGTCGCAAAGAAAGAGAGAAAGAAACAAAAAGAAAAGGTGATAGACTAGGCCTGTTTGCCCATGCCTATAATTCTAACCCTTCAGGAGACTCATGCAGGAGACTCTTGAGGCCTGTCCAGTCTGTAGGATAAGGCCAAGGCCAAGTTGGGCACCTATAAGAGGTATTTTGAGGAAAAGAAGGAAAGGAGAGAGGTTGGGTCTGCAGGTATACCTTTATAATCCCAGTATTTAAGCCTAGTCAGGGATACATTCTGAGCTTGTGGCCAGCCTGGACAGCAGTGTAAAGTCATGTCTCAAAAATAAAGATAATCTAACATATATTGAACTATATTTCACCAAGTCCATGATGTCTTGAATTATAAGAAGTAGTGATATTTATATTCCACCAAAAAAAAAAGAAGAAGAAAATCTTGTCCTTTACACTACTTCATACTCTCTATTGCATAGTAAAACTTGGTTTTTGAGAGATTGCATATGAAAAGATGTATCTTAGAGTTCACAGACATAGAAAGCTAGTGTAATATGCAAGTTCATTTAGGACTTTGTCTTTTTGAAAATATATTTAAAGTTCTTAATAATTAACTCAATAGAACAGTTACAAATAGAATAAATCTTATTGGTACTGTCAGACACCTGGGATAATTGAGGTATTTCAGTTAGACACTAAGTTTGATAAGTTTCTTAGCACATGGACAGTGAACGTAATTGGTTTAAATTTGAAGGTACCTGTATGTCTTCATTATTGGTAAGTGTGGTTATCTTTTCATATCTGTATGAGATCCCATACTTCCTCTGTACCCAAATCCACTGATACTAAAATCCTTTGAATAAAGAGACATGGTTCTATATTTGACTTGTAATTCCTAATCTAGATCTCAATAGTAAATTTTATTCTTAGGAATAATAGCAAGAAAAATATGTATTTTTCCATGAATATTTTTGGTCTCTGGTTAGTTGAACTCATACGTACACAATTCATTGACATGGAAGGCAGTAGTAGATTTAAAATTTAGGAATCTGTTTCTAAGATGAATGTATCCTCTATTGTGACGTGAAGAAGAAACCGTGCCCATTCTATACTAACAGAGTGAGTATGCTTAAGGGATAGATGTCTCCTGCTTTCTCTTTAATTTTATCCAGAATATTTGGAAAAATCAAAAGAAACTTTAATATATGCTGCACTAGGATAAGTCTAGTTTTTCTTCAGAAATGACAGAGCCTCACATGACTACAGTCTTGTATTTTATTCATATTATAATTCTCATCTTTAGGGTAACATTTTTATTTCTTAATGTTCCCCCAAGATGAATGCTTAAGAGGTGGGATAGCACTAAGCGTGTGGTGAGTTCTTCATAGTTAAATGCTTTGACGGCTGGTTCTCCAATCACAGGCATGTTCATACTGGAAGATGACCGGTTCGGCAGCAGCTCCACCAGTACCTTTTTCCTTGACATCAATGAAGATGCTGAGCCAGCATTTTATGACCGACCTGGACCCATAAAGGATAAAAATTCATTTCCTTTTTTTGCCTCTAGTAAACTTGTAAAGAATCGTATTTTAAATTCACTTACTTTGCCTAATAAAAAACACCGAAGTAGCAGTGATCCAAAAGGAGGAAAACTGTCATCTGAAAATAAGACAAGCAACCGGCGAATCAGAACACTTACAGAGCCCAGTGTTGACTTTAATCACAGTGATGACTTTACACCCATCTCCACAGCACAGAAAACATTACAGCTAGAAACTTCCTTTGTTGGGAATAAGCACCTTGAAGACACTGGCAGCACTCCAAGTATTGGAGAAAATGACTTGAAATTCCCCAAGAGTTTTGGTACAGAGAATCACAGAGAAAACACAAGCCGGGAGAGGTTGGTTGTAGAAAACTCAACAAGCTCACATATGAAGATCCGCAGCCAAAGCTTTAACACAGACACTACAACAAGTGGCATAAGTTCAATGAGCTCAAGTCCCTCTCGAGAGACAGTTGGTGTGGACCCTACAACTATGGACACAGACTGTGGAAGTATGAGTACTGTGGTAAGTACTAAAACTGTTAAGACAAGCCACTATTTGACACCACAGTCTAACCATCTGTCTCTCTCCAAATCGAACTCAGTGTCCCTGGTACCACCAGGTTCTTCTCATACACTTCCTAGAAGAGCACAGTCCCTTAAAGCACCTTCCATTGCAACAATAAAAAGTCTAGCAGATTGCAACTTTAGCTACACAAGTTCCAGAGATGCCTTTGGCTATGCTACATTGAAAAGATTACAGCAGCAAAGAATGCATCCCTCGTTATCACACTCCGAAGCTTTGGCATCCCCAGCAAAAGACGTACTGTTTACTGATACCATCACCATGAAGGCCAACAGTTTTGAGTCCAGACTGACGCCAAGCAGGTGAGCAATAAATACATGCTTAGAAATAAGTGAAAGTAGTTGAACTTTAGCAGATAGAAACGTAAGACATTAGCTTGAGCACCACAGAGCCCAAGTGTCAGAACTGACCCATTTACCACAGTAGGCTGTGAGCTCCTTGTTACCTGATATGATTTGAAATGGATTCTTGCAGCTGCGAGGGGGGAAAATAAACTCCATTAGGCCCTGAAAATAAACTTGTTTTGCAAGGTTACACAAGTCACAAGCTTTTTTTTCTCGCTTCTGCAAGGATCGATTTTAAAAAGAAGCATGTCGGGGGAATCAGGAGCTTAAGACCTACAATAACAAACAACCTTTTCAGGTAGGTCAATTTAAAGCTCCAAAAGTTGACCTCTTAGTATTTTTTAAAATAACTGAAAATTTCAGTTAAATTATTTCAATTTGTTTTAGGTACATGTCATCATTAAATAGAAACCTAATAAACACAAAATGAATTCCTGGCTCCTCAAGACTAAGCAAAAGTTTTTATTTATATATTAAATATTCCATATTTATATCATATCAAGCTATTAGCAGCATACAGTTTAGGTTTGCTGTTTTTTTAAATGCTACACTTTGAAATTTGCAAAAGATCCCTACTTAATTGTTTTTGTTTTTCTTGTTAGACTTCTCATAGTTGAATTACATTCATTTAAGTGATTTATATCCCTTTAAATAAATTACTAGGTGTCAAATAGTTAGACCAGTATCTGATAAAAACTAAACATTAGCTTGCAGGATATTCACACTATCAGAACTGGGAGTTATTTATATAATCCATCAGTCTCTCACATCTAATTTTTAGTAACTTTTTTTTATAAAGACGGTGCTGATAGCTGATAGTAAATTTTGTTCCCTCTTAAAAAAAATGGTATAGTAGCCATCGGTGTAACTAGAAGTCACCATTTCTGACATTTTCATGAATCCGTAACAGAGTCACACACCTGTCAACAAACCATGGGTACAATGCTACAGCCAAGAAGCAGAGCTTGTGAGTTAAGTTGTTTGGTGGAGCCTAGGCTAGATGAGTGCTTGTAAACTCTTAAAATGTTACTTTCCAAGCAGAACAAACTTTTTCTTCCTGAAGGTTTTCTATAAAAACCCAATAAATAGAACAGTTTAAAATGGAGCTGCAGCTGATTGAAATAGAATTGGAAAGTGAAACACCCTCATAATCCCTCTGACTCAAGTAGTTCTTAAGAGAGTTTTATAGAGTCAAAGAAACAAAACCATACCATTTGAAAAACATTGACTTCTTTCATACAATTCAAAAATTTCAGATATGAATACTTTTGGACATTAGGAATTGTTTTTGCCACTATAACCTTAATAGCTACTATTTAAAGCACATTTCTTTTGTGTGGTTTTCCAGTTAGTAATGTGAGACTTTGGATAGTGTTTCATATATTTGACAAGGCATATACAGAGTGAACAATATCTATTGCATGAATAGTGATCAAGTGCATCTTCTAGAGATGTCCATATACCATGGTCATGGAATTGTTTGTGAAGAGTGCCCTATAAAGACTAGTGTTCTGTGGATATCCCTTGTAATATTTACAAATGATGTCCTTGTAATATTTACTATACTGTATGTACCTTCTGTTATACAAATCTTACATGGTAAGAAAGCATTAATTAGCCCAGATGATTGATGAGTAATCCTATTTTTCATAAATAAATTACCTGGTACACCTTTAGCAGTAAAGCAAATCCAGGAGCTTTGGCTGACCACATGGGTCACCTGTACTTGTCTGTAGGTTAGTTTCCTTTATTACCTGGGCATGTTGGCATTGCTCTCATTACCCACCTTCTCATCTTCACTTGGAACAACATAACAGTTTTCCTTTGGTGACATTTAACATTACTGGTAAACTGTGTGTTGGACATTAGCAGTTAATGGTAAGTGCTTATGTGTTCTCAGCAGGCTAAGATGGTATTGCTTCGTGTTTGACTAGCTACTTTGATGGTGGTATAACATTAGGGGTGTTTGTTTGTTTTCTTGTTTGTTTTTAGTACACATAATAGTACAAATCAAGAAGCTAATTCAAGATTTTTTGTGATGTTATAGGTTTATGAAAGCTTTAAGTTACGCATCATTAGATAAAGAAGATTTATTAAGTCCTATTAATCAAAATACCCTGCAGCGATCCTCCTCAGTTAGGTCCATGGTGTCTAGTGCTACATATGGAGGTTCTGATGACTACATTGGACTTGCTCTTCCAGTGGACATCAATGACATATTCCAGGTAACATTCAGAGTACTACTGTTTTCTTATGAGCTGGCTTCCTGCTGATTTTGTTTTTTATTGTTCTGTAACTGCTTATTTGAACTTAGTTTATAGTGGATACACTTACTATGGGAAAGATACAGGCTTTTGAGAATCCCATGTTCTTAGCTTCTCTGTACTCTTATTTGGCTCTTTTAAGAATCTTGTTTAGTCTCCAGTCTCTGGAATGCTAACCTTGTCCACGACTATAATAAATTAGCATCTTGTTTGATTTATCTGTAGTATGTAGAAGTTTAAAAAATTCCTAATAGTCTTTTAGATTCATGTAACTTATGTTTTTAAGTCATTGATCCTTTTCAGCCATGTGTGATGTTTGTGTATGGTTAGCCCTGGTCAATAAGATAATACACACTTTCTAGTGGGTGGCCTTGAACTCACAGAGATCCATCTGCCTCTGTCTCCTGAATTCCGGGATTAAAGGTGTGTGCCACCACTGCCTGGCCTCTATGTCTAACTATTGTGGCTACTGGGATTAAAGGCATACGCCACCACTGCCTGGCCTTTGGCCTCTGTGGCTGTGGCTAGCTTTGCACTCTGATCTTCAGGCAAGCTTTATTAGATCATAAACACAGTGTCACCACAATAGGATTGCTCATTGAATTGGAGCTCAGCTGCCAGCTCCAGCATTATCCTGTCTCCATCCTTTACAGCTTTGTTTCACAAGCACATGCACACATGGCCACACCTAGCATGTTCTGTGGATGGAGGACATTGAAACTGTCATGCTTCTTATAGCAAGCACTCTTCACCCACTGAACCATACCTAGGGCCTAGATATTTTAGATAAACACTAAATTATTTGAATGCCCATTTAATTCATCAAGAACATGGTTAAGAGACTAGTTATTTGGTTATGTTTTGGTAATTTTAATCTTTAGTAAACTTTGCCTTATAAATATATATGCTACAGTAATTCTATTTGTTGCATTTCCCTGAATTCCTTTAATGTTCATAAGATGATTTCTTTATATAATGAAGCTGACCAGGCTTTATATGCATTTTAGGTAAAGGATATTCCTTATTTTCAGTCAAAGCATGTGCCTCCACCAGACGACCGAGGTGCAAGAATGTTTTCCCATGATTCAGGAGGTAATATGTTCTCTTTGTTCTTGTGCAACTCATAACCTTAAAAATCTAATTCTCTTTTTAGTGAGATAACAATAAAAATTAGACTTACTAAAGTTTGGGGTTAACTTAAACACTAAACCAAAATAATTCAGTCAACTAAAAAATTAAACACAGTTGTTTTTCCAGTGAGGATCCCAGCCTCTCAAGTAGATAAACCTAGAATAGTTCTTTCTTAAAGTGCAAGAGGAATGTTAAAACTAGTTTCATGGGTTAGAGGCATAGCTGTATGTTTACATTGAAGGAAGATGGGGATTTGCTTATTATTTACACATGTAATTCTGTGTTGTGAACTGTTATATTTTAGTGAATATGTGCATATTAAAAGTTTTATAATCTTGTTTCAACATAAGCCTCTCAGAAGTACTGATTTTGTTTAGTCAGCTATCAGAGTTAATTGGAATGATACGTTCATACAACCTGTTTTTTGTGTGTATTTAGAAAAAAAACCTTATTGAAATAATAAAGGTATATGTGCTATTTTTATGTTTACAATGTAAAATAAATTATTCTCTTTCCTTCCTAATGAAAATTAAATGTTGGGGCATAAAGACTTCTAAGTTTTCATCTTAAAAAAGTATTATTTTAAGACATCATGAAAAAGATGCCAATGGTGTCTTTATCAGATTGTATTTTTATTTACTTAAACATACAGGTCTTCCATCTGGAACTGGTGGTCTTGTAAAAAACTCGTTTCACTTGCTACGGCAGCAGATGAGTCTCACAGAAATAATGAACTCTGTCCATTCAGACGCCTCTCTGTTCTTAGAGAGCACAGAAGATACTGGACTGCAGGAGCATACAGATGACAATTGCCTTTACTGTGTCTGCATCGAAATTCTGGGCTTCCAGCCCAGTAACCAGCTAAGCTCCATATGTAGTCACTCAGGTGGGTGATAGTGTCCTTTGAGATGAATCTGCTCCAGTCACAAGTCTTCCAACAGTCCTACTGACAAGGCCTTCTTACTCCATCTCTGTCAGACACAATCTAGCCCTTTAGCAGCTTTCTATTGCACTATTAGGATTACAGCCTCTAATTTTGATTCTCTTCACTTTATTTTTTATATGTTATTGATATTAATCTGGTTTTAATTCTTTATTGGCTCTGTATCCCAACACGTAAGATTCTTTGTGCTCTGTTGTTTTCATCATTCTCATTTCTTATAGTTGGTAGACCATGTCCTGACAAGATGACGTTTTCAATAGCTACTGGGAATGAAAGTCCATTTTCCTTGCTATTCTCCCCTTATCTTCCCCATCCCCCCACACGCCCATGCTCTTATATAAACATACATAATCTGGAAGATCGGTCTCATCCTAAGTCTCATGTATAAAAAGTGTCCTGATAGCTAAGCCAAGCATAGAAGCTCCTTCCTCTTTGCTCTCACTGCCCTTTGTACAGTGGTCATTACTCAGTCATCTTCTAACCTTACCATGGTGACTTCCTTCAGAGCATGATCTGTTGTCTCTGACAGGAGCTGCTGCCTTGTACAGTGGATTCTTGGTATTCATTTATTAAAGAGGGATTAAATAAAGTAGACACCAGTGGTCAGTTTCTTAATATGAATCACCAGCTGTATATATTAACAGTTTCTTTCAATTAGTGTTTAAACTGTTCATGAATGTACCTATTTTTGGTAAATATCATTTAGCTACCCTCAGGAGTCTGGTGATGACCGGAGTTCTGGGTGATTCTTATGAAGTCCTCCATAGGATTTTGTACTTTTCCAACTTGTGGACAATGCTAGATGATGGTGCTGGAGAGATAGATATCCAGGCAGGAGTGTGCTTGCCACAAATAGGTTGGGGTTGTGCTTAGAAACGGATCCGTTCTCACAGTGGCTCTGTGTCCCAGTATGGGCCTGAGTTTGACAGCTTCCTAAACCAGGCTTCTTCACACTCTGAACCCAAGGCCTCTGTGTGCTGTGATTTTTTTCTTTTTTTTTTTTTTCTTTAACAAATTTGTGTGTTTAGATGTACTATACACCATACAAAGAGAGTATCTTAGGTCACTTGGCAATATTGTTTGATTTAGGGCCAAGTTCATTTTATTTATTCACTGAACAGCGTGTGTAAAGCACTTAGTTAAAACAAAACAAAGCAAGCAGACCAGCCACCAAAAAGCTGTCTTAAGCAAAATGAACACAGTCACCTGACTTGAGTCCTTAGAGCTGTAGTAATCCATAAAGCATGAGGGCAGCATTAAAAACAGACACAAAGACTGGTAGCACAGAATGGAGGAATTGGAAGCCAGTCTGTACCTCTTCAGCTAACTACCTTCCACAGTGCTGCTAAGATTCATCTGCTGGAGAGAGGACAATGTTTTTGATAAAGGGAAAACTGGATATCCTCCTAGAGATAAATACGTGAGGTTATAGATGCCTCTCACTCTGAACAAAGGTCAATTCAGCATGGCCCTTAAGTGTGAGCTTGAAAGTGAAAGTGCTGAGAACTGTGTTGGAGTTTTCAGATGGGTAAGGATTTTCTGGAATCCCACCTGCCACCCACAACATGCCCTGAAGAACCCTATAGGAAACAAAAGTTAGAATGTCTAAGACTGTAATAAAGCATTTTTACAGAGAAAAAGAAATGAATGAAAAGCATACAGAAATTGAGCAAATACTTACAAACTATATGTCTAGTGAGAAATTAATATACAAGCTGGATGTAATGGCATACGCCTTTAATCCCAGCAATTGGGAGGCAGAGGCTAAGTTCCAGGCCAGCTTGGTCTATAGATTGAGTTCCAGGACAGCCATAGATACACAGGGAAACCTGTCTGAAAAAGAAAAATTAATATACAGAATATAGGAAGAAAATGTGTAATAGACTTAAAAATGTCTTAAGACATAAAAGTAGTTGAACATAAATCAAAAACCACCATCAGATTACAATAACAAGAATACTTGTCAAAATGCCAAATGGTAACAAATGCTGGCAAGGACAGGAAGAAAAGGAAATCCTTGCAATTGTTGGTTGGAATGTAAACTACAGCAGCCACTAAAGAAAGCAGTAAGGAAAATTACCAGAGAAACAAAACGAAACAAGCTATGCGACCCAGCAATCCAATCCCATTACTTTACAGAAATGAAGGAAGTGAAATCAGTATGTCAAAGACATGCTATCCCAAGTGAATTGCAGTACTAGTCACAGTAGCCACGAAGTGCAAACACATATATAACTGATAAATAAGTGAATAGAGAATATGTGGTCTATATACATAGGCAGGGATGCACAGAGAAGCACTATCTCCAAAACCAAAAATACAGTGCTGGCAGGTGGACCAGTTATTAAACCATAGACTAGTGGAGCACCTAAGACCACAGCTGGAGGACAGAGGAGCCAAGAGACTGAGGTGGTTCTTAAACTACTTTGATCTTGGAACTAAATGTTTTGATTTAAATGTTAGAAGACTACTTCTGTGTGAATGAGGGTGTTGAGGAATCATGAAGCAGAGCTCTGTCCACTTGGCCTTCTTCCCAAAGTTACAGTGGATGAGGAAGTGCCAGGAAGTCCAGGACATCCAGTTAACAAGAGCACAGGTGTAAACAGCAGAGGCCTAGGCTTCAAGTACCAGGGAGACTGGTACAAAAGCTGGGCTATTGTCCTTGCTGTACTTCAACCCTGCACAAAGAACTACAGGAAACTAAGGAATGCTAGATCAGGAAAGGGTCTTCCCCAGGGAGAACATATGGATGGGTTGTTAGCTAATAACAAATGGTCAGCCCTGATATATGTACATACAAATAACATTGTATGGACTGAGTAGTTAGGGATGTGCATATAACAACAATGGGAAAAAAGAGGCCATCAATTTCAACAGATTGGGGAGGGTTATGTGGAAGGGTTTGGAAGGAGGAAAGGGGGAAATGATAAAATTATAATTTCAAAGAAAGGGGCTATTTACTCTTGGACTAATATCTGTACATGTTAGTTTGGATTCTGGTTTAAACCTCTGAATGAGAATATCTTATAGTATTTTTTAGTCAGGCTAAGAATCAGTAAATATTCCATTAATGGTAACTTACATAAAAGTTGTTTAGTATAGAATATTCTGATAGTTGGTGATGGTGATCTAACTGTATTCCTCTTGTATGTGCACATAGCTTTCATCTATTAAAAAAAATGGAGTATTTACCTGTTCCTTTCCCAACTCCAAGAATGTTTGGTTTTCTGTCTTGCTGATTTAAAATCAGGCCCATATTTTGTTCAAAGTTTTAAGTTATCAGTGGTCATGCATGATCTTGTTTAAAATGTTTTCCCTGTGATTCAGCATACTTCACAAAGTACTTTACATGCTTAGGAAGCAATGAGTATTTTAAACCTTGGTTACTTAGAGAAATGAATGCTTAATTGAAATCTTTAAATATAGGGGACAGTTCTGACAAGTTAGAGCTAGGAGTCACTGGTTAAAGATAAGGCTGGATAAATTAGTTCATTACTTTTCAGAAACATGTCAGCTGAAGAAAGTGTCCCTTTTTTACTATTATTTATACAGAAGTACTTCCCCTTTACTCCCTAGGTTAACTCATCAAGTGAGTGTAAAATAGCATTTTATTTTGTATGTACCTTTTTTTAATTGTGTCTGAGGAAAATAACATGAAAACACTGTTTTAAATTAAATCTTTGATTTCAAAATATTTTCCTTATAAGTTTACTTTTAAAATCACTATAAAATTTCAGTGGAGTGTTTTACTTTTACATGGTTAGCAAATGTCTTAGGGTTATCATTGCTGTGGTGAAACACCATGACCAAAAGCAGTGTGGGTAAGAAAGTTTTCATTTGTCTTACACTTCCACATCGTTGTTCATCAGCAAAGGATGTCAGGACAGCAACTCAAACGGGAAGAACGTGGAGCAGGAGTTGATGCAGAAGCCATGCAAGAGTGCTGCTTCTGGGTTTGTTCTTCATGGATTGCTAAGCCTGCTTTCTTACAGCACCCAGGAACACCATCCCAGGGATGGGCCCACCCACGATGGGCTGAGCCCTTCCCCATCAGTCACTAAGAAAAATGCCTCCTCTCCTCTCCTCCCAGTTCCTAACCTCTCTCTCACACACACACATACACAACACGTATGCATACACACGCACGCACGTACACATGTACCCCTCATCTACTCCTTTCCCTTTAAAAAAGAGCAGGTCTCCAAAGGGTATCAACTGAACATGGCATGTCAAGTTATAAAACTCAGCACAGAAAAAGAGTCCCAAAATCAGGTAAAAAAGTCAGGGACAGCCGCTGCTCCCACTGTTAGGAGTCCCACAAGAGGACCAAGCTACACAACCACATATATGCAGATGTAGGTTAGACCCATACAGTCTCCCTGATTGTTGGTTCAGTCTCTTTGAACCTCTATGAGCCCTGATTGGCTGAATCTGTGGGTTTTCTGTGGTCTTAACCCCTCAGACTCCTTTAATCCTTCCTCACTCTTCTGCAGGTTTCCTGATCTCCACCTAGTGTTTGGCTGTAGGTCTGCATCTGCTCCCATCAGTTGCTGGATGAAGCCTTTCTGATGATGATTGTGCTAGGCTCTGTATCATTAAGAAACATTTTATTGACTTTTCACCCCCTCCTGATCATGTTTGGTCTCTGGACTATTCATACTGATTCCTGGCCCCCAGGTAGTGTCAGCCTGGGCACTCTGTAGCTGTGGGTCTCAGTTTGGACCAGTTCTGTACCACTTTTAGGCCATCATATTTTGCATGTAGGACAGATTTGTATGTAGAAGGTTTTGTGGTGTGTTGGTGTCCCAATCCTATAATGTATGATTGTAATAGAGTCCCCAAAAGCACGGATAAAGGGAAGTCAGGTATTTATTGGTGAATTACTCACGAATGTCAATATAAGGTAGAGTGCCACCAAGGTCTTTTGCCCAGAGCATTGGAAGCTGAAATCCCATCTGCTGCCACCACCCAAGAGAGCTTACCTCCCAGTCCATGGGTAGCACCTGAGGCCCCACCCAGAAGGAGCAGGTACCTTGAAGACTATTGGCTGTAAGTCTTGCCTGGTTATAGGCCACTTCAGGCTACATAACCCCTATTAATAAGAGTTTGCTAGGGTCACCCTTGTGGATTCCTAGGAGTTTCCATTGCACTAGGTTTCTTCCTCACCTCTGAAATGCCCCCAGATTCCAGTCATCTCTCCCTCCACTCTACCCACCTGCCCTCAATCTACCCACAAAATCTATTTTCTTTGCCCTTCCCAGGGAAAGCCATGTATCCTCTATTTTACAGCTAATAGCCACTTATAAGTGAGTAATACCATGTTTGTCTTTGCGGTTTGGTTTACTCCACTCATCATGATTTCCTGCAAGTTTCAAGCTTTTTTTTTTTTAACATTGTGTAAATGTACCATATTTTCTTTATTAATTCATTGGATGAGGGTCATCTAGGTGGTTTCCAGCTTCTATTACAAATAAAGCTTCTATGAACATAGTTAGCAAATATCCTTGTGGTAGGATGGGACATAATTCAGTTATGTGCTCAAGAGTGGTATAGCTGGTTTTGAGGTAGATGGATTGCCAATTTTCTGAGGAACCTCCATATTGATTTCCATAGTGGCTGTACAAGTTTACACTCCTACTCACAATAGAGGAATGCTCCCTTTGCTCTACATCCTTGCCAGCATGAGCTGTCACACGTGTTATTGATCTTAGCCATTCTGACAGGCGGCAAGGTAGAATTTCAGAGTTGTTTTGATTTGCATTTCCCTGATGACTAAGGTTGCTGAAAACATTCTTTAAGTGTTTCTTGGCCATTTGCGATTCCTCTGTTGAGAGTTCTCTGTTTAGATCTGTATGCCATTGATGTCTAGTTTCTTGAGCTCTTTATGTATTTTGGATGTTAGCCGGATGTGGTTTTGATGAAAAAATTTTCCCATTCTGTAGACTGCTGTTTTGTCCTGTTGCTGTTATTCTTTGCCTTATAGAGCTTTTCAGTTCCATTAGAGTTTCCATGTATAAATTGTTGATCTTAGATCCTGTCCTATTAGTGTTCTGGCCTAAGCCCAATCTTGTGGAGACATTTTTTTTTTTTTAATTGAGGTTCTCTCCTCTCAGATGACTTAGCTTTTATCAAGTTGACATAAAACTATCTAGCATATGGAAGTAGTAATCTGAGAAGAGTTTGGATGTGGAATAAAAAGTAGTGCAAAGTTAATCTTTTGGGAACCAAGGTTAGGTAAGATTAAACCTCTTTTCTTCCATATTGGTATGATGTAGGAAGGGAAGTAGGCCAGCCTTTAGAAGGTCTGACTTTCTAGTGAAATATCTTCTCTGAGTTACTCTTTTCATGAGCAAAATGAATGCTTATTAACTTCCATTGTGTTGTATAGTATTAAGCTTGTGTGATTTTTGTACGATATCCAATGTTATTCCCCAAAGGATGACCAACAGTTTTTTCCCAATTTTTTCATTATTGATTTTAATACCTAGGGATTCTTTAAAATTTATTACATTTTTTTATTTGTTCATGTATTTGTGTACCATGCATGCACGTGTGTGCCATTATGCATGTGCCACAGGACCTTGAAGATCAGAGGACAACTGATTGGAGTCGGTTTTCTCCTTTCACCCCCTGGGTTCTGGTCTTGAATCCAGGTAATAAGACTTAGCAGCAAGCACCTTTCTAACCCACTGGTCCATGGCCAGGGCATTTTAGATTAGATGTTAATATTATGTTGACTTCAAAATCCCACCATGGGCACAGTGCACAGAGAGAACAAGAAGAAAATTTAAAATAGAAGAGTTCTGAAATAACCTTATGCTTTTAATTGCATTTACTATTGGGTGAGGCATTCAGATAGAGGTAGAAAGGATGGGAGAAGGTAATAAGGTATATTCTTTTATACATATTTGCTTGAAAATTAATGATTTATTCCTGCATTTTTACTATGAAAATTTAACTCTAGAAGAAAGCACCTTCCCTTATTTGAACTCTCATCATCCTAGCAGTCTAGATTTACTTTGAAAATCTTCATGAAAAGAAATTGTTGATATCAGGGAAGGAGTTCTCTAGAGTGTGCAGTCCTAGCACAGGAATGAACTCTAATCGAAATGCTTTTACCTTCAGATCTTCAAGATATTCCGTATTCTGATTGGTGTGAGCAGACGATCCACAATCCCTTAGAAGTGGTTCCCTCTAAGTTCTCGGGGATCTCTGGGTGCAGCGATGGTGCATCCCAAGAAGGCTCAGCCAGCAGCACCAAAAGCACAGAGCTGCTCCTGGGTAAGTCTTTAGGTTCACCTTTTGCACCCTTGCTAAAGCTGCATTCAGTTGCTTTTGCCTGCTAGAATATGTACTGTAATGCAGAGTTGTCTCATAGCTGTGACAGGTTAGACATTTAGCAGACTCTTAAATACTGTACCTATGCCAGCCATTAACAGACCATTCCCTCTCAGTGGTCTACTTCTATTAGAGCTTTGCCCCTGTATCGTTGGCAGATTTTGTGTGGTTGATTCCAATTTTAGTTGCTTTTGTTGATGGTCTGTAATCATTTCTACATTGTGATATAGTAAGTGACTTCATACTGACATCTTCATTTCAGGTGTAAAAAACATTCCAGATGATACTCCAATGTGCCGCATCCTGCTTCGTAAAGAAGTGCTACGATTAGTTGTCAATTTGAGTAGTTCAGTTTCTACCAAGTGTCATGAGACAGGACTTTTGACGTGAGTACCTCCATGAAGGTTGTCAGCTTGTTCTGCTTTGTAAGTTGCAGAAAGGTACCTGCACTGATTAGAGTTGTACAACAGCAGTCACAGGCTACCTTCCTATGTGTGGGGTGGGGCTTAAAGATGCTTCCCTGTGGTACCTCTGTCTGGAAAGCAGATTGAAGGGAAAGTGAGACTGCAGCGAGACTTTCAAACAAATCTGCAGAAAATGGAAAACTGTATCTAAAAGCAGGAGCTGTCTTGTCCATTTGTTCCCTTTCTTTATTCTTGGTAGAATTTGGGGTTTTTTAAATAAATAACTTACTTATTTTAAACCTATAAAACATTTTTTTTAATTCCTAAATTTCAGTTTCTGGCATAATTGTTGGTGACTATAGCTCAAATACAAAAACAAAACATTTTAGATTTCTCAATCAGATTTCAAGAAAGTGAGAAAGACCTAAGACCAAACATTTTAGAAGTAAGCCTAAATGATAAACTGGTGGAATTTCCTGGTTCAATTTGTTTCTTTTAAGAAAATATTTAGGATTTTTATTGTCTTTCTTACTCAAAGCAGCCTGATGAATGAAAAGAAAAATGATTTTGAGCAAATCGTCTCTATTTGCACACAAAAGATGTGTGAAATAGAAGTACTTTGTAATAAGCCAGGTATGGCCACATATGCCTGTAATCCCCACACTTGGGAGGTAAAGGCAGGACCATCTGGGATGTTAGGGAGATGGAATCATGTTCAAGGTTTGCCTGGCTTACATGAAACCCAATAGCAAAAATGAAAAAAGAGACAGACAAACTGATTGACATATTTGTAAGCCATCATTACTAACATTACATCCTGTCAGTATCTATAGGGGAAAAAAAAATAGCAGAAAGTATCATTTTAAAGGGTTAAATGAATAAATTATGGTTATATTTTTTTTATCACAACATAGTCTGTCTTTTCATTTTAGAATTAAAGAGAAGTATCCTCAAACATTTGATGACATATGCCTTTATTCTGAAGTTTCTCATTTGTTGTCACACTGCACATTTAGACTTCCATGCCGGAGGTTCATACAAGAGTTATTTCAGGATGTACAATTTTTACAAGTAAGTAAAGTATATTTCTGAAATTTGTCTCCCAGAATTATTCAATACTTGAAGAAATTAAAAGAGTATTTCTACATTATATGCCATTTTTGTTTTTAAAAAAAAATTAACAAGTTACCCCTTTTTCTTAGATGCATGAAGAAGCAGAGGCTGTGTTGGCAATTCCATCAAAACAACCCTCAGTTGATGAATCTGCCGAATCCTGACCTCATATTTATGATGCTTATAGCTAGATACTATATATTTATCCATACTGGTGGATTTCCTAAAGGCCTCACGAAATGCTGACTATCAGCGAGACAGGAGTATCTTCTGACGCTGTCCCAGCAGTCATTGGTACAGAACAGCTGTGACTGCTGTCATCCCTAACCAAGCCAACTTCCTCTTCTCTGTTGGGCCCTTCGTGGGGTTTGTGATTCATTACCACAGTTGTAAATCAGTTACCATTAGATGTAAGAGCCAAGCACTGAACCTACATAGGTTTTCTATTTTTTTATTTTAAAAGCATAATGGCAGTGGAAGAAAAGCAGGACCTGAAGAAGCACCCTTCGCATAGTTATTTCTAAATGCTTTTTAATTAAGGGTAAATTAAAAGGATGCCTTGTTTGTTCGCTAATTCGTGGGAAGCAGGAGTGACTGTCGCTGAGGCTGTGCCCTGTTATCCTACAGGCTGTGCTGTATCTGCTGGTGTCGGGGCTTCGTTGGCCCTTCCACATTTCCTTAACGTTTGTAACACTACTTCAAAGGTCTCTGACCTCGGAGCAAAAGAAGAGCCTCAACAATTGGAACTTGAGAGTTATTTTATGTTGTTAGAGTGCATAAAGATGCTTATTTGTTTTCCATCTCTTCAGGTTTTTTGCAATATGTTGTTAAAGGTTATTTGTACCGATTAAGGTTTTTCACTACAGTTGTTGAGTAAAATAAATAGTTAAATTGAAATACTTCCCATGTCCAGCACGCACACACACACACACACACACACACCCAGTGAATTTCCATCCTCATGAGCTCCTCTCATCACTACTTTAAACAGAATGAGCAAGTATTAGTAGTCTGCACCCAAAGCAAAGGAAAGCATTAAGTGATACTTCCGATCTCTTAAAGAAAAGACAAGTTTGCCTGAAATTTACACATTCCATGTAAAAAGGAAGAGCCATATTTGCATTTAAAAAGTTATTGAGACTCATTAAGATTAAAAATTGTGGTGAAAATCCTTAATTACTAAATTATAAAGCTGCGACAATGTCATTTTTGTTAGTATTCTTGTTTTGCACAAAATAATTGCAGTTGTAGGTGAGTTGAAGAGTACAGTCATTGCCTTTATCACATGTGTGAAGTTGATAAAGGCAGGGTTTTGTCTGTCTGTCTAGTTTGTGTATGTATAAAGATATTTGGAAATCTACAGAAATTAAATATGCAAATTTGTACATAAGGTAGCATGAACATCATTACTAGAATGCTTGTGAGTGAAAGGGTTATCTTTCTTGGAATCATATGTATAGAACAAAAACATCCAGCTGGACTGACTAGGACCCTTTTGTAACTGCTCTGTGTAGCCCATTTTTACAGTTACATATCAGCTTGAACACCATCATAGACATCAGTCCATATTTTCCCATGTTGTACACCCTTTTCATAATGGGCTTGTTTGCAAGACCTGGGAAACAGAACAGAGATTTTTTAACTGGCACTGAAAGTTCCCACTAGGATGAAGCAGTTCATCTCCCTCCTAACTCCTCTGACTGCACTTCAGCAAGTTGTTCTTACATGCACTGTGTGGCAACTTCCATGACGATAAAGCAGACAAGGGCTCTAAGCTGCTGCTCATGTTACAACACGGTTCTTTTCATTCCCTCAGAAAATCCAGTGAGGGTAAAACTTTGAACTTCATCACCGAACCCAAGTGTTTGTTTAAATGTCAACAGTACTTCTAAGAGCATTGCCTATCACCTTGGTCTTTGGTCTTGGATAATAAAACTGCCTTTCCAGAGAACCAAATGTCAGAGATACTAGGCCAAATAATGGTTACAATTCCAAAGGAAGGAATATAGTCTTACTCATAATGGGATTAACATTTTAGACATTCATTTTAAACACTACCTCAGTTAACATAGAGTATAAAATCTGTGGTTTCATCCCTCAAAAATTAAGTAACTATTTTTGTTTGTTTTTCATCACACAAAACTATCCCCATCCTTGCACACCTAAGTCAGCCATCCTTAAATTAAGACAGTGCCTAGTGTTCTAAGCAGGTGTTTGTTTTGACTTTTGACTGTTACTTTGAAAGGTGTGTGTGTGTGTGTGTGAGAGAGAGAGAGAGAGAGAGAGAGAGAGAGAGAGAGAGAGAGAGAGAGAGAGAGAGAGATCGATCATACAGCACTTACTTTGGGATGGAGCTTTGTGGTTATCAGTCTATTGGAGGAAATTATCTGTGCTTAAATTTATAGTGCTATGTGGTTTAACCATGGTTTCACCAGGAGGTGGAATACATTTCCTTTAAGTACTTACTTGTATAAAAGTAGACTTTCATGATGAAAACTACATGCAGTGCCAAGTGATTAGTGTAGGTGTTTTATGATTATTAAATTATAGCAAAAAAGATTAGGAATGATGTCAATGGTAATAGAGATCATCGAAAAATCATCTATAAATAATAGATATTACCAAAATAATGTCAATACTGTAGTTTTTCAAGAGGTTAGAATTAATATTAGTCACATAAATTTGTACTATTGGTAATTATTTAATAATTTGGAGGAGTTTGAACAGTTAAGCTGGTTGTAAGCTGTGAATTTCTAATTGTAAATTGTCATTTCTAATTGAATTTTTTTCAAGAACAGATTTCAGCTTCACATACTAAGTAAATACTGAAAAATAAGGAGAAATTTAGTATTTATAAGAAAATAGGCTCTAAAATTTCTTGTCTTTTTTTTTTTTTTTTTTTTTTTTTTTTTCTGTTTGTGCTTAGGGTATATTGGATGAGGAAAGTGTTCTCCCTAACTTAAGTGTTTCTAATAAAGAGTAGTGAATAGACATCCCTGGGACAGTGACATTATAAGGCTGTTAGGAAGTGCATGCATTGTTGCTGTGGTGATGTATCGAGGTCACTGGGAGCAGTGTCTTCAGCAGCATTCCACTCTTGTCCAGAACTTGAGATGGTTAAAGCTGAATTCCATGTCACCATGGTCGAGTGTTCAAAGTGAGATGTCACTGTTTATTTAGATTTGTCTACTGCTATTTATATAAAATTTTTATTTCATTCCTTTCAGAGGATGCCTTTTATGCCCCATATCAAAGCACAGATCGTTAAGCAATAAGAAACAAAATTGTCTGTCGTCAAATTATATTAGCAGTTATTCTCGTGTGGTAAGAGTGAGGTGCTAATTTTGCGTGAAGAATTTGTGACCACTTGGGAAATGTATTTCGGAAGTAAGGTTCCCCCCACCCCCTTTACACTTTTACTTCCATTTTGTCTCAAATTCACAATCCAGAAAAGAAAAGTAGAATTGTTTGAGACACTTCCAAGAAAAGCTGCTTGTAATGAACATTTCAGATTTTCCTAAGTGTAGGTTGGCAAAGAACTCCATTTCCTCCGTACTGGCAGAGTCTGTTGTTCCCATCTTATCTTCAAGAGTGTCACTACACCGAGACCCACTTCAGGCATGCCAGTGAACTTATGAAGGACACAGCAGTCTGCACAAGGCTTTCGAGGAGCCTTGTTCTTTTAATTACAGGTTCCCATGGGGGTTTTCATTTCTAATACATTTATACGACTCACAGAATGTGGGATTCCTCCCATTTGGAGTATTTTTATAGTTAGGTGGATAACTCTGCCACAGATGCATGGATTGCACATTTGACTCTACAAGATAGTTAATATGAAAATATGCCAAAAAGGAAACATATCTTACAATTTTCCCATTTAACTAGGTTGGTCTAGCACAAAATGCAAAGTCTTGGGGCAGAGAGGGAATAGTGAAAATTTTTTATGTATGATTGTTGAAAAATGTTTCATTACTGGCCTGTCAGAAACCCTAACAATGCATTGTGAAACAAATGATGTAAATTAAATTAGCTTTGAAAAGTGGTAAGGGATTGTAAAGAGAATCTCAGACTCAATGCTCTCTGACCACATGACCTTTTTTTATTTAGTAATACGCTGCTACATTTTTGGAGGTTCTGGTGTTTGTAGGTCACTGAACAGACATTGAAATCTGATTTATATTGTATAACTGTAACATAGAAAGAAAAAGTATTTATATATTTTCCTTAAGAATATTTCATTGAGTTGTGTATAATTTAAATAAGATTTGTTCCCAAATGGTTTTGCTCACCTTGATTTTGTTGTTGTGGTTTTATTGTTTTTGTATAATGTGTACAGTTTATGTTAAGGGCATTAAAGCCTCCTGAAACATAATCTTATCAAAGGGATTCATTGTTAATAAAATGTACTTAAAATTCTTAAACTTGTGGCAGTGTTACTTTATTTGAAAACCTTTGTCACTGGGCCTTAACTTGAATCACATGATACTGATGTTGACAGTGCAATTTCCAGGAAATATGGCCATTTGGTCCTACAAATGAGGATGGTCTTATACCGTGAAGGGGCTGTTCCCAATTTTAAAGTAATTGTACTTCCTTGGCATTCTTCAGAATTTAATCTGACACACTAAACTTTTTAATCTCAAATCATTATTGTGAAGGATTTGAAAATAGAAATGGCCTGCTGTTTTATCTTGTGGACTGTGTCCTTTGCCTTACAGAAGCTTCTCAATTTCAGGAGGTCCCGTTTATTAAGTGTTGATCTCAGTGTCTGTGGTACTGGTGTTATGGAAAAAAAAAAAAAAAAAAGAAAGAAAGAAAAGCAGTCTCCTGTGCCAATTCAAGGGAACCTTCCACTTTCTTTCTAAGAGGTTCAGTGTGGCTGGATTTATGTTGAGGTCTTTGATCTGTTTGCACTTAAGTTTTCTGCATGCCGATAGATATGGATCTATCTTCAGTGTTTTGCACTCCAGCATCCAGTTATGCCAGCACCATTTGTTGAAGATGCTTTCTTTTTTTCCGTTGTATAATTTTAGCTTCTTTGTCAAAAATCAGAAGATCATAGGTATGTGGGTTAATATCAGGGTTTTCAATTCCATTCCATTGATCTACCCATATATTTTGGGGCTAATACCAAGCTGTTTTCAGGACTATAGCTCTATAGTAGAGCTTGAAGTCAGGGATGGTGATGCCTCCAGAAGTTCCTTTATTGTACGGGGTTGTTTTGGCTATCCTGGGTCTTTTGTTTTATCCATATAAAGTTGTGTATTGTTCTTTCAAGGTCTGTGAAGAATTGTGCTGGGATTTTGATGGGGATTGCATTGGATCTTTAGATTGCTTTTGGCAACGTTGCCATTTTTACTATTTTGATCCTATCCAAAAGCATGGGAGATCTTTCTATTTCCTGGTATCTTCTTTAATTTCTTTTTTTAAAGACTCAAAATTCTTATTATATAGGTCTTTTGCTTGTTTGGTTAGCATTACCCCAAGATAGTTTATGTTGTTTGTGGCTATTGTAAAGGGTGATGTTTCTCTGATTTTTTTTCTCTGCCCCTTTATCGTCTGTATATAGTAGGGCTACTGATTTTTTTTTTTTTTTTTTTTTTTGAGTTAATCTTGTATCCTGCCACTTTGCTGAAAGTGTTAATCAGTTGTAGGAGTTCCCTGGTAGAGTTTTTCGGGTCACTTACGTAAATTATCATATCATCTGCAAATAGTGACAGTTTGACTTCTTTCTTTCCAATTTATATCCCCTTGGTCTCTTTTTGTTGTCTTATTGCTTTAGCTAGAACTTCAAGTACAATATTGAAGAGATATGGAGAGAGTGGGCAGCCTTGTCTTGTTCCTGATTTTAGAGGAATCACCTTAATCTTCTCTCCATTCAGTTTGAAGTTGGCTGTTGGTTTACTGTATGTTGTTCTTTAAAATATTGTTCTTTAGTTACACTTATAAGAATAAAAGGTGGATAAGGGGGTGGGGGTGGTCCCAAGTGAGGGTCCCAAGTGGGTCCCAAGATAAGGGACCACAAGGGAGAACATAGCAGGTTCCACAGCAGGTGAGGGTGACTGAGAAGGCAAGGCAGAGGGAATAACATACCAGGCAGAGAGTGAGGGAGAAAGGAAGAGACATAGAGGCACTGAAAACAGAAGAGGAGAGAGGAGGAGAGAGAGGGGAAGAGAAAATGGGGGGGGGGGGGGTGTGCCTGGTAGCCAACCGAAAGCAGGAGAGAGCATAAGTGGGCAGGGGTTTGACTTTTAAAGGGGTCCTTTACACCTACCTGCTAGTACTCATGGAACCCAGGGCTGACCAGAGTACTGCCTTAGTGCATTCTGCCAGGTAACGGGGGCAGGCCAGCATGATGCCTGAATCCTTACACTGTGTGTTTTTATTATGTTTAAGTATGTTCTTGTTATCCTGGTCTCTCCAAGGCCTTTATCACAAAAGGGTGTTGGATTTTGTCAAAGACTTTTTCAGCATCTAGTGAGATGATCATGTGGTTTTTCTTTTTCAGTTTGTGTATATGGTGGACCAAATTGATAGATTTTCATATGTTGAACCATCCCTGCATCCCTGGGATGAAGCCTACTTGGTCATGGTGGATGATATCTCAGATGTGTTCTTGGATTTGATTTACCAGTATTGAGTATTTTTGCATCAAGGTTCATGAGGGATTTTGATCTGTAGTTCTCTTTCTTAGTTTGTCTTTGTGTGGTTTGGGTACCAAAGTAATTGTAGCCTCATAAAAAGAGTTTGGCAATGACCCTTCTGCTTCTATTGTATGGAACAATTTGAGAAGTATTGGTATTAGCTCTTGAATTTCTGATAGAATTCTGCAGTGAAGCCATCTGGCCCTGGGCTGCTTTTTGGTTGGGAGGCTTTTGATAACTGCTTCTATTTCATTAGGGGTTATAGGTCTATTTAAATTGCTTCTCTGTTCTTGATTTAATTTTGGTAAGTAGTAGTTATCCAGGAAATTGTCCTTTTCCTTTGAATTTTCAAATTTTGTGGAGTACGGGTATTCCAAGTATGACCTGAAAATTGTCTGGATTTCCTCATTGTCCATTGTTATGTTCCTCTCTTAATTTCTGATTTTGTTGATTTACATGTTGTCTCTCTCTGCTTTTGGTTAGTTTGGATAAAAGTTTGTCTATCTTGTTGATTTTCTTGAAAAACCAACTCTTTGTTACATTGAACCTTTTATTGTTTCCTAGTTTCTTCTTTATTGATTTCAGGCCTCAAATAGATTATTTCCTGGCATCTACTCCTCAGGCATGAGTTTGCTTCTTTTTGTTCTAGGGCTCATTTGTGCTGCTGTTAATTCTCTATTGTGACTATTCTCCAGTTTTTTTCATATGGGCACTTAGTGCAATCAACTTTCCTCATAGCAGTGCTTTCAAAGTGTCCCATCAATTTGGGTACGTTGTGTCTTCATTCTCTTTGAATTCTAGGAAATATTTAATTTCATTATTTTTTTTCTTGACCCAGGAATGGTGCAATTGCGCATTGTTCAGTTTCCATGAGTTTGTAGGGTTTCTGCAGTTTGTATTGTTGTTGAATTCCAACTTTAAAGCATGGTGGTCTGATAAGATACAGGGACTATTCCAATTTTTTTGTATCTGTTGAGGTTTGTTATATTGCCTAGTATATGGTTGATTTTAGAAAAGATTCCATGTGTTGCTGAGAAGAATTCTTTTGTGTTTGGATGGAATGTTATATAGATATCTGTTAAACCCAATTAGGACATAACTTCTGTTAGTTCTTTTGTTTCTTTGTTAATTTTTTTGTCTGGTGGTTCTGTCTAGTGATGTGAGTGGGGTGTTGAAGTCTCCTACTATGTGTATGTGAGGTTTTGTGTGAGCTTTGAGTTTTAGTAGCCTTTTACGAATGTGGGTGCCTTTGTATTGGGGGCATAGATGTTGAGAATTGAGACTTTGTACTGATGTATTTCTCCTGTGATGAATATGAACTGACCGCCTTCATCTCTTTTGATTGATTTTGGTTTGAAGTCTAACTTGTTAGATATTAGGATAGCCACACCTGCTTGCTTCTTGGGTCCATTAAATTGGAAGATCTTTTCCCAACCCTTTACCCTGAGGTAATGTCTGTCTTTGAAGCTTATATGTGTTTCTTGTATGCAACAGAAGGATGGATTCTGTCTTCGTATCCATTTTGTTAGCCTGTGTCTTTTTATAGGCGAGTTAAGGCCATTAATGTTGAGGGAAAGTAAGGAGCATTGATTGTTAATTCTTGTTTATTTTAGATTTGTTGTTGGCGGTGGTATAGTGAGTATATTTGCCCTGCTTTTTCTTTTTGGTTTTGGTAAAGTGGGATTATCTATTGCCTATGTCTTTGTAAGTGTGGTTAACTTCCTTGGGTTGGAGTTTTCCTTCCTGAAGTTTCTATAAGACTGGATTTGTGAATATGTATTGTGAAAATTTGACTCTGTCATTGAATATCTATAGTGATTGAGAGTTTTACTGGGTATACTAGCCTGGGCTGGTATCCTAGTATTTGTAGAACATCTAATCCAGGACATTCTAGCCTTGAGAGTTTCCATGGAGAAGTGAGGTGTAATTTTGATAGGTCTGCCTTTATATGTTACCTGGCCTTTTTTTTTCACTGCCCTTAATATCCTTTCTTTACCCTGTATGTTAGGTATTTTAATTATTATGTGGTGAGGGTACTACTTTATTTTTTGTTTTCTTTTTTCTTTTTCTTTTTCTTTTTTTTTTTTTTTTTTGGTCCAGTCTATTTGGTGGTGTTCGGTATGCTTCTTATACTTTCTTAGGCATGTCCTTCTTCGGATTGGGAAAGTTTTCTTCAATGATTTTGTTGAATATGTTTTCTGCACCTTTGAGCTGGGCTTCTTTGCCTATTATTCCTAGGTTTGGCCTTTTCACGATGTCCCACATTTCCTGAATGTTTTGTGTTAAGGATTTGTTGGATGTAAGATTTTGTTTGGTCAATGAATCTATTTTCTCTAGTTTATCTTCAGCGCCTGAGATTCTGTTTTTGATTTCTTATATTCTGTTGGTTTTTCTTGTAGCTGTAGTTCCTGATAGTTTGTTTACCTAGTTTTCCTATTTCTAGCATTGTCTCAGTTTGTGTTTTCTTTATTGACTCTATGTCAGTTTTCAGGTCTTGAACTGTTTGAATTGTTTCCTTCATCTGTTTGATTGGTTTTTCTTGGCTTTCTTTACTTTCTTGAAGTTGTTCACTTCTTGTATTTTTTTGTTTGGTCTTTTCCTCTATTTCTTCCAAGTTTTTTTTGTTTTGTTTTGTTTTTTTGTTTGTTTGTTTGTTTTTGTTTTTCTTCCATTTCTTTAAGGAATTCTCTCTTATCATCTTTGAGGGCTTCTGTTATTTTCATGAAGTTATTTTTTAAGTTATTGTCTTCTACTTCATCTGCTTTGATGTGTTCTGATCTAGTTGGTGTAGAGTTCCTAGATTCTGCTGGTGTCATATTGTTGGGTGTTTTCTTATATTACCATCTTCCCATCACTTCTTCCAGTAGGTGAAGGTGGAGTCTCTTTCTACCCTGCTCTCCCGGTGGGTGTAGGTGGGTCAGGAGTTCAATGTCTGTAGCTCTGGATGATCCAAGCTCTCGTGGAGGTCTCTCCTCCAGCAGAGAGTAGGCGATCGCTTGCAAAGATCAGGGGAATCCATCCTCAAGGTGGTCCCTCATGGACAGGCAGGTCCAGTGTGCTCAGAGCAGACCCAGGAAGTTCCATGGAGGTGGAGGGGTTGTTGGACCCGCACTCTGGCCCAATGCTTACCTGGAGCAATGGGCCCAGCAGAACAAAGCAAGAGCATATCTTTTCATGTTTTTTTTTTTATACCTTTGTCAAATATTAGTCAGTGTGAGGGTTTATTTCCAAGTTTTCTGCTGTATCTCAATAGTCTATGTGTCTCTTTTTGTGTCCATATCATATGTTTTTGTTTGTATGGCTTGGAGTCTATAATAGTTTATGGTCAGGTATCATGTTGTCTCCAGCTAAGAAATGCTTTTGAATATACAGTACTTTTTTGTTTCCATATAAATTTTAGGATTATTTTATCTGGTTTTATGAAAAATGAAATTTGAATTTTGATGAGAATTCCATTGAATGTGTAGTCTCATTTACTAACATAGTTATTTTTACATCATTCTACTAATCCAGGATAATGACAGGTTTTTCTCTTTTCAGGATGTTTAAGAGTTAGTTATGGGGCCTGGAGAGATGGCTCAGAGGTTAAGGTCACTGGTCTTTCAAGGTCTTGAGTTCAATTCCTAGCACCCACATAGTGGCTCACAACTCCAGTTCATGGAAACCTGATACCCTCACACAGACATACATGCAGGCAAAACACCAATGTACATAAACAATAAAAAACAAAAAATTGTGGATGAGGTTTGTTTCCGGCTTTCTTTGTCTTCAAGTTTGTTACTGGAATAAAGAAATGCTGCTGAATTTTTAGATGTTGATTTTGTATCTTGCAACTTGCTTAATGTGTTTCTCAGACCTAAGAATTTTATCCCAGAGTCTTAGGGGTTTTTATCTAGAATATATAAGGAACTTCAAAAATTAAATAAACTAAAAGTCAATAATGGTCTGATGAACTAAGTAGACATTTTTAGAAGAGGAAAAAAATTATCTGAAAGGATGTACAACAATCTTTGCCATCAGGACAAGGCAAATTAAAATGCTTTGCAATTCTATCTCAAGCCAGAAGAATTCCTGCTATCAAGAAAGAAAACATGTTGGTGGGGATGAGGGTGAGTTGGAATAGCATACAAAATCTTTTGCTCTATTCGTGGAAGTGTGGTGGTTCCTTAAATTTAAAATACATCTGCCATATGACCCAAGTTCTGCATATATACCTAAAAGAGTCTTCAATCAGCCAAGCACAGTATTTGCATATCCATGTTCACTGCTGCTCTGTTTACAATAGCTAAGACAGGAACCAGCCTAGAGAGCCATCAGTAGATGGATTAGAAAAAAAATGGGATTTGTTCACAATGGGATTTATTATATTCTAAAGAGTATAAGACATTTGCTGGGAAATGGATGGAACTGGAGGTCATTATGGTACTGAAATAAGCCAGACTTAGCAAAAATACCACTTTCCTCTCAACCTCCATATTTAGTTTTGTTGCTTTTGGAGTAAGGACTATAACAGGGACATAGGAAGGGGACCACAGAGGGAAGAAAGGCGCCTCGAAGTGTGTGACTTAGTCCAGGAACTGATGAAATGTGTGGATTTGAGGTCAGTGCTGAAGCAACCCTTTTTAAGTTGAAGGGGTACCTGGAAGTTTACAGTCTTTTGTTAAGTTTATGAGGTGATTTATCAGCTCAAGTTTTCATTCTGTTGAGGGAATTAAAACAATGTGATCATGAAATATTTTAATTTGGACTTTATCCAAACAGCAAAAATAACTTTTTTGTTTCATGGATTATTTTTTAAACAAAATTGAAATGAAAGAATGTACTTACAAATCATTGTCATTACCATTTCTGGGTACAAGTTTCCAGTGAGAAATACTGTGATAGAAAAACATAGACACAGTATTGGCAGGACTGACCAAAGTTGCCTCCCAACTAGACTGTTCATGATACTGTCTGGCACTAGGTTAGGTCAGAACCATTTTCTCTAACAAAAGGCTTAGTTATAGGCAAGAAAAGACTGTGCAGCTTTAACATAGCATGTATGGTTGGTGTCAGCTATTTTCTGAGGGCACAGGCCATATGGATATTGCTGCAGTGTTGGTAATGGCCATGCGTGTGCACAATCATCCTTCCCACCATATTCACAGTGAACAAGGTAAAAGGAACCTCTCTTTATCTTATTTTACAATGTGACAAACATCAAGAAGAAGATAATATATTGAACACCTACCTGTCTGTCCAGCTATTGTATGTAACACCTTCCTGAGATTGTTTACAGGAGCTAGGCTGTTATCAAGCCCCATAGAAGTCCAGGCCTTATCTAAAAATAATGGTTGTGTATAGTGGGTATTTTTGTGTGCCATGCACTAATGCCTGACAAATGTAAGTGCTATAGAAATTGTTAATACTGCATCTAAGGAATAACAAGTAAAAATCTATATGAGTTTGGTACAGACATTTTTTTTTAAATATTGTCTTCCTGGAATCGACTGGATCTTGATGTAGAAAGTTACAGGTAGGACAAGTGTATTGTCTGAGAAGACATGCTGCCTTGGGGCCAATACTGAACTAACTTTTAACTCCATAGAACATTTTAAGGTTAGAGCTGTATTATACCCATATTGCAGCTACATAGTATGTCAGGAATGTAAATGAGGCAGAATTCTCTTGAATCAGACAATGTGTGGAAATAGTTCGTTTAGATACAGCTTTGGGGCAGGGACATTAAATGCGAAAGGAATCTCTCAATGAAATGTCCTTTTTTTTTTTTTTTTTTCTATTCTGAGGTAGTCAGAAATTAAGGAGGAAGACTGTAATCTACTGAACAGGCTGCTGTCATCTGCACACTAAGTCGTGAGCTCTTTGCGATCCTGTTACCACAGTAAATTGGATGGCAGGAGACCTGTGAAGACTCTTTCTGTCCCATTCATACGCCCTACCTATTAGGTTCAGTGTAGGCACCAATAGAGTTCCTTTACTTTATCGGTAACTACAAATTCTCACTCCAAGGTAAGGCCAAAATCTAGCTTGTAACCTTTCCATTAAATGTGATAAGTCTGCACAATAGCACTAATAAATCTCTTGTGGCATTAATCAAAAATATTTGATCCAGCTGCTTTATCCTTAAAATAGTAAACATTAGGTCAAGTTTACATGAAGTTCTCTCACGGCAAACCGTAATTCTAGGACCACAGCCACTTTGTGCAATCCCGAGTAGACAGGGTCTGTGAAATTGCTGATGAGTATCCTATGTCAGGGTCAGGCTTACTGTGTTAGGGAGAGCCTGGAGCAAATAACAAGGTCAGCATGTGCCATTTCTAAGGAAGCCTTCAGGGCAAATGCCAAGTTGTATAGCTCTGGTCTTTAGTTTGTCAACCTGTAATGATCTTTTATAAATTAGTGCTGCAGATAGTAGGTGCTCCTGGAGTCAAGGCCCAGGGCACATAGTGTTGGCATGGTACCCAGCCACATCCCCAAAAGTGCTTGTAGTGTATGAACTGGGTTGGTAGTAGTTAATCTTACTGTTCACCTTGACCTAAAAATATCGTTGAGGTCAGGCTGCTATTCTCACTCAGAGCAAGTGGTGGGAATGTCCCCGGAACTGCCATTTGCATTTTATACTCTGAACAGTGCACTGGCATGGGTGGATTTGTGGCAAGACTGTCCTTGTCTCCACACATATGTGAAGCCAGCTGAGACACATAAATCAAGCTAGTTTCTTCAGTTGGGCTTTCCGCCAGGGACTTCATGTAATCTTTTTCTAGAACATTTAGTAACTTGTCAGGTGGGGTCAATAGTCCAAGTTGACATGGAGTGTCTTTTAGGGGTCCTGGAACGAGGCCATGGGAACCAGAATCAAAAGCTGACTGATCATAAGTAAAATTCTCGAAGAAGATGAAGGGCACAGGGCCAGAGAGGCCGTCTTCTGTTGGCACTGAGGAGGGAGGCTTAATGGATACATCTTCAGCGTGTGGTTTCCCAGAGACTATGCACTGTGTCTTGGGGCCTTCTACCTTGTTTATAACTTCAAGGACATCTGGAATGCAGTCTTTGACATTCATTATTAAGTGGGGGTTCTTCTGCAAAGGAATCAAACATCTAACATAAATGTACTGTGGGAGTATCCAAGTGTATCATGTATGTAGTGTTCCTTCTTGGCCACATGTTAACTTGAAGGTTGTGACAAAAGCCAGAAGAGTCACCAGAACAGAACCAATCTGTGGCTGACTCCTGGTTGGATAAATGCTTTTTCACCACTGACTTTTCTGGTAGCCCACAATGAGCAAGACACAGTCATATTCATTTGGTCTATGTTAGGATCAAAACCGGGGCCTTACTCATGCTAGGCAAACAAACAAAGAAGCACTCTGCTGCTGAGCTAGTTCATCCAATTGCCTGTCTGATAGCTGTGTTTGTGCCTCTTAAGTATCTTTTCCTGAGGAGGTGTAAGAAACTTTGATCAATGAAGCCCCAAACCAAAATCAGCCCTTCTCTCTCTCTCTCTCTCTCTCTCTCTCTCTCTCTCTCTCTCTCTCTCTCTCTCTCTCTTCTCTCTTCCTCTCTCTCTCTCTCTCTCTCTCTCTCTCTCTCTCTTTCTCTCTCTCTCTCTCTGGGTTTTTGAGAGAGTGTAGCATGGAAGGCTTAGAACTAACTGTATAGCTCAGACTGGCTTCAAAACTCAGGAAGATCCCTTACGCTTTACCTCTCAAAGGTAGGGATTGCAGGCATGTGCCACCATGCACGGCTGGATTAGTCCTTCACATGTTACACATTTACCTTGGATTTTATCAGTGACAGGATGCTGCTCTTATATGGATTTGGAATATCAGGATAACACTTCTCCTTCACCCTAGAGGAACAGAGGAGTGGAATTCAGAGGGATGGTTAGGAGTGAGAGCTCTGAATAATTCTCTGTGAAGCAAAAGACATAACACTTCCTCATTTTAATTTCCATATCTGTAGAATACATGACAATAACTATAGTACTTACAGTGTTATTGCAGGCTCTCCATGGCTCTTTCTATATAAATCATGCAGATTGCTGCCAAGCATAAGGTGGCATAAATAGTAGGTAGGGCCATGGGGCAACATTTGAAATGGTTCTTTTCCCAGTGTACTGATCCAGAAGGCAAAATTGTCAACTACATTACAGATGTTTGCCTACATTTTTTAACCTTTTCTTTTATTGTTCTTTCCTGCATATTATTCCATAGCATTTCTGTCTAATGGCGTGTCTCGGAAAGCTCCCTCTGCACTTACCACTGGCTTTTCCAGTAGCACACAATGATGATGAGCAAGATGAAGAGAGTCATGGGTAATATGATCTTCAGCAGCATGTGGGCTAAAGAAAAACAAGGAAAGTGATCATTTTCACATATGCACTGGCCTCCAAGAGAATAAAAGACTATGAGCTTACTGCTCCTCAAATGTATGTATTTATGCAAGACTCAATATGAGGTTTTTTAAAATGAGTTTAATTCTAAAACAAATCACTTCTCACATATAGGTTGTATTTATTACATTCATAGAAATTCAACTGGGTGAAATTTACAAGGAAAATTCATTCTGACTTCTCCCTGACTCAGAAGAGAAAAAACCAACTAAGTGGGGTATGGTGGTGCATACATTTAACACTCCTAACACCCAGGAGATAGAGCAGAAACTAGGAGTTCAAGGTCATCTTCAACTACATAGTAAGTGGGCTCTATGAGACACTAACCGATTCAGGGGTCCTTTTGCTGTGAGCCAACACTCGGTAGGTCAAACACATTAAGTCTGACAGAATAGAGCATAACTGCCCAGTTCCTCACTCCCTATCCTAGCTCTGTGGTAGTTGAGAGTACTTTCCTGCCTCTCATCTGAGGACTGGCCCCATGCCTTAGTTTGGCCAGTATGATGACTGATGGATGATAGCTCTGGTTAGGTAGGAGCTTCATTGTATTTGTGCAGGGGTTCTCTTCTTTTATCCACCGTGAAAAGAAAATGCCCAGTATACTTACTGTTGCCCTTTACCAGAGAGCACATGACTTTAAATGAACCATACCTGCATCAGACCCAAGCCTGGAGGTCAGGGTGGCCCAGTCAGCCAAGTCATGCTGATGTGGGAACCCTGGTCAGAAGACAAATACTTGTCTGCCACAGAGGCTCTAAGGTTGCTTATCATACATTAAAAACTGGCTGGGTTCAGGAGTTCCTACCTTTTGATATTGTGACAGCATTGTCACCTACAAAGGTCACACTCAGGAGCTATGCAATGGAGTTACAAAAGAAGAAAGGAAGGAAGGAAGGAAGGAAGAAGCAAACAACAACAAAAAACATTAAAAAGTCACAGTATTTTAAGTAAATAGGGCCACATTCAGAACTGTCCTGGGGTACATGTGAGTCGTGAAATACTTAAGATGTGTTACATTCTTTTATGCTGTGAAATATTAGTTTAATGATGCAAAGATGTGGGGTTTTTTTGTTTGTTTGTTTGTTTTTGGTTTTTTTTTTTTTTTGTATGTTGCATTTGTTTAACTCTTTGAAGCTGTGTTACTTTTCCTGTCTAAAAATACTGGCTGGTTGGATAAAGAGTTGAATAGCCAATAGTAAGGCAGGAGAGGGATAGGTGGGTCTGGCAGCAGAGTGAATAAATAGGAGGAGAACTCTAGACTCAAAAGAGAAGGGGAGAAATGAGAAAAGGAGGAGAGGAGGATGCCAGGGGCCAGCCACTCAGCCACACAGCCAGCCACAGGATAAGAAGGAAAGGAAAGACACAGAAATAGAGATAGGTAAAGACCCAAGGCAAAAGGTAGACAGGATCATTTAATTTAGCAAAGCTGGCTAGGAACAAGGCAAGCTAAGGCTGGGCATTCTTAAGTAAGAGTAAGTCTCAGTGTATTTATTTGGGTGCTGGGTGGTGTGCCCCCAAAGAGTCAAAAAACAACCAAATACGCATGAAACTTGTAGGCTGCAGACTGGAAATGGAGACAAGACTTATAGTTAGTCTTACACTAAATTTCCTGTGTCCATCTTAATCTCCTTCAATAATTCTGCTTTATTTCTCAGGTACATCAAACATTCCCGTTTTTTTTTTTTTTAATGGTCTCCTTGTTTCAGTTGCTTGCAGTTCAACTAATCAGTCACTCAGCTTCATGTAATCAACCTAAGCAAATGACTTGGAAGGTTCTGAGGACACTGTGTATGGACACATGGTCCATTCCATGTGTGCTTCCCCTACCTGCCCTCCTCACTCCTTATCCAGATCTTCCTGGACTGGAAAAAATAGCTTGGTTTTAGGACACTGGGTGTTGGTTTGGGGACACTGGGTGTTGGGCAGTGCTGCAGTTTCAGAAGGGAGGCTGCCCTGGGTAGAGCCCCACACTAGTTCTCAAGTGTTCTCAAGACCTGCCCTTTGAGTGTTACAATCATTTTTAAAATTTGATAAAAGCATGAATTTGCATATATTTTATTGAAGAATAAATAGAGGACAAGTATCCATTATCGGAAATGCTTGGAGACAAGTTTTTTAGCATTTCATATTGCTTTTAATGGGGGGAATATTTGTATATTCATAGTGAAATGTATGAAGAGAGTTTAATTACAAAATTTATACATGATTCATCTGCATTGTATATCCTGAAGGTAATTTTATGCAGTACATTCAGTGTGTCCCATTACATGAGGTCAGAAATTGAATTTTTTTCTCTTGTGGCATGGTAACCCTCAAAATGTTTTGATTTGGAATTTGGAATTTCAAACTTAGCATATTCAACCTCTGTGGGGGGGCATGAAGGGAGAGACAGTGATGCACATACAGCCCACTGAATTTTCACTCCTAGACACACCCATCTAACCTGTATACAGAGCAAGAGAAACATCACCCTGGAACCCAACCACTCTTTATCTCCAAGCAACCTAGAGGCTAGTCTTTTAAGCGTGTGATGGCATTCTCTCTCTGCACTCTAATAGAGCCTCACAGCAGAACTCACACCTGTTGTTATTCACTTGCAGGTTTATAACTGTAGAGATTTTGTTTCTATTACTTTATGATACTCCATTGTGTGACTATAGCAGAGTTATAGAGAGTTATAGAGAGTGGATACTTCCAGTTTGTGAACTTCATGAATGTGGGATTTCTAACATTTGTCTGTAGGTGGTTTTGGGTGGTTGGGGATGTATGCAGATGTTTCTTTGTGAAAAATGAGGGTCCAAGCTCCACACTGAGCACATGCTTTCTTTAGAATACACAAATGCTACCAGTTTTCTTAAGTTGCTTATGCCAGCCTTTTTTCTACCTATGGGCAGCCAGGGCTACACAGAGAAATCCTGTCTTGAAAAATGAGAAGGGGGAAGAAGGGAGGGAGAGAGAGAGATAAAAAGAGAAAGACAGAGAGAGAGAGAGAGAGAGAGAGAGAGAGAGAGAGAATGAATTTGATTTTTTCATTTGTTTGAGTTCAACTACTTTGAAAACAAACCTTCAGAACATAGCCTAGTTCTGTACTGAGGGCTGAAGAGTTACTCCCAGTTCTACATCCTGACAATAGACCATAGGTTCTAAGTACTGCAAAAGATGCATCCCACACACTCAGTCTACTGATAGTCTGGCTTCACAGCAGCTACCTACCGCAGAGTGCCGCTGGGCATCCTCTGGATAGGCCTGGCTGTTGGAGCTGTGGCTTGTGCCACTGTCCAGCATTTCACCAGCCTGGAAAGAGATCAAATGGAAGGAACATCTCCTTCTGAGCTTTTATACCTGCTTTTATACCTCATAAATTCAAAAGTATCTTAAGTTGAACATCATATGTTGAGGAAACACCTGGAGCCAGTGTGCTTGCTAAATCCAGTGGAAACAGTTCCAAATGTCCAGAAGCAGAGGCAGAAATAGTGGAGATGGGCACCAGGGAGGTCTCTAAATAGACTTTCCATTCTCTGTGCCTCATTATCTTTATTTAGTAAGCTAGTCATCATTCAAAGAAAAAGTACCAGCTCACAAAGAAAGGGACCTGTTGTTAAATGTTACTACAAAATGAGCAAAAAATTCTACACAACTTGAAATTTCAGCATTACATTATGTAATTTTGTTTCCCATTCCAAAGTAACGAGGGCTGAGGTGTAGTTAGCAGAGTCACCTAACATTCTATTTTAATATGTACAAAGTATCAGGGGAGTTGTGAACAATTGAAATTCCTTCAATCAATATAATTAATAAAGCTAAGGTCATAAGATTTACCACAAAGATTAATGAAATCTTAAAAATATAAAGTTACCATTTTTGTGTGCACAAACCAAATAAATTCAGAAGGTGGAGGAAAATAATACAGAAATAAATTTAAAACTCATTCTAAGACTTGGTCATGGCAATGCATGCCCACAATTCCAGAATTAGTTAGGTGGAGGCAGGATGACCATGAGTTCAAGTTCATTCTTAGCTGTGTAGCCTGGGCTACATGATACCCCAATCTCAAAAAATTCACCCTCCCATCCAACGAAATTACTTCAAAGTGGCAACAGTGCTTAAATCCTGTAAATCGCTGACTCAAATCTTAATCTGATTTGAATTCTGACATAGGGCTTGGAGACATCAGATCATGATTTAGTTTCCCAGACAGTTACAGTAGCACCTGCAGCTGCAGCTGTATGTGTCTGTGACACCAAGTAGGACACTGAAGGACTACCATCCTAGCTAGTGTGATTGCCCCATACTAGCAGCTCAGATATCAGTGAATGGATTCTGCGCAGAGGAAGCTGGGAACTTCCAGCTTGAGCCTATTTCTTTCTCAAAGACAAGTGTCTTCAAGGTCTCTTCAGCCTGGCCCTTCTGTGAATTCTTTAATTGCCCCCACCCCTACCCACCAGTGCACACACTCTTACAATGCTCCAAATCCTAGTGCAGCAAGAGACTGGCTAGAAGTGCCAACAGCAAGACTTCCCTTCCTTTTTTAGGAGTGCTCAAGACTGGATCTTGATTTCATACCAGAAAAGAATCTCTGGATGAACCAGTTGAAGCAGAATTGAAGCTTTTCGGGTAAATTTATTACAGACTTTTGGCATCGGGATTAAAAGAAGGAAAGGCATTCGGGAAGAAAGTAAGAGGCAAGAGCATGTGTGAACTTAGTGAGAAGAGCCATCCCAAGACATTGTCCCCGGCAACCTCACTGCATTCTCTCCTCATCTTCCTGTCAGTGGCCGCCAGCATTTGTGATGGAAATATAGTTCCTCCTATGACTTTCCTTCCTCTATCTCAAGCCAAATGCATCTTAGAAAGGCATATCTCTTAATTTGACCCCTTCCCAACAGGATCCACAATCACAGAGTTGGTGACCTATCTGCCCAATTTACCACACATTGCCAGGCTCTGACTATCTCCCCCCCACCCCCCAGGCATTAGCAGAGCAGAAAGCCCAGAAAAACAGCTTTGAGAAGAAAGTTCTAGATCATGATTAGTTAGGTTTTTACCTAACTGCTTTTACCTGGGGCTTGGAATAGGATTCTGGATAACACTTACATGTGGAGGAGATAGGAAGGGATGGAGAGAAGAAATTATTGAAACTTGCTGATCTAGATAAAATGAAAGAACTTGATCTTAAGGGCAACATTTGATTTAGAGAAACTCACAATTCTCATCCGGAGTCGTGACCTTTGTGAATGTTTCATTGGGGCCTTGGCCAGCACTGGTATACGGAGTGACGAGAAACTCATAAAGGGATTCTGGCAGAAGGTTTTCCACAGTGAATGCCTTTTCATCAGGGTCTCTGATTTCATATTCACAGAGCACTGAATTATCTAAGATTGAAAAGTAATGTTATCAGGAAAATCATATTAAGAGTGTGGGGAGTGCTGGCCTAGCATGCACGGGCCCTGGGTTTAGTTCCCACCACCACACACACTGGACATGATGGCACATGCCTTTGATCCCAATGGGAAGAACAGAAAAGTTCAAGGCCATCTTCAGTTACATAGTGAGTTCAAGCCAACCTGGGGTACATGGAACTCTGACTGATTAAGAAAAATAGATGAGTGGCAGAGCCTGGCATGGATACCCCAGCTATCTCTGGACCATCAGCATTTTTGAACCAACCTCAAACCAAATTATAATTTCACTGATTTTGAAGATGTGCCACAATAAACAAAATATCCACTAAACAGGGAATGGTAATCTTACAGGTCCACAACTCTGTCAGATACAATAAGCACACACAAGGGAAGAAAATAACCAATGTCAGAGATGTGACTTACAGACAGACTTCCTACTCATAATACATGGAAGGCCCTGGCTGTGGTCCTTAGCACCACAAACAAATAAGGAAATAAAAATATTGACATTTGGCAAACTTTTCTTGTTTGTTTTGATTTTCAAGGCGGTGACTGGGAAAAGCAGGAAAGTTTTGTAAGTGGAAGGATTTCTTAAGGTACTGATGGCCAGGCCTGCATTAGTTTTAAAGTGAATTAAAGTACCACTCCCTATACTCACACATGTTTGCTTATTGATTCTAAAATGACATGGGGAGAGCATCAGCCTGGTCCCCAGACTGGCCTGATCACCTAAGGGGCCTTTCTGTGCTTTTTCGTAGCTCTGAGGCCAGACTCAGCATTGATTTCATTACTTTTGGAATGGTGCAATGAGTCTAGGTGAACAAGAGCAAGCATCACCTGGGAGAATCGTCCTCTTCCCTTTTGGGTGGCACTGCATCTCCTTCGATTTCAGGTACACACGGTACCCTTCTATAAAAGCAGACTGGAAGTTGCTGTCATAAGTTGGCCAGCTCAAGATGAAGGAGTTGGAGGTAAAGTTACTAATGGTCACTTTCGGGTTCTCCAGAGGAGCTAGGAAAGGAAGATGGGATAAGAACCATTATGATTTGGGAATGGTCTCAGAGCATGCATGCAAACTAATCAGACCACAGGCAGCTCTGAACACTAAGAGCTTGTGTCAAGTTAAGGAGCCTTGTCTTTTCCCCTGATAATGTATACCCAGATACAGGAGACCTGGGAAGGGATATGCAGTTGCCTCCTTCAAAGCTACTGTAGATGAAGACCTAAACACTCAGAGAGATGAAATGACTTAAGTCTGTCTTAGTCTTGTTTGTGGCCTTGAAGTCTCAACAGTATTTGCTGAGCCTGAGAATGTACAGACATGATGAGGAAGGGACAGGAGAGACAAGATGTGTTCAAAGATGTGAGAGGGAATTTGAAGAATCCAGAGCCTGGGATAAGGCAATACATGTTACCAGACATTGGAAATGTACAGGGTAAATCCTGGCACTGTTACATATGCATGCGTGCACACACACACACACACACACACACACACACACACACACACTTAAGGATAAAGACAAATACTTAGCTAAAATGAAAGTAATTCAGACTGGCTGAAGAGTGTGGACACAAAAAGGGAGGTTTACAACTTGAAGCTACAAGATGCTTGGAGGTAGAATTTATAGTTTCTCAGTGAAAGTCACTGAAATCATTCTAAATCATCCCATGATAGGGGGAGGTACTTTCCAATCACAGAAGTAGTACTGTAGTATTTTGTGGCATTAATCAAGAAAGCAGTTAATAAACTTTGTAGAGTGAGATCCTATTTTTATTTAAAAATGTGCATCCATATATATAGAAATGGGTATCAATGTATAATAAAACAGTAACTGGTTATTGTCCTTTGGGGTGTTAAAATTAGCAATGATTACATCGTCTTTCATGTATATGTTATGAATTACCTTTAATGAAGATGTTTCATTTATATTGTTTAAAAAATGTAATTTCTAAAATAAATGGGACCATAAAACTAAGCTTGGGAAGGGAATCTTCCTAAACACAAGGATATGGATGGGTCAGAACAAGTCTCCTTGAGGCAAGCCAAGGGTGTGTCTACTTACCAAGTTCCTGAGTATATCCTGTTTGTTTCTCTAGTAACTGAGCATTCTGTTGCGTAGATTTTTCAAAAATTCTGAAGGTGTACCGGACCCCTGGTTTAAAAGCATCTGGAGAAGAGACGTCAAGGATTTTTAACAAGACAGACTGACATCATCTGAGTTGAAAAGAAAGGATGACCAATGAGTAAGCACTCCTCTAGTAATTTCTTTCTCAAGGTCTTTCCTTTTTTCCTCCACTACTATTTCCCTCCTCCTGCTAGACCTCAGAATCTTCTATGTTGTGACCACAGTGCTATCTGGAAAGTTCTATAGAGACTGCCATCTATTCTGGAGCCAGGATCCTCAGCTTGCCCTTGTCTACATTCATAGAACTGGTGCAAAACTGAGCCAAACTCACCAACTACTCCAACACTGCTTTTGACATTGAATAGCCTTACAGTATTTGCCTTGTCCTCCCTTTAACACTCAGAATCTTGAAATCCTGGTTTCCCCTTCCTTTCTTCCTCTTTCACCTGCAGCCCTATAGTTAGCCTGCAAAGCTCTTGGGCCCTGAATCTTGCAGAGGCCTCCATCACTTTCTGGATCTAGACGATTCCTACATCAGTCTTTCAGCCTGGTAGATGGTACACCTGTGCCTCCTGCTTAAGCCACTCACTGGAACCTCTTTGACTTCCCTAAAAGAGCTGGAATCTTCAAGTTGTAGATTTAGTAAAAGAGGTCAGAGTTCATGCCTACAAATTTATTGAAACTAAAAGCAAAATTCTTTTGTTTCCATCAACTCTATGCCCTAAACATGTCCCAAGTATGTGCTATTCTCTGTATCTGTAAAAGCTTTCTGTACATAATTCCAATGTCCCTCTAGTTTAGAGGGAAAATTATTAAATTTATTTATTAAAATTATTAAAATCTCTACTATGGGTCTACATTTACATATTCTGCTCTAGTAGATTTTAAGCCCAGAGGTCAGGATCTATTCTCATGAATTCTGATCTCCAAGCAACCATGCTGGATTTGTCATTTCAGCATTGTTAGCCTAGCACAGAGTATCTGTGCATTAGAATAGAAGTCTAAGTTGAACTTGCTGCAAGGGAGCCAGGCAAGGAGGAGGGTGAGAGTTCTCACCTGAGCTGATGTTGGTGCTTGTGATATTGGGACCTAGGTTCTTCCATTGCAAATCACAGTGTTGGTCCCGGGAATGTGCACACCAATCCACAACATAGCCTAAAGCATCTTCAGAGAAGGGCTCCCAAGAAATATGGAATCCATCCTTTGTACCTTTAATTCTTTTTTCATGGACCTCTTCTGTACAGAAACAAATAGAATAATACTCCAGATTCAGTTCATTGTATTTCTTTTACAATTTCCAAGGATGAACATAAATAAACACATGTAATGTTTGTTTATAGTTTTGGCTTAAAATGTCTCTTAAAGGCTTCCATACCTAAAACTTTGGTCCCCAGATTATGACACTCTCTGAAAGCAGAGAGACCTTTCAGATGTTGACACTGGAAGATGTAAGTTAGAATAAAAGAAGATATTGGGACTCTGGTTCTGTCTGAGTGCAGGTGTTCCCCACTATCAACTCGCTAAGCATTGGGACCCTAAGTTCAAAACGTCTACCATAAAGGGTTCATTTGTAAAATGTTTGTATGATTCATTTTCAGAAGTGCCTCCAGCAAGCATAGGTGCATCTTCCATGCTCAGGAAACAACCGGGTCTTGATGACAGCTTGCTAATTCACTCTGCTGTGAGCAGCCATATGGCTGTTCCATAAAGTCTTTATAGGTGACAACAGTGGGCAAATAGTGGTTACAGCACAGTAAATATGGTTCATATCCCACAAGTCACAAATCTCTAGGGCACTGTCTTGACTCTCAGAGAGGATTTGCTGTGGGATTGCATGGACTCAAATAAATTTTAAATCATCTCTTAAATGTGCTGAAACATCCAGGGACAGAGTGTGCGGGGTCATTGTGAAGTCACTGATGGCTGCCTCAAGTTATGGTTTTATTTGTCTATCACTACTTGGAAACATCACCGATATTTTGCTCAAGAATGGAAGCCAACTGACCCATGCTGACGACTCACCATGTCCGGAATCATTAGAAAGGGCCATCACTGACTCAGGCGACATACCCACGCTGTTGTTAGCTGTGATGTGAATCTTGTAAGAACTCTGGTCAAGGATCAGTTGTGTGCCAAGGGTTGGTGCCCGGACAGAGTAGTGTTCTGACTCAGATGGTTGGTCTTGGTTTTCTACAACTATATTATAGGATATGATTTTGCCATTGGCCTGTGATTTTAATAGTGGCTGGAAAAAAAAAAAAAAAAAGACGATCCTTTCAAAATGAGCTTTACTGTAAAACTAGTCTCTAATTACCTTTTCATTTTTCCATCCCTCAGCTGCCCAGTTCACATACACCCTCAGCTTTCCCTAGACAGACTGTATGCTGTTCTGTGTACCCCTAGATCTCAGATTAAGCAGCAGCTGTCCCCTCAGGATGTGGACAGAACTCAGACATAGTCTTAGCAGAGCAACACACATATATGCAGAGGCCCGGAACACTGCCAAACTTAAGGGGAAAAGAAAAGCTGGAGGGACTGTGGTGAGGTGCCAGCCGCCTCCTATCACCATGTTCTGGAATGATACATTAAATCTGGCCTCCAGGTTGTCATGCAGTGTATTTGGCCAAGCAGAAGGATAATGTTGATCTTCCATTATAATTTAATAGCTTGATTTGAAACTTTTGTATTTACATATAATTAGGAGTAGGGTATGTGACTCTAGACATAGTTCCTGATCTTAAACCTTGCAAAAGTTATGGTGGGCCTGAGTTGAATGAACAGAAAAGGATCTAGCCATCAGAATCAGCCATCAGATGGGCTCAGGGAAATTGTAGCCTAAGCAATAGGACATGGGCTTGGAGTGGGTCCTTCTACCTGATGACCAGCCCTATGAGACTGACACCATGGTTTCTCCTGGCTGGGGAGTACACTGATATATAGAAGCAGCAAGTCAGACCTGGAGCTTCATGCCTTACCTTCCAGAATAAGGTCACAACATGACTTCCATTCTCTGACCGCACTTGTCTCCATACATCAAGAGCCTGTGATGGAGCTGAAATTAACCAAAGAAAAGTTCTGGGGTCATATTTATACCATATTTCCTATGTTCTAAGCCAGTGATTCTCAACCTTCCTAGTGCTACATGACCCCCTGTGGGGGTTGCAACCCACGTGTTGAAAAGCACTATTCTAAGTCTTGCCAATTACTTGTCCTCCCTGGGGCTTGGTGGTCAACCCTCTCGTTTCTGTGACTTCTGTCCATGGATACACAGCTACACACACTGCTCACTAAGTACTCATAGTGTGGTCTTTAAATGTTTTCCCTGAAGGTGAGGTGTTATGAGTTCACAGATAAAAGATGAATGATAATGAGGTGTTTATTGGGAAAGAACTTACACAGACAGTAAACAAGTAACTGTAGGTATTTCTGCGCAAAGGATGCAATCTTCCCTGATGCTCCCCACAACCCAAGGGGTCTCCAACCCCAGGTCCTCTACCTTAAAATGGGTCATGTATGTCCAAAGGGTGTGGCTACTGTTACAGGTTCAGAGGCAAGTTGTAACTACAATTACCCTTTTAGTCTAAAGAAGATGGTCTGGGCTTATACAAAAATTATATACAATGATAGCAAATATCAAGTATACTCTAGGAGAAGGAAAGGTAAAAACATACACAAATTAAGACCTATAATCAGTAAAGCAACATATAGCAATTGACATATGCTACATGACTAGTCCCAGGGTAAAGGCATAACAGAGATTACTGTGAAGCTGTCCTAAACTAGAAAGTCTAAGTCTTGTACCTAATATTTCTATCTAAGAAGACAGGACAATAGCTATGACAGTCTAATCTTCAACCTCATCAAAGACCTGAGAAGGAAGATAACAATGATAGGTAGGCAAGAAGTGCAAGTGAGTGACTTCCAAAACATGCAAGCAAAGACAGAGACAGCAGGCTACCTGGACTGTCACCCAACCTCTCACATCAGTGTTGGAGCAATCAACTTTGGATAAGGCCTAGAGTATCTGACAGACCAACACAAGAACAGGGAAGTTAAAAGACTGTCTTACCCTGACTTCATAGGGTTCAGCAGTCTCTTTAAGTTTATTTCCTGCTATCCCAGTAGGACAGCATGTCCAAAGTCAGTGGTCGAGGTGGGGGCATTTCTTTGCCCAAGAGGCCAGTAGCCAGGGAGAGAATGAACTCCAGAAGGAGTATCATCAATGCCCATAATACTCTTGGGAATAGCTCAGTGTTGTCAGGAGCAATTGTGTCTCATGTCAACAGAGCACTAAATTATTAAAACATTTAAATGCCATATTTTGTAGGACTTTGAAGTGTTTGAAGATCAAATACTTATGTCTGACTAACCCCATAGGTATAAGAAGCATGGGTAACTATAATCTGTAATTCATAGAAACATAATTTCTCAATGCTGAAGCACCCCAAAATAATTTATCAAGGGCAATAACATCAAAATGTGTGTGTGTGTGTGTGTGTGTGTGTGTGTGTGTGTGTGTGTGTGTGTGTGTAACAACAAAGTTAGAACCATGTAGATAAGAGGTAGAGGTAGAACTGTATAATGCAACATGATAAAATATCCTAAATTGTATCAGTATACTGTGTGTGTGTGTGTGTGTGTGTGTGTGCAAAACATCATAAATAGAAAGAGGACCCTACACAATCAACAGTCAACATACAGTGTAAGTTATCTATAGCTAATAGTTGCTAAAATTAGTTCACAAGATCTGTTAATCTACCTATATCTCATCCTAACCATACCCTTCCCAACCATGTTCTTAAAATTTTCTAAAAGAGATACCTGGGTCTGACTATCACCTTCCATACCCAACCCTATACAAATTAAAACCAAACCTAAGCAGGCGATAATTATTCTTTTTTCAGCAATGAGAAGAAAAAAATACCTTTAAAGCCAACAATTGGGAAAGGGGGCTTTGTTTTCCTAGAATTGCTTCCTGTTGTAATGGGGCAATGGTGACTCTATGGGATCCTTAGGAAAAATAATAAAGCAATGGTAAAGTCTCCAGAGGACTAGCTGTAATACTTGTAGCTAGTCTCTGAGTGGCAGGAGATGCTTGACTGAAGTTCTTATCTGAAGCTCTGGCTAGAGTGTTATAAGAAGGTGTATCATCTCAGCTAGATAATCTGGAATTGTCTAGAACAGTATTAGTTCCAATGGTCCTAGAGTGGTGTTTACTAGTTCAAAGACATCAAGTTGAATCGAGTGGGTCTAGATCTTCTTTCCGGAGACTTCAGTGATTGTTGTTAGGAAATTTTATTGTGCACTGTGGAAGACTTAAACATTAATAACAACACAGAAAGTTTAACTTTAATAGGTATGCATACCTGGAGACAAGGAGAATTCTGGGAAAGGTAACAATAAGGATGAATATAATAAGTATGAGGGAAATGAAGATTTTTGAGAGATAACAGAGTTTTGACAAATAATAGTCCCTAGATTTTGTTTTCTTCTGTCTTACACCAATTGGCTTTTTGATATGAGACAGAACTCTGAATTTTGTTTTAATCACATGCTTGAGTTTAGAGAAGGAAAGACAGATCCAACTCCAAAGCCAGCATTGATTTTCATGTGAATTGGTACTACAACTGTACTGGGAAAGAAGGCAACACAGATATTTAGCTAGAGAGATTTTACCATGAATAGATATTGATACCATAAGTCAGATTATTCTTTGTTTGATGATTCTTTCTGGTTAGCTATCCTTTCTTCTTTAGATATCTACACCTCCAGTGTCTTTTGGCTTCTTTTAGATGGGTGTTTTCTGTTTTAGTATAAAGACAAGAGCAGAACACTCCTCTGGCTTTTGCAAGGTCTCCCTAGAACTTGTGGAATTTGCCGTGGTAGATGACCTATCATTTCTCTTCATCAAGAGGTTTCTTCTGATCAAATCGGATCTTGATCAACTTTGATGGTATCCATAGCTTTTCTTCTCCTGTAGAAACAAATATGAAACCCCTTCCCCAGTGTAACACATATCCTGATCTCCATACTGAGGCCAACACATCCTTGAAGTACACTGACTGATTTACCTCAGAAGTTTTTTTTCTATTGTCCAATGTCTTTCTGTGGCTGTTTTTCCTTTCTCATTAGCATTAAGAAAGTTTAAGGTTAGTAAAGCATTATGTAATCTGTGTTTGGGTGTCTTGGTTCCCTCTGCCAGTATATAGAGCATTTCCTTTAAAGTGCGATTAGATTTCTCAACAACTGCTTGTCCTGTAGGATTGTGAGGTATACTGGTTATATGCTTTATGTTAAAAATTGTTTCAATTTACTGTAGACATATGCTGGAACATTGTCAGTTTTTATTTGTGCAGGTATACCCATAATAGCCATTACTTCTAATAGGTGTGTAATAACAGAATCAGACTTTTTAGAGCTCAGAGCAGTTGCCCATTGAAATCCTAAAAGCACATCTATTATACAGCACACATAATTTAATGTTTCAAATTACTCAAAGTAAAACACATTCATTTGCCAAATTTCATTTCTGTGTATACCTTTAGGGTTACTACCTGCTGGCAAAGGACTTTGGTTTAGAAGGAACAAGTAGGACTTTTTAAAAAACTATTTCCTTAGCTTGTTGCCAAGTGATGGAAAAAATCCTTTTTAAACCTTTGCTATTCACCTAGTGTTTTTTATGAAATTCCAAGGCTTCCAGCACACTTCCTATTAATAAATGATCAAATTAATCACTGCCTTGTGCTAGAGGTCCTGACAGACACGTATGAGATCTGATGTGATATATATCTATGTCTATATATCTATGAGTCCTATTCCTGATTATTTCTTATAGTTGTATAAATAATGAAGTTAATTCTGTATCATCAGGAAGGAATAAATTTAGCAGTTTCAATGTGGAAGACGACCCTCTCTGCATATTGAGAGTCAGTTAACTATATTGAGAGGTTCTGTAAAATTCATAAGTACAAGAGAATGGTGTACAATTCTGCCTTTTGTACAGAGTTATAAGGACTTTGAACCACTTTACTTATTTTTCCTGCTTTGTTTGCATCAGTGTACAATGTAGGAACTCCAGAGATTGGTGTTACCTTTACAATGCATGGTAGGATCCAAATGGTTTTCTTTAGAAATATTATTCTCTAATTTTTGGGGAAAAGTATTGCTAATCGTTCCCAAAAAGTTATTGCAAGTTCTTTGTCATTATTCATTATCTTTCCGTAAGGAGGAAATTTTCTCATTAGTTAAAGGTACTATAATTTCTGCTGGGTCCATTCAGTCAGTTGCTGAAGTCTTAATTTCCTTTCAAAATCAAATCAGAAATATTTTCTATGTATGTTTTCAATTTTTTATTCTGTTTACGTGGTAGAAATATCCATTTTAATATGATATCTTCCCTCTGCATCAAAATCCCTCAAGGGTATTCTCTGCGTGATAATATAACCAGAATGCAGTCAAATTTTGGATCCACATGTGCCTCTAGTATTCTCCTTTCCACCCATTCTAATTCCTTTTCAGCTTCAGGTGATTATATTCTTGGACTATTTAAGTCCTTGTCCCCTTTTAGGATCTTTTCTAAATTTTTTAAGATCATGTCCATCTATTCCAATAATAGTCTGTAACTGTGAAATCTCTCCTAGCAAATTTTAAAAATCATTAAGAATGGATGTCAGTCTCTCCTGATCTGTACTTTTTGTGGTTTAATTTTCTGTAGACCTATTTTATATCCTAAATAACTGATAAGATCTCCTCTTTATATTTTTTCAGGGGCATTTTGTAATCTTCAGTGAGGCAAAACTTTCTTTACTTCCTCAAACATTTTTTTTTCTAACATCTCTGCCTTAGAATCAGCCAACAATATATCATCAATACAATGGTAAATTATAGATTACAGAAACTTTTTACAAATTATTCCCAATGGTTTTTGCATAAAATATTAGCACAGGGTGGGATTATTTAACATTCCCGGTGTCAGGTACTTCCACTGGTATCTCTTGTCTGGCTGAGAAATTTTGTAGGTAGGCACCATGAAGACAAATTTTCCCTCTTTTT